TGGTAGCTGTAACTATAGACTGTAGTGGTAGAGACTCTATGCTAGAGTACAGATGACTATATACAGTAAGCTGTTGAGTTACTAATATGGCTGTAGGTAAAAATAGAACTGTAAATCATATATTAGGATATGGTTAATTCATTGTACTTTGGCTGGTGTGAATAATTTCTACGTAAGTACTGTAGTCGTATCCATATTGGATTAATGATGGTCCGCAGTAGAATAGTCTTACTAAGAATAATTTAACTATGTGTAAAATAAGGTAAAAGGTTGCCATGCGGATTGTAGCTGCGAATGCTACGGAAAGTATAAAAGCATGCAACTTTAGATTATTCTGTTAGTTCGTTCTAGAAGTCTTTAGAAGTAGTATTCGGCTAGAGTAGAGCTGTGTAGTTAATCTTTGTATAAGATTCAATAAAGCCCTTATTTTTCTAAAATTTGGAATTTCGTGATTGGTATATATCACACAATGTAATCTGAAATATTGAACAAGGATATTTTGCCATCTATCTTGTTGCAATACGAAGGGAAATTAAATTGGCATCTGACGGAAGTTAGATGTACAAGGAAATCTATCTCGTTCTATTATTACTCAAATCGGCATTGTTATGTCATTTTCAGAGTAATTTATAACTTGTTAATAAATTGAAATATAATTTTGGTTTTATCAGGATAGCTACTATCAGATTATTGATATATTTATAATTCCAGCATTTTCTAACACCGCTATATTTATATTCTAATTAAAAAATTTTTTTAAGATTTCTAGTTTATTTGATTTTTAAGTATTTACAATCATCCAGTTAGATTCAGTAAAATGTATTTATAATTGCTTGAAAACTTCTAAATGTATCTGTTTATAGAATAAGACGACAGCCCAACAATCAGAATTGAACTTTATTATGAAATTGTGAAATAGTAATTTGACCATGTAGTTTAATTTCGTATTGCAATTGTACAGATTTCTATAAAGGCTAATAATGAATTGATGAAAAAATTAGAATTAGATAATATTTTATTCTTAGTCAATTTCTATTTTTTTCCATCAGATCACCTTAGATATTTCCAAAAGAAAGACATTATCAGTTGCCATCCCAGTGGTGATTGGCACAATACCTTATTGTCCGTCGCCTGCTTTAAATCCCTACAATATCAGACCACCTCCTTCTTATGCGGATATCAACCATTATTATGAATGTAAGAAACTTTGATTACATTCGTTCTAATTATCTAAAGTAAAGTCGCATTGACTAATTTATTAAGATAGTTAAGTACTGGATTGCAGTTTTGCGTTACAACTACAGTCCTGAGTTATAATTTCTGACTGATGTAAAATAAATTCCCTATGCAATAAAAAATTTCACTGCTATTCTACTAATACTGAACAGCTAACTAAATATACTATTATAAGCTGTAACGATAAGTGCTTTTACCAATAGTACCTCTGTAATTTATAAGTAAATACTCGGTCATCTAACATAGCAATAACTACCATGACAGAGTATAGATGGCTCCTAAAATTTTTTTCATTCTCTCTTATTCTTTATTGGTTTCTTTACGTTCAGCTTATAAGCTTTCTAAAAATTTGTAAATAAATTGCTAGTATCCATCGCTTAATTAATCACTTTATTAGTTATAATGGCTTATCTTCGTTACTTATCATTTAGTTAGTAATTGGCTAGTGTAACACTGTTAATAGGTCCTTGAATTATCTCTTATAAATTACAAAACTAGATGCCAATCTCTATTATCACAATACTTTAAATCAAGATTATCCGTCTTAACAACATCTTCAAACATGATGTCAATTAATAATTATTACACCGCCTAAACGAAGTACACCTATTATCGCAATTTTCTTAACATATAAGCAATTGTGTCATTTTATTTTTCTCGTCATTACAATTATACGATCGTGACACATGATAATAAATTATTTAAATTAGATTAATTCTAGATCTAAATGTCAGAATTAAAGTCATCTAGAGTATTTATAACCTGCTGAGCGCTGGATTATAATTGGAAGATAAGAAATTGCTTTTATCAATTAGGCAACTATCACCCAAGTAATCGAGTTGTCAGACCTTCCTTCCCACCTGTTTATCAAGAAAGTGTTGATGGTAGAATTAATTTACAAGACAGCTCAGATGAAGATCGAGAGGTTACTTGCCAACTAGAATTTGCTCCTCAATATCCTATTGCATCTGATATTGAATACCAACAAAGTCAAACATCAACGATCCAAGAAAATAGCGAAGCCAGACTATCACTCCAAGATAGTGACAGCTCCATTCATTTGCTAACTTTACGTCGTACAAGGCCTTCAAATAGCAGCTAAATCTTGTTGTATAATTGGATAATATAATTACAATTTAAGGTATTATAGAGCTGATAAATAAGTCTAATGCTACACTGTACATAGATAAATGTGGTTAGTAGTATAAGCTACTAACAGCCATTAAACTGTAATATAAAAATCTTAAAAAATAAATTAAATCAGTTAGGTTTCAGTATTATAGCTATGCTATCAACAGCAATAGATACATTTATTACTAAACATTGACATAGTCTACGAATGTATAAAATATATACAACAACGTAGAGTACGACACATTAGGTTTAGAAGTTTTCCCGATTACATTAGCCTAAGCAATATTTAACAAACAATTTCAGGTTCGCTACTTCCTTACTAAAATATTTTTTGTTTATTGATGTGATTACTAATAATAAAATAACGACATAATAAGTAACATTTACATTAATTATAAATTATTTTTTATAAATTCCAGCTTCTTTTTAATATGCGCCCTTACAAGTGGTTTTATAAACATTTTTTAGCGATAAATAGTCTCGATATTATATTTGATCATGATAAATATAATTCTTACTGTAAAATAAATTATAAGTGATTATTATAAAACATCAACGAGTAGTTTTAAATTAAACATTACCTTTAGCATTTTAAGATTTATCGTTATTCGTTTCTGCACATTCTTTATACTGTTTTTACATGTAAAATTATATATGATAAGGCAATTGTACATTTTGTATGGAATAAAAATCGTACTTCGGAATATATCATTCTAGAATTGTACAAGTTGAATTTGCCATCATCAAATACCTTTTGTTTCCACATTTTAAAAATGAAATATAACTAGTGAAATGAAAAGATATTCTTTTAATATTCTTCGACTAGTAAATTAAGGTAATGAGAACAGCAATTCATTAAACATCGTCATTTCTTTCGCAACAACAGAAATTGAGATCATCAGTCATCTCTCACAATATTATTTCAAGAATTTGAATAAATAATTTATTTGATTCAGCTTCATGCATACCATACCAGTAACATAATAAACAAAAGCATTGCCTTTGCACAGAGACTAAATTAGTCAGGTGACTACATGAACTAATAAACTTTAAAGATAATTTCAATAATAAATTAAGTCGAGTTAATAATCATAGTCCTAAAGGACCACAAGCAAATTTATAAGTAGGTTGGAGGCGAAATTATAAAATTTATGAGCATTATCTCTAGTAAAGTTCTCTTATATCATTTTATAATTTTAATAATAAATGAATGCACGTAGCCAATTAAAATCTTTGGTTTAATTAAGCTAAGGATATTTCTTGGTTAAAGATGATGTCAATATTACTATTTCGAATTGAATTTTCTAATAAAGAGTCATGTTACTACGCTGGTGAAACTTTAACAGGCAATGTTATAGTCCATCTTGGCTCTAGTCTTGAATTAAATGGAGTCATGTTACGTATCTATGGTAGAGCAAAATCTAGAGTTGAAATCAATAACGATTATTATCACAGTAGCAGAAAAGCTGCGCAAAATAAGCAAAGTGGGCAGCGATTACAATTACAACATTGGTCATCCATTGCAAAAGAAGAATTCGTTGATGGCGCAAAATATATCCAAGGCAATGGTACTCCATATATTTTAGATTCTGGTCGATATAAATTTCCTTTTCATTTTCAACTACCCAATGAAGATTTACCCACATCTTATGAAGGAGACGATCGATGCTATATTCGATATTCGGTGACTGCTACCCTTGATATAACTAATGGAAAAGATTGTAGTATTGTTCGAATGTTTACCCTTTTGGCACCAATTGATGTAAATGATTCTATTTTACAGGTACTGTTGGAAATTTTATGTTCTACATATAGATGGAATAATATAAGATACGATTAGGAAAGTTTATTGATGCTAAATGTTAATTTTAAGTAATTATAAATGAAGTTTTCTGTTTATAGCTTAAAGAATATTTTGATACTCTCATAAGCTACATCAGAATCAGGTTGATGGGGCTATTGAATAATTCATAAATTATGTATTCGCCTGACTGGTAGAATATTTTCTCAGAAACCAACAAAATTTCGCAATACTGTGGACTCTTAAATCTTCAAAGTAAACTGTTTTCCGATGAAGAATTTGTGTTATAAAGACTTATTTCCGATATACTTAATGCAACTAGAAATCTCCACAAGTGGTAATTTTAGTCACCGTACAGTGCGAAATTCACATGATGTGTTGTAAAACACGTTTACAGTGATGATCACAGTTTCGAACGAAAATTACTAGATTAACGAGTTCATTACTCTATAATAAGCAAGCATATAAATACCTTTTCTACTTGCATTTCTAAACTGCATTTATATTGTTTTATATGCACAGTATTAATATACATTTCGGATAGGGAGATCATACGAAATTTAAGACGTCATACTATTCAAGCCATACTTTGTCAATGGCTCAAACAGCTACTCGCAAAAATGCAGTGAATAATTATATTATATGCCTATTATTTATTTGATTACCCAACAGAGTAGGTAACCTGTAGCACTATAGAATTTCATCCATGAAATTAATTAATATGAGAGAACTTAAATACATAGCTGCATTAAATTAATATAAACACAAGCAACTCCAACGCGTTGTAAAAAGAATTGCTAAGCAACATAAGGTCTTTAGGTTAGCTGAGTGTAACTGTATCAGAATGGAAAGTTTTCCGACCATAATAAACATGCAAATACTAATAGATATGTCTCATATGCCGAAAAGTGTAAAGAAAGATATCAATTATTGCTACTAGAAAATATTTCACTTCATATTTCAAAGGTTGCTGGTAGACATTTCCTTATGGTCAAGTTTTGAAGTAGATGATACACCTATTAATCTAAAGCTACAAATAAAGCATTACTTCCGAATTAGTACAAACACTCATAAACTATTTAATGTAGTGCCAGATAAAATTACCACTCGTATTTTTATATTGGAAAGCTCTGAAGAACGTGAAAGTTATCTGGAGACATTGTTAGTTTACAGTAAACACACAAAAAATAAGCTGATTACTACATATTACTATATCAAGAGCCTAATTGGACTAGAAAAAAATTAGTTGCACTCTTATGCAGCCAGAGAACAGCAAGTAAATATAAACTATCTAAATTTAAATTGATACAAGACTGCAATGGGAGTTTACTTCCATAACAGTATTGTGGCGAATGGGCTTTTAAAATAATACCTAAATATACTTCTTGGTATTATTAAAGCGTCATGTACCGTATAATGACAGTAAAATTACGCTGAAATCATACAAGTAATTATTTCGAATTAATATTGAATTCTAGAAACCTCATCCTGCACAAGAAAGTGAGAAAGACATATGCTGCTGTTGCTGCCAGTCTGGGCCACTCTTTCTTCATGCTAGTGCTGATAGGAGCGGCTACTGCCCTGGCGAAGAAATTTTATTACAGATTAAGATTGAAAATTACACTAATAAAGCAATGTCAGGTGTCGAAGTTTTATTGATCCAACATCTCACTCTAAAGATTGAAGGTAAAAGAAAAAAGGGGAGCCTCATTATCTTCGAAATTGCTTTATTTTATTATTACGTTGATATAGCATTATTAAAATCTTATAATATCGTATCAAAATAAAGCAAAATATTAAAATGATATTAATTAATTAGATATAATTATCAAAAATGGTTAAAATAAAAATCACTATTCTACTTTTTGTATCGTTTTTACTTAGGCAACGTTTCAACTCGTGAACAAACTTGTTCTAAATTGTTTCTAGACACCTCAACTGGAAAGAAAGAGTCAGTAGTATGGAAGGATAAAAGGTTCAGAATTCCCGTACTTCCTCCTACAATTCAATGCAAAATTATGGAGTTAAATTATAGCTTAACGGTAAGAATGCACAATTTTATTTATCACCATTTCCAATCTTAAGGTTTACAGGGTAGTTACTTAAATCATGCTAATGTATCTTATGATAATCTTAGTAAAGAGTCATCGATGCTTGAGTTTTTATTAAAGGCATAAATTGCAAATAGCATTCGTAAACTTAGTATGCTCAGCAATTTCTACGACCTTTATTGAATTAAGTCTTATGTAAATGTCGCGAAAATTTTGCATTATGGATCATTTTCATCTTACGTTTGATATGCTTTGTAACAGCAATATTTGCGATATTCTTAACAGTAACCTTAGTAGTTAATGGTTAATACGTATGTAATCCTTAATTTAGGATAAGATAAATCGAAATCGTAATTACATGCTAATTTAATCATGTTGTATTGATTCTATTTAATGATGCCAATATTCAAAAATACGGCGTCTAAGTTTGGACGAGATATCCTTGTAAATTAACCTAATATACAATAATGTTTGTTAAACTGCGATAAGTTTAATACTCGTACTAACTCAGAAAATTCAAAAGGATTAAACTATACATATTTTAGTTTCCTACAAATACAGACTCTTGAATTCTATTTATTTGATTAATTACTTAAAGATGCGGTGACTAGTATAGTTCAAGCGGTTGTTAGCACCTTAACCTATATAGGCTGCGATCTCACTAAAAATCCAGTAGATAGGGATTTCCAGCGAGATTGAAAGCATAACCCTCAATCTCAATAACATTTAATTTTGGAATATCAACTGACTGATATTTTAATTTACAGTTGTGTAGATTCGAGATAATACACTCTTAAATCTTTATTTGCAAGTTTGAAATATTTCTAGCTCGCGATTCGTAACAGCAATGTACGCTTTAGTTCTTCTTGATCTTGATCTTTACGGAAAAGTGACTTGATGATGCCCGAAAAATCTAAAACATGAATAAAATACCATAAACTGCATATTATGATAGAATGCATACGAAATTTAGCAGTAGAGTATTAATAACTAGTTCTCTTAGAAGTAAAAGTATTGTAATTAACCTTTCTATCACTTTGGTCTTGCATTGTTGCAATTGAACTCCTTATGAAGGATTTTAATAGTTTGCATTGGAATGTCAGTGATTAACAACCTATCAATGTAGCAATCGTGCGGTTCTATCGAAACACCAACCACTTAGTTACTGCTGGCAAAACCTAGATATCAAAACAAAAGTTTTCTTTCGTGATTTTATTAATGATTCTTAGAGGCACAGCTAGCATCTTACTAGTCTAGTAGGTTGAAAACAATTTAGATCATAAAATCTTTTTACCAGGTAGAATTTTATACTGCAATATCATTAAATTTTTGTTCTTTAGCAATTTAAAATTAATATCAAATCTCATATAAACGGTCAGGTAACCATTTTAGACAGGAATGGTCTGGATTTGTCAGTTTATATTCCAATCATTATTGGCACAATTCCATTAGAAAAACTAAATGAGAAAACTTACAGTCGTAAAGGATCTATCAATAGTTCCGATGTACAAGTACATACCAATCAAGGTAGCAAATTTTCAGATTATATTGCAATGCCCTGATACTTTGCTTATGTCTGATTGCTTTTTAATAATATCAGCTAAAAAATATGATCACATTAATAAAAGATATCAAGAAAAGTACTTTAAAAATTTATAACATTCATAGGTAATTCAATAGTAGCCATTAAACAGGCTACTAATGCAAAGCATGGGCTATTTTATTACTCGAAATAATATTTCATCATCCTTCATTAAACTTTTGCAATACACATCAGGCCCTCAGAAATTGCTTGAAAACAGTCGAATGGTATCTTTCCAGTCACTGGAGAATGTAAATGCCAGGACTGAAATAAGGAAAAGCCTAAGCTCAGAGATGGTACACAGCCGATTTTTACCTTATTACCCATTTGTGGGTAATCCAATCATGTAAAACATCTATGACTAATTGTAATTACTGGCTCAATTTATTTTACGTCGATAGTTTACATTTCAAAACTTAATCCTACATCAAGCATATGCACTGGTGATAGACATTAATCAATTATTGCTATTACAAGTTATCATATTGCTATAATTACAGCATATAAATGTTTTACCATAACCAGAACGCATTTAAAACTCCCTTCCTATCTCAGGAATTGCATTTAAAACTACAAATTTGTACGAATATAAAAATCTTTAATAGGTTTACTTTACCTATATAATTATAATGCATTCAGTATTAGATCTAAAACATAGTGATAAGTTGCATGTAAATTAGTACTTATTATTAATAAAGACTCGATAGAGTAACAAAATTTGGAGATAACAAACCCGCTAAAAAGATGTAAATTTGTATACTCAATTTACTTTACAGAATAAGATGAAAATTTGATGAGATTTGCTTTATCAAATCTCTAACATCTAGAACTTTATTAAATCTTTTACTTATCAATAGCTTACAAACTTCAAATGAATTAAAATCTTTAAGATATGGACATATATTGTAAAGTTATGTTTATTTTTATTGGTCTATAATTATTTGAATCAGTAAAGAGTTTATCAGCTTTACAAATTGCGTTCCTGAAGTATCTGCTATACTCGTGTATTAAATAAATGTCTCAAGCAAATTATTCATATGCCGTAAAATCAGTTATATGTAAATTGGATTTATAGTGCTACTTACGTTGTTATCTATCTATGCTATCTAGGATACGATACACATATGTAGAGTTGATGTCCGTAATCTGCAGTTTTTATATAAATTTGTTAAGTAGATATATCCTTAATCTTTTCCTCTTCATATGAAATTTGCACTTATCGCACCTTGTCATCGTAGTAGCTCGTTAACAAAAAGAAAATTAAAGCATAGATCTTATCTTATTCAAATCTTATCCTTATCTTATTTAATTACAATGGGATAAAAAGCTTAATACTTCGTCTTTAACTGTAAGTGCATAAATTTTAGTCCTTATGATATTGCATACTTATTCAATCTGTAAGATTTTATTCAAACTGAAAAGTTTATATATGGAAATACATATTGGAGCCCGTAATTTTTACAGCTTTCTGATTTGATTATTCTATACACGTAATTGCGAATAGGTTGATATTTACTGCTACTTTCCTAACTCTAGTTTAGAGAATGATCCTTAATCCACATCTTTACGGCATTAATGTAAGTTCATACTATATTTTGCTAATTTTATTATATTTTGTCATCGCTGCTCAAAGTTTTTGCTCTGTATTTCTACGGTTTGCTTACGAATGGTCCGGCCTTGTTGACAAATTTTGTCGACTTGACTTAAATATCATAGCTTTAAAGTAGTACTTTAATATGCATCAGCATCAGCTACTTATTTTTCGCTAATTACCCCGATATCAATAATATATGGTTATTTAAATCATTTAGTGCCATTAATAGTTATCAACATACAGACTTGGAAAGAAAGAATATCAGAAACGAAAACAAGTTTTGCCAGCTATGGAAAAATTACTTAACTAAGAATTGTCGCAGCAAGAATTAAATTCAGAAAATTTTTATTTATGAGATTGTCACGGTACGAACTACCGTGAAGAAATAGCCATCTAAATTTGGTTAATATAATATAGAGATAATATATTACAACTAGTTACTTACAGTAGGAATTACTCTAATTATAAATGTTTTACAGTAAATTTAATGCTGTGCTGTAATGTGTACTGAAATAATTCTGTGAATGGACATATTGTAGTCCGACTGTGAAAAATTAGTTAGTAGATGTTCTCGCCTAAGTATTTTTATAAGATGACTCGTGAATGTTAGCTACTGTAGAAGGGTATATAAGCCCGTCAGATAGTTGAATAAAGCAGTTCTCAATTGTATAATTGTTTTAACGTAGAATCAAAGGCGTGTAAATTCTTGTGAGGTAGTTAAGGGATACTGAATCCCGGAGACTATAGTAATTTAGAGATTTGTTTTACGTTATCCTTATCACGAAGCTGGTTTGTGACAGAGATATACCAGAGAGATCCTGTATCTATAAAATATTTGGTTATTTGTATTTTAAGAATTATAAAGCCTTTTAGATACAAGAGAACTCATGCCATGCCTGTCGGCATGACTAGACTATCAAATAGCATACAGGCGATTTCAATTTTACTTGAATACCCAAGAAAGCTGATGAAGCACTATCTCAGTCGAATTTGTTATTATATGAATCTATTTCCGTCTAAAGAAATATCAATTTATTACTTACTATGCTCAGCAAATATTGTAGGCGCACTGCAGAACCTTTACGTTTAGAAATTTTGTTAAAAAAGCTAAGATCATAAAAATCCGAGTTAGCGAGAATGAATTGCTCGCTAGAGGTAAATATTGCTATAATGGAAATTTTTCTTACAGAAACATTATTAGTAACAATATATAGGATAAAAAGGATAAATGGCCTTTATATTCAATGAAATAGAAGAGAAATTATGGCTGTACCATTGCATAAAATTAATCTAAAATAAATAATTAAGGTTAATTTCGTTTTATCTGCCAACTCCTCTTTGGTGCTTTCATGCGATATTTATTGATCAGAATACACAATTTTTAGTTAATACAAATGCACTAATAAATCTAAGTGTAATTTAAAATAATACATTTGCAAAGGACACTTATAAAGAATTCGATTAGAAGTCTTTCGTAAGTTCATTCTTGAAGAATATCTTGCAATACGCCTTAAATGCAAAAACAGCTCAAATATTAGTTAGGGCTTTAATAGAAAATAGATTTAGGCTTCATTCAGCTAATGATTTACTACTTCTTAATAATTAAAGAATTCACATTCAATGGCTTTAGCACAGAATTTAGGCTACCCACCATCTAATGTATGCCTAATCATTGATATAAATATAAGTCGTTACTTTTTCGATTTTTTCACGTCGATCGCATTGGCTTCTTAGCACAATATAGTCAATTTTTCCTATGTTTATTTCAATTAAATGCAAGATTCAAGATAATATAGCAACTACTTATGCTTCTACTCAACTAAAGATAGGGCTGTAGTAATATTAGACACTTAGCTATTAACTTGATTGCACTACACTTACAACTGTACATTAATAGTTTATCGTTGACGTATTCACTTTGAGATCTTAAGCTATTTACAATCTTTGCTGTTCTCTTAAGGTGCTTATATAATAAGATTTTTCGAAAAACAGTTGAACATACCCATCATAGCCATTTAATAGCTTTATTGAGAAGAAATTCTTAGCTTATTTGCTAATTGAAAATTGATTCTAAGCTAACAATAGTGGCATTTTTCGAAAAATAAGTTCTATATCGTGGTATCTAGAGATAATGCTAAACTAACGTATTAGATCATATTTAGACATGAAGAATTACGCTTCATAAAGGATACTCGCACAAAACTATCAGAACACCTTGTGCTATTAAGATCACGTCATCGCCAATTCTATCTAGGCTTGATCTTGTACTGTATAATATCCCAATAATAAAAATCATGGCCATTATCTGTGTTAATATACTGTACTAGATAGTTACTGAAGAAAATAGATGTAATATGATTCAACAGGAACTATGGGCTTCTAAATTTTATGGTTATATAGAGTTTGAATATTCTATAGCAGTTATGAAGTTATAAATTTCTTATAGCTACTTACTACGTAGGATAACTGAATAAATAACATAAATTATAAAAAGTTTCTTTTTTAAGTAATTGTTCATGATTGTCATGCTAATATCTAATTTGACTGAAGACTATGATTCATAGATGCTATATTTATCCTGAATCTTATCCTATTATTTATCATACGTTGTAAAAAATTTTGAAAGATATGATCGGGTGTAGATCATACACAACCTTTTTCATCTGTCCTTAATTTGCAATATACAGCAGTTACGCAAAGCAATCCAATGATCTCATCATTAACAGCGATTTGAATGGAAATTTTAAAATTAGCCTTTTTTACCTTCTTTTATCTTATAGTTCGTCATTGAATGATAAACTCCTAAGACAAATAATTATTTATTTTTTTATGGTTAATAAAAATTTTACGTTCATTATTTACCTTAGATGTCAAAATTTATAGTTCTTTGAGAATAAATGAGAATATTCCATTAAATTAGCCCATTATAAACAAGTCTAAAGAAGAAAAATTTGACGCTATGATATAACGCTTACTCAAATATCGTTCGTAGCGATTTAAAAGCTAAGCTAGTTATCAGTCACGCAGTAGATTTGGGTTAATGCGCAATTCTAGGAAAATAGATGGTCTTCTAACACGTGATATTCATCGCAGATCTGCAATAAACATAAGTCATTAAATATGATACAAACAACGTTATTGATTTAATTCCTCCTGCAATCATCATTTCTTTCGCTATATTTCTTTATTTTTTAAATTTATTCCATATTGCAATAAGTACATAATACTAACATAGCTTGTATAACATACGATATAAAATTTATCCCTAGTTTCATGAAAAACTATCAATCTCTCAGCTATGGGTAAGACAGTCTTCAAATAGATTCAGATTCGTGACGATTTTTTAATCGATTTATAGAATAGTATCGCTAATATTGAACTACTCTTATTCCAATTATTTTCAGCAGCAATTATTATAACTAAAGTATGAATTTTAGCTATTGTTTCTTTATCATCTGATTATTTTTTATCAGAAAGATATTTTTGTCCAATAGAATAACTCCCTTGAATAAGTTTTAAGTCATTATCGCTATAATTACCATTAAGATCGACAGCTTACATCCTTTATAAGGTCTTCATCTTTATTTACGTTAGGAATAGACCACTTGAGCAATAGTAAATAAGATAAAGTTGCAATAAATAACAAGTACTAGTATGTTGTTTAGACTATCTTCGAAGCCGTTCTCTCCACTGACATCAACACCACCTTTCATGGTAGTGGTTTTCTGCAGACTCTTACCGATTACGTTTACAAATATTCCCGTATTTGGATAATCATCTATTAGAATAGATCATAATCACCATTATCAAATGCTATTACTTAATGCCTGGAAATTTCTGAATTTCTATTTGTCTTTAGTCCAGCCATATCAATCTAGCATTCAAAGCATTACAAATAATTCACTTATGATATCACCCACCATATTTGGTTAGCAACATGCTTTGACGATATATTAAGGTTAACATCTTTACTGACGAAAATATTAAGCAGTTGACTTAGAAGGTAATTTCTTCCTTTGTAAGCGTCAACGTTATTGATATTATGATCACCATCTTATTTCCGAAGCCGTTGCATCATTGAAATTGACCATACCAGTCCCTTTATCCTATTTTAAGTCTTTTCAGAATTAAAAAAAAATGTTTTCCCGATTTACATTGTGTAGCAATAGAAAGTCGAGTAAATGATGCATGACTACAGTGATCGAAAAAGGGTAGCAAATAAAGTAAGTCATATATAAGTGTATTTAAAATTTAGAGGAGGAGATAAAGATGATCCAGTGTCTGATCGGAAGTATACATAAAATTACGTATAGGATAACTTGCTTTGATCATAGATAGCTGTTTTCTATAATTAGTCTGATTTAATTTTATCGATTCCTCTAATAATGTTGCCGTGAAAAGATCGCATTAGGATAACTATACTCCATGAGAAACTGCTACATTATTCCAATTCTGTCACGTTATCAGGCTCAATCATCATCAAAGTCAATGCTCTGGTTTAGTTGTGAAATTGCAAATGAATTCTTTCTAATCTTTCACATTGTAGAATCAAATTTATTTTTACTTGAGGATACTTAACCACTAGGCTATCTAGCTATGAGTTATGATATCACTTTAAGTTTTGTTCATGTTACTGCTACATTGCTGATAAATTTCATTCCTACAGTAACTTACAATATTTTTCTAATTTTTTTCTGAATGCTCATAGCATAATGTAGAATTGAATATAATAATAATTTTATTTAGAGGACGTTTAATCTTCAATCTCGCGTGACAGTAGGTCACGATTCAATCATGTCTACCATTTAAGATTAGCCTTGTTATTCATTTATCTAGCACATCAATTTTTACTGATTTAGTTGGGATATTGTCCTAGATTGCCAAGGTTTTTACCACAACATTTGTGAATGATTGATACTTTCTTAAATTGTAAACACTCAAAACTTACTGTAAAATTGACTACAATAACAGTTTTATTTACAGAAAGGTTTAATGTTCAATCTCACACGACTTTAGGTCACGATTTAATTAAGCCTAGTATTTAAAATCAAGCTTGTAATTAATTTATCTAGGGTATCGATTCTGACTTAATTTATTGGGATATTGACCTAAGTTATCTGAATCTTTACGATACTATATAATTATGATTAATACTTTTACAAATTCTAAATACTTGGGACTCACTATTCAATTGACTATAATAGTAATCATTTTTAAAGGATATTAAATCTTCCATCTTACATGGCATCAGGTCATGATTTAATCATGCCGACCATTCAAGGTTAGGCTTGTTCTTAATTTATCTTGAGCATCTTTTTGTTGAATTAGTTAGGTTATAATCCTATGCTGTCAGGGCTTTGACGATATCATTTGTAAATGATTGATACATTTCAAATTATAAAGCGAATTTGTCGTACAATAACAGTGACACTACTGTAACGTTTTACCTTATCTGACCACAATAGTCTCATGGGAATCTATAATATCTGTCGGATCAGTTTTAATAGTCTTGGTGAACCATTGATTCAATCCAATTTATGTATCCTTTAAAGGCCGATTTTTCGAACTTTTCATTCATTTTCTGTGAGTGAAAAATTTCCGGTATAAATAGTCAATCAATAGCCAAATATGCCTATAATACCGGATTTTGTTCCATTTTTAGATAATATATCTGTGCAAAGCTTTAATGGGAGGCACTATTTCTAATCAACAATAACAAGTAGACAATAATATTATTTTGTAGCAGGAAAACAAGATAGCCAATAACCTTCTAGCTCTATAGATTCCCATGCAGAGATATATCGAAGCAGTTAATACATAATACATATTGAATAGGAGATGCTATCCAACATTTAATATTTTATCAAAATAACTTTACTTTCTGGTCGATTAATAAAATTAGAGATTGAAAGTCTATAACTGATATTCAAGGCTACTATCTTCGCCTCGGTAAGATGACCATTTACTCCATCTGGTAGAAGTAGATTATCGACGATAAGTGTAAAGCTGATAATATCATTCGCTTCTTTAACGAATCAATAATTTTATGCTAAATTAAGGCATCCATAAACAGGAAATATTCTCACTTTTATACACACTTCATAAACAGATGCTCTAATTTCAGACACTGTAATAAACTGTATATCCATGAATGTAGGTAAAATGGTACGATAATTAGTTCCATACTGGGCCTTTTGGCTAAATTACAGGAATTTTTTGTTCATACAATCATCAATTTTATTAACAGTCTTGATAATTAATCAACAATATACTGTATTAGATGTAGGTTACTCTCTCCCAGGAAAATCTTGAATCGTTCTTCGCTCGATGTTCTCTCACTATCAACGATTTCTACTTGCAGGTTTACTTGGCCATCGTAAGATTGACTGTAAGACCGTTTCAATACCATTACATCATTGGAAAAGGAAAAATTTCAATTGGAACTTGATCAAATAAATACAGGCATTATTTGCTTGCTGACTGTAAGACCGTTTTAATACCATTATATCATTGGAAAAGGAAAAATTTCAATTGGAACTTGATCAAATAAATATAGGCATTATTTGCTTGCTGAAAATTACTTTCAATAAGGAATATAAGACAATCTGATAAAATTACTGCATTGTCAAGTGGTGGAAAAGTTACATCTGTTCGAAATCGCATGGTAGCTAGGATTTATTATCTCATCAAATTGTAATCAAATAATTTCAATACTTACTCTGACCACTATTCAGCTCGCGAGATCGATTAAAGCAACTTTGAACCTCTTTTCAATGCCATTTTAGGCTATTTTAGCCAAAATTTTAGATTAATCTTTCGACGTCATTGTGTTTCTATTTACTTCGCTTTGACTTCTATTCAGTAAGAGTAAGACAACATCAATTGGAATTGAATTCTTATTACACTTGACTTATAAAATTATATCATTGTTTACCAATTTTTTCAGTTCTCATCATTCCATCTGTTTCTCACCCTCATTACGACAACAACCTTAATTAGACTTTATACAATCCGCTTAAACAAAGGAAGCATTTTCTCCCTAACACTTACACTACCGACTCTTCAATCATTAATCATCTTGACTATTCATAATTATTATCATCTTGATAATTATTTTTGTTATACTTCATCCAGTAAACCAGCTTCTAGTCTTGTGTTGAAAGTTTAGTGGCCTAGGATCAATTTAAAATGATAATTTAATCGCTATGTCATGTTAATTCAATCTCGTCCTGAGTGCTTGCCGTCGCTAGACACATTTGATTGTTCTCATCACTTTTATTCGCAATCTTTAAATTAGTTTTCAAAAAATTGGCACATTATCATCAGCCTGATCAACATCGTCTGTTATGGCCGTCTTGAAAGATTTTGCTATTTATTTCGATCAGCCTTTTGCCGTTTATTATCCTGGCCAATTTGTTTCAGGCTATGTTGTAGTTCAGTTAGATCAAGGCAGCATTAATATTACCGGCATTAAATTGCACGCTTATGGCCGAGGCTATACTAGAATTTTAGCCAATTTCCGTAATGGTACATTTGATGTTGATAGCAATCAAGGCGTAGAATGTGATGAGTATCTGGATAGAATTGAATACATTTACGGAGAAGGTAAGAAATCTTTTATGGATTTAGAAAATGGACTAGTATTTCGATTTTCTAGGATTGCCTACTCTAACACGTAAAACTATGGATTAGTTTAATTCTTCCTTTACTATTACTAATAGAAATTCACTGATAATACTTTGTATGTAGCTAGTCAAACTATCGCTAGTCAAACTAGTGGTATAACTATACACTATTTCACGTTTAAAGCAAGCTATATATGGTTTTTCTGTTCCGCTTAAGCATACATTGTTGTAGAGTCCTTGTCAATTTATATCGGTTTAGTATACAATTATAAGAAGCGTTCAATCGCATTTTCATAAAAAAATGAATTAGCTATAGATTTCTTCTAATCAATATAGTTGTCAATGTTATAAGTAAGGAATACATTAATCAATATAAGTAATAACTTATAATTTCAAGCTAAATTCTCTCTCCAGAACAACATCAACATTTCACAAATTTTTCATTCCAATGAAAGCACGTAAAAGAGAACGTCTAGTGCATTACATTTTTCACTCAACTGCACACGTGCCCTAGTAGAAGATGATTTATGACAATAATGCAATTTTGTCTTATTAGCCTGACACAAGTATGCAGTAAATGTATAGCTGAGTATTTTAGGAACTTTAGTAACAGAATATTAATGATTAAAGTCTAGCCTAGATGATCATTCTATTAATAGCGATTAATTTGATTATTTAATATGGCCATTGAAAAAGAACAGATACAGAATCAATCATTGATGAATTTGGAACTCAGTTAAAATTTTCTAATTTGTACGTGTTGCTTTGGTATTTACATCGACTAACGGCAGTACAATAAATATCAAATTATTCTACCATTAAATATAATAGAATATGAAGGCATTTCCATATTGTCCATGGACAACCTTTCTTCCCTTATATCGTCAGGGGCACTTTATTTCGAGAGAAATTCCATATATAAATAGCCAATACAAGAGATAAAAAAGAAATCTTAAAATCGTCATGCTTAAATTGTTCTTAGCCTCCTATTATCTAAATATGGACCATAATTCTTGAAATAATGCATTGCTATCGCATATTGGATGCCTTTCAGAGCTTTATCTTCTCAAAACTAGTCTATCAAGTCTAGTGACTAACTGACATGAATTAATTATTTTACCTGTCTACCAAGGTTAATCTCCGAGGCAATTATTTTGAGGGAAATCATTGGCATTTTACATAAATACCAACAACTTGAATGTAGTTATATTTTGCTGTTTTAACTCGGTCTTAATCTTTAATTATCCCCATTCTGTACATGTAACGTATTTAAAATTAGGATAAAAAATCGATTTTATCAATTTACAAACACCCACATCTTACGGTAGTCATTAACATGTGCGGTAATCGACTAACTTTTATTTATTTTTAAACAAATTAATTAATAAAGCCTAATTGTAGAAAGAGTCAACTTCTCAGCTGCGTACAATATGATAATCCACTATAAAAAATGACAAGCTAGAGGGATTTTAGTGCCTCCATATTATCATTTCAAACCAGAATCAAACGGGCGATAATAACTATAAGTGCTGTAAGCCGACTCTCGCTAAACTACCAATAAATTATAGTCTTGTTTATAGAATTCTATATAATGATGAAAAGAAATAGTGCGCAATTCAGCAATCTCACAAAATACCGACTTTATTTGCCATTATGGGTACGTATTCAAACTTTGATATTCAAATACTGACATTTCTGTCTTAGAAAAAGATACAATATTTCTTTCTTGGCTAATACGTAGTGATTGATGGTCTTAATAAATAAACCGAGTGCTTGGGGCGAGGTGATTTTATTTTACATTTAATTAATTACAACAAGATTGTAACAGCTAAATGAGTCATTTTATAGAAAGCAAATGCTTTGCTACCAAAAAACTTAAATTGAGCAGAAAATAGACAATATATAAATTATTCTAATTTTATACGCGCGTCTCCCTATTTAAAATTTTATAGTTATATCCAATGTTGCCCTTATAGTTCGCTTAATAAAAATTCAAAATAACACAAGTTTGTAATGCATAGATATTTATATTAAAAATTATTTTTAGGTCGCAAGTTTTTAATGCCAGTCGGCCGACACCATCTAAAATTTAAGTTCCAGCTGCCATACAATATGCTTCCATCTTCCTATGAAGGCGGTGTGAATTGTTACATTCGTTATACGATAACCGCAACTATGATACGACCTTGGGCATATGATTATATCACCACTAAAGCCTTTACTATACTTGAAAAAATCGATATTAATCTGCCAGACCTGAAGGTGAGATACTTATAAATCTTATTGTACTTACAATTATTGTAAACTGATCTGCTTCTTTATCGCTGCATCGCTGGAATTACTAAAGTAGACTTTTATCTGTTAGTGAATAATTAAGCTTCTAATCTAAATAAGTAATCGAATCTTAATTTAACGATAGTAAAAACGAAATCTCACTAATTCAAATAATTGTAATCGCTAAAGCAAAAACAGGAAATAGCATTTTCAGTACCAAGTTGACGGCTGCATCCATAACTAAGAAATACGCTCTTTTCCTAATGCTAAATGAGGTCTCTCGCATTAACACTTGTCTAAATCCTAACTATAGTTCTATCACTAAACACATAACAATCCCAATCTTAACCCTAAGATATAATCATAATCTTTAACCTTAATCTTATCTGAAGCCATGCGTACAAAATATTTTAACACACAAGGAAGACCACAATCCTTTTGCTGTAGGTCGTCGTATTTTTTGTAGATTATATCAAAATCTATCGCATTTCAGAATGATAGTAAATTGACTATAGATTGCAAATATAATGTGGCTCTGAAATAGGACAAACTTATGGTACAAATTGTTATAAATTGCTGTAAAGTTAATTTACTTTGAGATTAGTGTAACGAAATTTCTGTTATTAAATTCAATTATCAACGCAAAGTTTCGTTTTTAAATTAACTTTATTATCAGTGTTGAATCCTCTCTACGTATTAGTATAATTTTCAAAAGACTCATTGACTTACAGTAAACTCAACCGTGATAGCCTAAATAATTTACGGTCTGTTATGATATCTGGTACATTCTTGTATCGAATAAGGCGTAGTAAGCATCTTTAGTAGGCATTGTACTCTCTTACGTAGGGTATTGAAAGCAAACCTAGAAGATCATGGCCTACGAGATATTCTTACCAAATTCATCGATTTACTTCGGATGTCCGGCACTGTAACCATAAGCGAATGAATTTCATATTACTTTCGAGATAACAATCATGCAAAAAACTTTACCGCCTTCATATACGTATATTAACATAGATGTTTCATAATTTAAGTTTCAATTAGCGGTGGAAATATTAATTTAGGGATATATAACTTGATAGTAGGATTAAATGATTTTGTAGTTTTTGGTACTTCAGTATAAAATTCATATTTGCGTACACTAATATCAATACCATGCATGTAGCATATCATTAGTTACATAAAGCTAGAACCATATAAATTTACTATATGGCAAGATATGTATATAAAACGCTAAAAATGTAAAGTAAATATGCTGTCATTTCATACGGCAGGATTTAAAGCTGCTTTCCTTTCAAAGTTTATCAATAATGATAATTAAAAAAATGACTAAAGATGATGTTAAACGACAGAAATAGAATATTTGGAAATGAAACATGCTTTTGAATTATTTATAAATCAAACTCAAACGTAGTTAATAAGGATTTGAAAGGATTACATCTCAATTATTTAGGGAGAGGGATCCTTTGAGTTTAAAATTGCTTAAAATGGAATATTCTTTACTCCTTTACAAAGTATATTTTGCGCTATGAATTTATCGCGAGAATGGTTGTGATAGTTATAATTCCTTTGCAAAAGTCTGAAATATATATATATATATATATATATATATATACGTAAACCAGAGAATTTCGCATTTCATTAAATTTGTAAAATATTCTTATTCAAACAAGATATATGTTTTACTGATTTATTTCAGGTTTTGGCCGGATCTGAAGATTTTGTGAGTGGTTCTGGGTGCTTCTCTTGTTTATCTACACCAATCAAGTTATCTGCAACTACAGATCGAACTGGCTATTGCTCTGGAGAAAATATTAAAGTTTGTATATCAATTGAAAATACCGCTAGAAAAAGGCTGAGAGAGGTGGTTATTAAACTTATCCAAAATGTTATGTTTATTGCAAACGGTAAGATGTACCTTAATCAAATTTAAGTTCTAGCTTTAATGAATCATCTTCAAAATCTTTGTCTTTAGCGATAACAAAATGTTATAGCATGTATTACTGGCAATGGCATAGTTTAAGTAGTTTATAACCAAAAATTTCAGTTACATATATAAAATTTGACCATTGACTGATGTATGGGCAAGATATAAGTTGTATCAAAAGCGTATACTCATATACGTAAAGTATTGAGCCTCTATAGGTGCTGACTGTCTTATTCTGATATATTAACAATTAACCTTGAACTTCAGTTTAGAAAGTACAGTAAAAAATCGAATTTTGAGAATATATCACATCATGTTATATTTTCAAGAGAAACTGATTGCTTTAGTAGCATTTATCTATTTTCACAATCGAGGGTTCTGAATTTATAAAAATGTGGTCAAAAGTAAAAGTAAATTAAAATTTTGCTAGTTTAAGCACAGATACGCATACTTGTAAATATTTAAAATTACTAAATAATAATTTGGGGTAAATTTGGTAATCCACGATAATCTTCTCAAAATATTATTTAATTCACAATATTATCTATTACAAATTTCACTGATATTTTTTGACTTAAGTACAAAGGCTTAAGTTTAAATTTAAGAAATATAAAAACAGTAATGGAAGTACTCTATTATATTGTAATTACGTTAGAGTAATATGCTACCTTTCATAAGTTAGACATTTCTGCTTAGTTAATAATTTTTGGTTTTGAAATTTAAGTAATAGCACATAATGTTCTAGCTCATAGCAAAAAATATGAGTTGCTGAAATTAATTTCCATCACAATTATTGATAGACTTAGTCTGGAATAATCAAAAAGTATACGAAAAAATTCGAATTAATAATATTACCAAAACTGGAGACAGAATTGAATGGACAGACCAGTTAATTCCAATTCCTTGCCTGCCACCAAGTAGCAAGGCATGCCGAACTATCCGCCTTCACTATGCTATTTATGTAAGTACTGTACCTACAAAATATAACTTAATAAACAAATTTTATTGTTTAAGAATTGAGAGCATCGGTCACATTAAATGAACCAAGATAGTCAGCATAATCACTTTAGATGAAAAATAAAAACAGAAGAAGATAAATCTTTTTTTCAAATTATTATTTGAATTAATTAGTGTAATAATCAACTAGCTATCGGAGCTTACTGTAATTGATATTAAATGTATGCCCTGTTAATTTTAATAATATACGGCACCTACCTAGGTTAAAGCAACGGTCTGGAACGGTTACAATTTAACGGTTAAAATACCCATCATCATTGGCACGAAACCTTTGCAGGATATGTTTGAAACTAATGGTAGAACACTACAAAATTTAGAAAATAATTTTCAAATTTCTTTTCCTAATCTCTAATCTCGGCTCTACATTTTAATACGCGCTTCTACGTTAATGAAATATCGGCTTTTTATTTCCTCTTTATTAAATAGGCTCGGATGCTGTATATAAATACCGAGATTGCATTGATGGAAAAATTGATTTTCTGCGGAAAGATTCTCAACAATATTTCATTGGAAATCATACTTTTGTACCTCAATATCCATTTATTGTTAGTTAAGCACATCGTATGCATACACGTACATATATATCTAGCAATACTATAATAAAATTTATATTATTGCGGATTAACAATGAATAAAAATGTATGTACGGTTATGTTGTGTATATCAAAAGTATAGAATCGAGTTGGTTTTTGCTATTTGCTTAAAAGTATCGGTTTCAGAAGATCTACAGCACTATGAATATAAAATTTCGAAATTATGAGTACAAGTTTACCGCATTTCATATTCTTAAATGTTTCGTTGGAGACTGTATTTTTTATGGTAGTTAGTGATAAATTTGATTTATTTTTGGTCTGCAATAATCAACGTTTGATTGCTTTTTTCATTCAGCATCGTCAGAATTGATATTTAAATGTGATATTTAAACAGGCGTTAGCTGTTAATTAAAAAGTAAAATATGATTAATAGAGCAATGTTAATCTGGTTCACCTCCATATTTAATAAGCATATATTACAGCTTGCATATCGATAAATCTTATCTATTTCAATTATTTTATTATTACTCTATTTGATACTGTAGACCTATTTATGATTATTTCATTAGTAGAATGAAATATTTTTGTTCTCAACATTAACAGGAAACCTTGCACAGCAAATGAGTTTACTGTTCTGGTAATGGAATTAAACCCGAAATGAAGTCATTATAATAAATAACAATCACATCTTCTTGCCAACTAGGGGGTTCTCAATTTATAACATATCTACTAGCTTCAGCCTTCATGATGCTTTTCAAATAGCTACTTTAACTGCTGTTTATTTTGAGTATTTCAGACTCCAAAGCCATAATGTATATCATATAAGCTAACTTCTATCTTGTAAAATACTTAATTTATTATATATCTGACATTAACGAACTTATAAGAAAAAAGTTTGGTACTTACGAGATACTTCATAACGAGTTATTCATTGTAGTAAGCATGGTCTAATTATCCTTTCATACGACATACCTGAGACACAAGTACTCCGTACTATGGATATTAAATCGTAGCAACCATCCTAACTCAAAGGCACTAAAACTATCCAGGATATTGGTATTTACGGATGTTTAACTTATGGTTCTTTGAGCATAGAAATGATCCGTGAACGATTGATGCTGCAAAATATTACCAGAATTAATACCCGAAATAGCGTACCTTGGACATTCGTGTAGTAAGGTGAAAATATAAATTTTTGCTGGATAAATTATGTCACCGAGGATAACTATGCTGATAAATACTAGTTTCAGATATACGATGCAATGCTATAGTAAACAGACTGTATATATAAATAACAACGAGAACCAGCCTTGAAACCCAAATCCAACAGCCGTGCCTTATGATCATGTTACGGTGCTTTGCCATCGTAAGGTAAATTCACTAGCACCAAATGAAATAAGATCATTATTTGTTAATTGAACTTGGAATATTAACTTTAGTTGTAAATGCACTATTGTACTTCGGGCAGTTGATTAATTTAGTCTTACATTAAGTACTCTAACTGGTAATTATACGTACTCCGAGTTCATTAGGATATTAATTACTAGAGGAGTGAACCGTTCACAAAGAAGAAAATTTGTGACTAATCATAACAACTCTACTGTTTTATTATTGACGTCATTACCAACATTAGCGTTACTTGGTATAGAATTATATATCATCTCTTGTCAAGTTAATACTTATAGAACATCATGACAACAATTAATTTTCAACAAGTTAATTCCGTTAATCGCTAGTTTAACTACATTCGAGACAGAATTAGATACAGAATCAAGATACAGGTAAGGAATGCTATAATTACTGTATCCTTGGATAATCTGTAAATAATAACTGCAGTTTTTAAGTATGAAGTATTATCATAAGTAGGGATTAAAAGTAGTTCGAGTTATTTCTTCCAGTAATCCAGGTCTCATAACGTGATTTAAATATGTAAGTAAAATTGTGTTTTACATTGAGTAAAATCTGTCATTTTTTCAAAATATAGAACTACAGTAATTATTTAAGCTATTTTGGAGGCTTCTCCATAGGCATAATGACTTTGATGGTAAAAGGAATTAGAAAGAGGAGCTAAATTAATAGATCGGAATGGTGCATCTGAGAATTTTCATACAGATCCACAATCTTATACAAGTTATATGAATTATTTATAATTATGTTCTATTAATATTGCCTATTGCGCATGCATAGATAAGTTAAAATTTAGAACTTATTTACATCTGACTGTCTATGCTACTGATAGACAAATGGACGCTTCCATATTTAATGCTTGTGATGATTAGTATATAGTACTTAGATTGCTATAATCTAAACTGACTGCAAGTGTATTGTGATCTTTGCTAAGGGTGGAAATTAATGGGCGTACCTCTTTTGATCTACCGTATTTGTTTAACTGAATTTTATTCAGCGCGTTATACAGTACTGTACTTTTCGAATAAAAGACCTCGCGGATTTTGAATATGTTATTGTGTTAGTAAATTTTATACGGAATACAAAGTATAAAAAAGTCATCCAATTGCAATATATCCTGGAAGAAAAATTTAAAAAATTTAAGATATTTATTGGATACAGCAATAACGACCACAGAATTGTGCGAATAAGATCCGAAATAATAGTTTCTATAGCCGCACTAGCTGGTAAGTGAAATAAAAATTTGTCTTGTCTATCTAAAGTCTCAATAATGGCGGTACTATGAGTAAGTATGCAGTAAGCATACAGTTTGCTATATTAACGAAACTTGGTTTTATATCAATTTATTCAGTAACTTAAACGCATTGAGTAAGAAAGAAATTTCCTTATTATAGGCTTCAAATCATGTTAGATTGGGATAGTTAGAGTAGATCAGTGCGTAAGCTGTAATAAAGAAGCGAGAGAAAAAGATAGCAAATGGAAGTAGCATAACTGAGCAATTAAGCTATCTAGTAGAAATTAGTGATAATTAATAATACACGTAAATTAGGAAACTGCAATTAGTATTCACATTTAATTCTAAACTAATATCAGAATAATCTTAATGAATTCTGCTAAGAAATCTGTGTAATTACTGTGATACTATTAAATGTATGATCTTTAAATATACAAAATTAATGAAAAGTGCTAAAGTTAGCCCACTTACAACTCTCTGCCATCTTGCTAAGAATTATTTAAACCACAACTTGAACTTGGCTTTCGCTAGTTTTCTATATAGTAAGATGTATAGTTCATTTGACCTTGCCAAACTTTAATACTTTCCATCTGTACGGTATGGCAGTAAATCTAGTACTCTTTCAGCGACTTCTTTACTCACTTCTGTGCTTAATTGGTCTTACTTTGTAGTGTTGCGATCCAAGTCACATGTAGAGTGATTTTCATTTGCAAAAGTAACTAAAAGAATTCTTTCAATTAATTAGAACTTACTTTATATTGATAACAAGTTTCTTGAATGCATCTATAAGAATTTTCTACCGATTCTTACCATGAAACAGAATACTTCAAAGGAAGTCGATCATTCTAAATATATTACCTGAGATTCCTCTACCACATATAGATACTTGTATAAAGTTAAAAAAGTGTGGTAAATAGCACATTAGTAAATCATCGTAGTAGCATAACATATCATATCCATGTCTTTCAGATTTACAAACATAAAGAAATCCAAAGATGAAAGAAATCGCTGAATTTGAGATAGAACTAAAGAAAAGATCATCTGTTTTTCATCCAGGGCAAACTATTATAGGCACTGTTAAGCTTCAACTAACAGAGCCAATGGCTATGAAGGATATCGAGCTTCGAATTTATGGTCGAGAAAGGACCAGAATATCTCGCCCATCAGATCAGACTTCCAAGATAGATGTCCAATCTATTCTTGATCAAAAAATTATTTTATGGAGTAATGGTAAGATGCTGCAATAGCAGCTATCAAGTAGAATTATTATCAATAATTAGAATGTGTAACCGCCGGAATAAATACGTGCGATCCTAATCATTAATAACAAGTAGTAGCTATTTACATTTAAAAAGACTTTCATGACTAGATTCATACATTAGTATCGAGAAACTATTTATAAGTAGTAATTTATCAACATCCACTCTAATTCGACGATTTACGAAAGCAATTCTTTTATATAAAGATAAGGATGAAAGCGAAAACGTCCCTTCTGGAGCATACAAGTATAATTTTAAATATCGATTACCCTCAGGAACTGATATGCCGACATCTGTAGATGGTCAAATGCATTTTAACATTCGTTATTTGGTATTAGCAACGATACATAGAGAAAAAAAATTAGATGTTATATCAAGAAAGCCTTTTACATTTATACAAGATGGAAAAGATACCTCAATATATTTGGTATTATAATAATTAAATTAAATATTAATATTAACTGAATAAGTGTACAGTAACTCTTCGTTAATGAACATACAATTATATAATGCTTGTGCAATACCAGCCATGTAATTTGATTCAAATTTTATCTTAGCAGGGTATAACCTAGCATAATCATTTCGTCAAAGTTTCTTAAGCCATTATCCAAAATTTATTATTACAAAATAGCAAAAGCCTCCTAGTAAGCAAAATGAGAAGGCTATATCCTGCTTATGTTTTCCACGTGGAATTATTCAGCTTACGGCTAATATTGATCGCTATGGTTACTGCCCCGGTGAATCAATTGTCATTAATGCAGAGTGCTCCAACCTAACCGATACGAAAATGCATGGTATAAGAGCTAAAATTGTTCGTACAATCGTCAGAAAATGTACAGGTAATTAATTATACTGCAGAGCTAAATACAACGGACTTCTCTATTATCGATAGTAATACAGATCATGAAATTTTATAGATGAAACATTTACAGAAGTAGATAGCCCTGGAGGAATACAAACACCGACAGAGATTGACGAAAGGGAAAATTTTCATCTAATTAATCAGTTATTTCAAATTCCTGCGATTCCACCGACAACGACAGGAAAATTAATTTCAATAAGTTATGCAGTGGAGGTAATTGGTAATGGAGTGATAAAATAAATTCACTTTTACTGTTTGTATGCAATGATACTTATATGCAAGGAAATGAATCATTTCTTTATAAAGATTAGTGTCTTGGTGCCATATCGCGACAATATTCACGTAAACTTTCCCATCCAAATTGTGACTAGTCCAATGATAAAATCGGTCATGTCATCAGACTCTTCAACATCTCGTACTGATTCTACAGAAGCTCAAAAATGTATTTTGAATCCTTTATTAACGATTGCATAATAGAAATAATTGATTTCCACAAGTTTAGCGAGATTTTGAAGCTGATGTAAATTCTTTATTGATATTTTTAGTGATCTACCGTCCAAGTATTTACGATAAGATTGATATTACGATCGTAGATGGTCAATGTAAATCTTTGGGAGATCGATTATTCCAACCTTTTTATGTTTGTGTCAAAATTATCGCCTGCCAGTATCCGCTCTTTCTTATGAAAAGCCCAAGAATTCTATCTAAAGCCTTAATATTTTGAATAATCGACTACTGTATGAATTTATTTAATCAATTCATATTTATTGATTGATTCCTGCGTTATAATTCAATACACTTGTAAGACAAAAATTACTATTAGTATTAAATATAACGTTAGCTGTTAGCATGAATCTAAATAGCCAGAATCAAGGCAACAATTATATGCAATAGTCGGTTAGCAAGCAAATTTATTCATAAAATATTGATTTCTTTATCATTCTGTATAATCCATAAGAATTTGCTTGTCTCTGATTGAGAACTAACTAATTCCTTCGGTTGTTAGAGTACTTTCATGTGTCATAAATACTAGATTAATTTTTTTATTATGTTCATTCATTAAAATTAAGTTCAGTTTTTTATAATATATCATTGATAAAATTTCTATAAAAATAATTTGTTCTTCATTATGATTCACTACATGACGAGAATAAGATTGTTTTAAAATTTACTTTCATGTGTAGGATTGGTAATTACTGAGATTGGTGTTAAAATTCCAATTAGCTGGTCTATTAATGCTAAATAGCTATCGAAAGTTATATTGGCAATTACTACCGATCATTACGGATAACGTATAATAGCTAATGATAGGACATTAGCTGCAATATGGCATTAATACAGTACAAGATCACTAAATGTAATAGACTTATTACGGCAGCACTATCAGTATCTGATTATTTTATAGCCGACAAACTAATATAAAAAACACATCGATTTATAAGTAAGCTATTTGTCATGGAAGTATATGATTAATTACAACTGTAACATATTAATGTATAATTCGTAACAATAATGATTGGAATAGGTAGCCTATAAATAAAAAATAAAATCGCTAGCTAAAATATACGTTATCGATGCCTCAAGTTATTCATTACTCATTACGTTATCTAACATATGGTAATACTTACTTATGCGCTACTAAATTTAATTTGCGTAAGATACGCATCTTATTTCAAGATTTGTATCCATTAGACTTACATTTATAATTGAAAGCCAACTGTATCAGTATTGTATGAAAATAGTTTTATCTATTTAATTATTAATTGACTCCTGTAATACATATTTTACGAGTAAGTATTTGAGTCAAAATACCAAAGCTAAAATCATTGAATATTAAAAATTGAAATGCTTCAGTATATACATTAAGAATCAGTAAATTATAATTTAAAAAAAAATTGTAAGAATTGATGAATAATCTATTTATTATCTTGATAAGTGTGCCTTAATAATTGCTAATTAAAGTCAATCTATTATTTCTGAAGCTACGCATTACAGTTATTAATTTATATGTTTTATTGGATTCGTAATCATAATTTTCCTATGACTTAGTAAGACTCGATGCGTGTCGTGTTCGACAAATAATATCTTCAGCAGACATCCTTCCTTTTTAAGGTTTCGTAACCAAGTTAAAATTGTAAGTAGGTTTATTCCCTGTTAAGATCTATAATGGTAAATGATACTTGATATACAAACCTACTGTAACTTAGTGTAACTCCATGAGTACAATTTCTACAGATTTAGTTTATTTTTCTTGTGTGTTTTTTTTTCATCATCTTGACATCATAAGACTAGTAGGGCGATAGAAGCTTAAAATATTACAAAAGCTCACAGGTCAATTGTTATTAGTTATGTAGCTTTAGCCTACGACAATCGCTCAGACTCATATTAATTTGTACACTTATATGCTCGCAAGTAGTGTCACTGTTTCATGAGATTTTAATCAGCTGTTATTTACAACGTCATTCAAGCTCGAGATAACAAGGCTGTCAATATGTAAAATTTATTAATTGATGCTCATTACATCTGGCTTGAAATTCCATACCACTGCGTACAAAGTAAAGTAAATAGAGAATCAGAAACACTGTAGCTCTCGCAAATACTAGTTAATTATAGGCTACTAATTGATGACTTTATGCCTTCACTATTTCAAATTAAATTATGAACTACAACCAGAAAGTTGTTATAATAGCAGTTGATGATAAATAAAGCAATTTCTATGTATGCGTCATGAAGTAGAAATAAAGACCGAATTTGTTTCGGGGATGTCAGCAATATATCACCTTCTTAAATATCAAGATAGAGATGCATGATAATTCGTAATTTTTAACTAATGCTACTATAAATAAAAATGGCTGCTTTGCAATATAATGAAAATCTTCAATCTATCTCGTAATTATAAGCGGTAGTGTTTTTAATCTGATAACACTCTATATTATTATTCAGGCATCGGACTACCAATCAAATCGTTAAATAATTTTTAAATGATGTTATAATAAATGAGTGACTTGATAAATAATACATTGCATAAAAATGTTAGCCCAGCAATATTATCATGCATATCCTTAGACATTGAAATACGAAGTAATTTTCGATACTATATTTGATTATAGAATACTAGTATATCGAATTTGATGGTAAGGTAGTAGCAATTATTAAAAATTATTTTAGTTTTAGGACTAAAAAACTGAAGTAGTAATAGCAGTGTAATATACCCCCAAAGCTATATTCAATGCCCTATATCTTCAATTAATATATAATTCATGCATTTTTTACTCCCTAATAACAGAAATAATTTACGGAACAATAAATTTAATGTAGAAACTCAAAATCTCCATTCAATGAAAGTTTTAATTTTTATTTCCTTGTCTTAAGCGATTTTGTTAATGATCGTAAAGCTACATCCAAAATGAATTTTATTTAAGAAATCGATTCTTTAACAATTGTGTCGAACGTTTAACTATATGTAAGTAATATTCTTCCAAGAAGAATCCGCTTTATGTAAATCGGCTAATTAATCTAAATTAACAGGTTCTAGTACTTTAAATTTTATGTAACTACACTGTCATTGTTTTAAGCATTGAAATGCTTAAAACACAAACTATCGTTTTTTTAGGGGGCATTTATTAGAATTAGCGAAGGTGCTGCAATGTTTGCTATATCAGAATAATAATCCTTAATCAACTACATTGTGATGGTATTTCCTGAATATTTTCAATCCCTAACAGAAAACTGGCATATAACCAAAATAAACCATAGCTAAACTCTCCCGACCAACCTAATGAGAATTACTGCATTTGCTACTATCAATTGCTACATCATTCAAAACAAGTAGACTTACTGAAGCTAATCTGAATGCTGAATAATTAAAATGAATGAACTGGTTTCCTAATCAATTTGATACCAAATGGATGCCAATTGATTCGTTTTAATGAACTGTAATTTAGTGTAATTTGTATTCTTTAACTCTTGTCATTACCGACCAAGTCTGATCGGATCTTAGCGCTTGATCAATAGCAATGCGTTCTTGGCATTCTTAAGTTTTTACAATTAATTAATGATGAACAATAGTTGACCATTAAAAGGATTTATAGCATTGTTTAATCCTCAAGATATACATTAAATTTACCATAATAGACATACGTATTATACGCATATCTAGCCCAATAATCTTTAGCATTCTTGTCATGCCCATCCAGCAAATTATTTGCATAAACTATTATCCGCGAACATTACTGACTACTTTATATTTTTATTATAAATAATTCATAGATAGTTGTTGAATACGTTATGTGTTATAGTATTATTTAAGAATATCATTATAAGGCACAGCAAGGATGATCACTTTTCTGTATCAGTCAGTGCAAGTATTCAAATAAGTTGGAAGGATCATCTTTATTTATCTGCTACAGACTGCGAATCTTGTTCGATTAATCATGGGGAAATTAATTTCTTTTGATATTGTTTTTGCTAACCAACCACCAATTTTCTACTCTGGTCAATCAGTGAGCGGAACTGTCATAGTAAACTTGAGAGATGCTATGAAAATGAGAGGCATTAGGGCCCGAATCCACGGACGAGCTTACAGCCATGTTGAAGTACAACAAACACGTGAATATGATGATGGACAAGGAGGAACTCGAACTGAATCTTATACAGAGTATTATCGTGAATATGAGACTTATCTTGACCATCAGGTCACTATTTTTGGCAAAGGTAGACTATTCTAACTATTAAGGAAATTTTTATTAGCCACTCAATAATAAATATAACAATTTGATGCTAGTAACACATGTTTAAGAAGTTTTTATGCCCTTTTGTAGAAGTAGGAGATCGACATGGTCAAAATCCAGTATTGCCTGCCGGACAGCATGCATTCAATTTTAGCTTTGTCTTGCCTCCACATCTTAAAATGCCATCATCGGTAGAGCTTGGCCATTGCAATATTCGCTATATGATTGTCGGAACAATTGATAAACCATGGAAATTTGACCATATCGCCAAGAGAGCTTTCACGTTATTGGAATCTATCGATTGCAATGACCCCTCATTGAGCGTACGTACAATTATTTATAGGCACTTTATATACTAAAACAATCTAATTTCAACTTAAAAAGAACTAGAATATTCTACATTACTATTGAGTTTCGAGATTTTGGAACCAATGTAGGAGAGCACTATTAATTTTCTTACTGCAAATAGCATAAAGGAAAAGTGTTGCACGCGCTCGTCAATTCATGCAGTATCTATGTAGCGGCTGAGCATAGACTGACATTCATAATTTCTATTACTGCCTTACAGCAAAGACCGTTTCCGCTCCAAAATGAAAAATTTCTATGTTGTCTTTGCTGTCAATCTGGCCCACTAAAAGTTACGGCTAATATTGATCGTTGTGGCTACTGCCCAGGGGAAGGGATTTTACTTAATGCTGAATGTGAGAATTTAACCAACAGGGCCATGAGAGGAATAAGAGCCAAATTGGTTCGCCTTGTGAAATGGAAAGCTCGAGGTATGGAAAAATTTGAAGCTAACGCATAACGTTCTAACATATTGCTATTTATTGCCTATTAAACTAGCCTTAAATTTGTAATTAACTGATTATTCTGTGTAACTAGGGTACAATGATCACAGGAGCTCCGATTACTTTGAGATTAAATCACCAGGAGAGATTGCGGAGGGCCAGTCATTTAGTTGGAGTAATCAGCTAATTCAAATTCCAGCTGTCACTCCAACAATTACCTCCTGTGGATTAATATCAATCAAGTACGAATTTCAGGTAAAATCATATCGAAAATAACTGTAAATAGTTCAGAACTTAAAGGAGATTCTTATCAAAATTTAATACCTAGATTGCTGTTATTGTTCCTGGCGGGATTAATTTGAATCTTGTATTTCCAATAACTATTGGAACGATTCCTCTAAGACCTTCAGGAATGGCAGGTATGTCAATATACCTTACAATATTAATTTAAGAGTCAAGATTTTAAAATACAATGCCTTGATATGTTTACATCAGCATATCTTTGTTGATTTACAAAATTTCTGTAGCTTCCGCAAAGCATATACCCTATTTTAAAGTAATAGTGCACTGTAGTAGTCTTAAGCTGAAATGTACCCTGTATAACCACTCAAATGCATATTTTTTATCCGATAAATTCAGCATCAGCACCCTACTACCGTGAATCAATCGATGGTGCTATGGAAATAAGAGAACATGATGACAGTGAATATGTAATGGGCGGCCTAACCTTCGCTCCTATGTACGCTTATGCTAACAATTACCAACCCAGTCTGCAACAAGGCGGGCCACCAGTTCCTGCACAACCTCCTGCACAACTTCCTGTACAACCTCTTGCACAACCACCATTACAGCCTCCTCCAATTATGCAACCACCTCAACCCACAGCTCAATACCCACCTGAAAATCCAGCACCTGTAGTTCAATATCCTCCGGGACCGCCACCATCGAATATGGCTTAAGTATGGACTGTAATTAACTTACGCGAATACATATTGAAAGAGTCAAAATTTTACTGATATGTACCGAGAATTTAGCCAATATAAAAAAGTCAGATGTAGTAAGTGTGGTGGACAAGAAACTAGAGATACGTTTCTGCTATACCTTCAACTTTGCTTATTTCATTCCAACATTTTTTAGTCATAATAAGCGTAGAAACCATTTTTAGAAAAAAACTCCTAAAATATACCATATATGAAGCGAATATAATATTATCTGTGTGTGCCATAGTGTATCTTAATCTGATGTGTTTTGAACCACGTTGAGGTTTAATGATGTACATTTATCACGTAGCTAAATGTGCAAGCAATAGTATTTAGTTCTTTTCATTTTATTGCCTTTCAACTTTATAAAAGATTTTAATAAAGAACTTTGTGCTAAAAATAACTTTACTGCTTTAAATTTATTAACCAAATCGTAAAACTTGATATAAACTCAGGATTTACATAGCACGGTCGATAATACAATGTACGTAAATCAATTCATCAATTTAATTCCAGACGTCAAAATACCTCATACAATGTAGAGTTTTGATCTTATTAATTTTTCATTTCCGTTACGTTTTTTTACGTTCTACGAATTGCGGCATTAGAGGTATTATGACTTTCCTTAAATTTACTTTCAAATTGTGTTGATTATCTACTATAGCTAACAATCGTTGACTACTCTTGTAACTTAAAAGTAGTTATCGCTCATGAAACTTTTCTTGTTTTATGAAATGTTACAGAAGGCTTCGTAAACAAATCTTTGCTATTAATTCATGACATAATCAATCAGAACTGCTTATCATAAATAAATACAGTAGTGACTTACAAAATTTATTGATGATTTAGACGTTCTCTACCTTGAAATTGTTGAAGTAAACAAATTGATTTCAAGAATCTTGTACAGTTAAATACTTTTATTTCTAAAGATTTCTGAGTTTCGTATTATTGTTGTAGATCTTATCGATTTTCTAGAACGATACATTCATATGCAGTATAATTGATGATATATAAGTATGACATTAAGCAAGAAACCAAAAGATAGATGATGATATTGAGGTTTATCATCCATTAAAATAAATTAATACACCGAGTAATGTCCGCAAATTTTCGAGTATTTTTACCACAATCTCATACCCTCTAGAATGCCACTGTCTAATTAATAATGAAATGGCAGCTATTCACAAATTTATGTTTAGAAACCTTTATATTTCCGTAATTAAAGCAGTCTATGCCATAGGCACCCTCTATAATTACAAGCTAACAATAATTATCAATTGTGGGGTATAAGCCGGAGTAAGAGTATCAATTGGTATTTCCACAACAGGCTTGTTATGATGCGCCCAATATTTGATTATAAGGTTAGCTATGTTTGATACAGTTAGGTTATTAAGAATAGATATTATCGTGATGCTAATATTAGATGGTTGATAATTACTATATTAGAAATTTTTGATCACTAATGTTAACCCGTTAACTAATTATAATACAAGATATACATGACATGAAAACACTGTAACTATGAAGATGCCCAACACCGAAAGGTGCTGAACGTAAGTAGAATAGTAGTGATATCTTAAGTAGAATGATTTAGATTATAGAAGATGATGATGTTCTATTTGAGAAAAGTATCCTGCTTGATGATTCAAGTCTGATTGTAGATTAACGGAGTTGTCATAAATGGATTTAGCGAGATATGTTTAAGAACTGTAGAGATGAGCCCAGAGAGGGAGGAAGAAACTGCACTGTACTTTGAGCTCGGAATACTTTAGATTTTAGACTAGATTCTTGTAGTAAATAATTATTACTCTACTAATCTTAAAACCTTGTAATAAAAGCTTTTTAGAAAATACCCTTTGGCTAAGATCACATTCGACTCGCCGTCAAATATTCAGAAAAAACTCTAGGTACTTAGAAAAGAAAGTAATAGTCTCGCACTTATGAGTATAACTTACTAATGCAATCTCCGTTAACTAAATATACTGCAATGTACATTATATACAGATAGCTATTCCATTAAAAAGTAATAATATTGTTGTAATTAAAAGATCCGAAAAGCTATGATTTATGTATGTCAATAACTACGATAGCAATTGATCTCATAATCAAACAACAACGCATCATAAGCTGAAATTTTACGGTACTAGCATAAAAAAGTAGTACAGTAGATATTATTTGCCGTCTACTGCAATTGTTATTCTTATACATAATATATAAACACATAGTTGTAAAATTTCCTCAACGAGCTAATAAATTAATTTTTCACCGCTACATCCCTGAAGGTTTTGTAGGAAATAAATTCTTATTTCTAGATAACATAAAGATATTCATCTATACAGGGTTCACAATTAATAGAGCAGGTTTATGACTTTATTTACGTTCCAACTAATCCTCTTGCCAATTTAATTAAAAGAATTTACCAATAAAATCACAGAATTGTTACATTAAGCAGAACATGCAGGAGAAATTTCAGATCTCTATCTACATATCTATGTTTTAATTTAAAAATAGCACTCTTGTCTAGTTAGTATTGAAGCTGAAAGATGAATTTGAAGATAAAATTGCGGTAGAATCAATTGACTAATAAAATTTACTGTAATCGCACTTTAAAAGTAGATGGACATTACCGATCGCCAGCTTCTACTAATAATAATAAGCCAAAATAATGCAAGATAGCAATTTCCAGTATTTGTTAATTAAAAATCTGAATAGCTAATTCTCGCGAGTAAATAATGAACATACATCTACAATAAGTAATTCAAATCGACAAGATTCAAACTTCTCTAATATTTTAACTACAAATAACGAATAATATGCGTATTTCTTGTTACCCCAAATGAAGATATTTCTTGAATAATACCATAGGAGTATAAAATGCGTCATAAAATTTCGCAGTAATATAACTGTATTACTAGCCAAGTATCACTTCAAGAATAGCCTAGATCCGTTTATGACATAGCAGGCTTTTCCGTTGATGGATTACTTGCAGGAAGTGCTCCAGGAGGCGGAGGTTGATAGTTACTAACAAATGAATACATGGGTGCGAAATTTCGTTCACCCATCAAATAGTCAGAATCATCACTATCTTTAATATCAGTGGCACCATCCGCACAGGCTAGATAACTAGGTGGAGGAGCCATTGGCATACTAGCGCCTGCTATATTTATCAATCGAAAGATATCAAAATCAGATATAAAATGTTAATTTAAACAGTTAAACAAAAAGTCTAGTATAAAGCATACTCATACCAGCCCCTATAGCAGGTGGAGGAGCACTGCCTTGCCCTAGTGGTGGAGGAATACCGCCTGGTCCTAGTGGTGGAGGAGCACCACCTGGCTGCAATGGTGGTTGCATACCCATCACTCCAGGCAATGGTTCTGCACTAGGCATTACAGTTCCAGGAGGTGGCATTTGTATTGCTGTTGGTTGTGGAGTGTAGCCATAATTTATTCGCAAAGGGATGGTCCCAATAACAATCGGGAAGGAGCAATGCAAGTTAATGCCGTGTGGCACAACAACAGATATCTATCAACAAAAGGTTTGCATAAAAATGATTATTATTTTCTAAGGGCAAAGAGTAGGATTTTAAATACGGTATGTAACCAATACAACTATTAGCAAAGTCAGTATTAATAACCTGAAATTCATACGTGACAGATATTATACCACATGATGTTATTGACGGTGGAATAGAAGGAAGACAAATAAGCTGATTGCTCCAATTAAACGAACCACCTTCTTCGATTTGTCCGGGAGATTTTATTTCAAAATCAGTGCGAGTTCGACGTTCGGAGTGTCCTAACGAAGCATGCAATCGAATTTTAAAGTTTCCATCATTGTTATTTTCTTAAAAAGGCAATCTTAATTTTTTATTAACCGCGAGCTCGCCATATAATCAATCGGTTTAATCGGGCACGCACGCAGTTCATAGTTCTATTTGTTAAGTTTTCGCATTCTGCATTTAACAGAATTCCTTCGCCAGGACAATAACCGCAGCGATCAATGGAGGCTGTCAGCTTAAGAGGTCCTGATCTGCAACAACAGCAGCACAAGAACTTCTCATTTTGAAGTGGAAAAGGTCGTTGCTAGCCACAAATAATTCAGTCATGGAAACATAACGTTAGTTAAATAATTAATTGAATTTTTTCTAGTTCTAACTAGTCACTTTAACTACAAACTGGAATCGACTACTTTTATGAACGGATCAATACTCACCACCAATGATGGTTCGTTAACATCAATAGATTCTAAGAGTGTAAAGGCCCTTTTAGTGACATGATCAAATTTCCAAGGCTTATCGATGTTTGAAGTAATCATATAGCGAATGTTACAGTGGTAACCATTTTCGAAGGATGAAGGCATCCTAACATTAGTCGGCAACATAAAATTGAAATTAAAATCATATCTTCCGGCAGGTAGAACTGGGTTATCACCGCTTCGATGGCCAACCTCTGTTAAAGTAAGCAAGTAATCATACTACATATTTATAAAAATTCGAATAGCATGTTACAAAAGTTATCATTTATTAGAGTGGATACCAGCAATCGGAAGTTACCTAAACTGGCTGTATTTGATTTATTTCGAATATACTACATACAATAATGACAAGAATAATTGAATATTACTTACCTTTACCCCACAAAGTAACTTGATGATCTAAATAAGTTTCGTATTCGGTGTAAGTTTCAGTATAAGTTTCAGTTCTACTTCCACCATTTCCATCACTTACTGAACGAGTTCTCCTCACTTCGACACGTGAATAAGCTCGACCATAAATTCGAGCACGTACACCTCTCATCTTCATAGCGTCCCTTAAGTGAACAACTACTGTACCAGAGACAGACTGTCCAGAAACAAAGACTGGGGGATTATTTGTAAATATGATATCATAGCTGATTAATTTTCCCATGGTCGGTGGCGCTTTTTAATTCAGCACTAAGTAAAGAAGAAATAAAAGATTACACTTCAATAATCAGCAAGTTAGTTAATTATACAACTTTTAAAAGTGCCTAAAACTATTTCACGTTAATTTCATTATCATTACTTATAAAGCGCTACAAGTATTAATGCGGGTGGCTGCAACTCTTATCGTGCTATCAATTTATGAAATGTTCAAGTACATTTACACATATTGCAGCCATTCTATCAAACTTGGAAAATGGCAAAGCATTACTGTAAGATGTGCTGTGAATATCCAAAAACAGATGTAAACTTTTCCAAGGTCCAATCAATACGTCTAAATTAAAGGTATAAGGATACTAAAGGATATGTTACAGAAAACGTCTTTAACGACAATGCTACTCAGATTGTTGTCAATAGTAGTTATCAATCATGAGCCATAACAAAACTGGATATATGGAAAAATTTTATATAATATTTTAAATTTATTATTGGCTTTTAAACCTAAGGTAAAGGTTTATAAATAGAAAGTTAAGAGCAAATTAATATATTACTAAGTCGATATTCCTTTGAAGGGATTAATATTAAAATCTATTCTAATTACAATTAGTCTATTTAAACATAGATTCACTCGCTAGAACGAGTCTTGTTTGATTGGCTTCTTCAAAATGTATATAGTATTGTAGCACGATTACCCACAATTCCGTACGTAACATATACCAATATTTAAATTCATGAAATTGTCAATTTCATCAAGAAATCATTCCCTAGGATCAGTCAACTTTAGTAGACATTCATTGTTGTAGATACTTTATGAAGTATTTATGGAAAGGTGAAATTCATGGCTTTTATTAATCTATTAATCGATTTTACTATTCAAAACAGTACCATTATTCCATTTTGTATTTTGTGTTGATCAACACTGTTGATAAATAATTACCACTAGAATATATCTCGTTGGTTACACTATGCATACTTCAACGTTACTTCAATAGCCATATTTACTAATCCGTAGCGCAATATTGGTAATCACAAGGTACAATTTGTTAGGATAAGCTTAAAGGATCGGCTAGTATTACTGCGAACCATGAAGCGGCGAATACCGTAAACATTGTAAGTATGTATATTAAGGCTTTATCTTGTAATGTCAACATAGCACAGTAATTACGTAGATACCGCAGTATGAAACATAAGCACATGGGCAGTATGGTAATCAAGGAAGAAAATCGTCCTGTAGAATGTGTGATTAATTAGTAATAGAATTTTTTCGGTTACTGTTACTTTGACAATGACCATTTTGCATCGTTATGACACTGAAGTGTAAACTACAATAAGAATATGTTGGGTCGATGCCACAGCAATAATTATCCAGTAACGCAAATAGAAGAAGCAGCTAAGAACTCCCAGACTGGTATCCAGTAATGAATCTATAGATACAGTCTACATTCTCTTTACATACAGTACTTTTTTGAGAGAATTTCAAAAGAGATCATAATCCCTACACTATTTTTGTACTAAGGAACAGAGAGACAAAATGAAGATGTGGATGTAGAGTATCCTATTACATCTCTCTATCGACTAATACCACTCGATGGTAATCATGTTAACGCCTCCGTATAAAAGAAAACAAGTACAGAAAGTGAACTAATGCTATCGCAGCCTTTGAGCTTTGTCACTTTGTACGCACATGTGTAGTCCTTTGCTTAAGTTAAGCCTTAGCCAATTGATCCTCTACATTAATTTTGACGTTCGATAAAATTATGAACAACACGATGGAGGGATAATGTCAATAAAGAACTTTTCCAGACTGCTCCTATAACGTAAGCGATGTCATTGGCCTTGTTTAAGGTAGAACAACTGCAATAAGATTGATGATTGCGATTAGAAACTAGGCCACAATCAAAATCACTTATCAGCTACGGTAGTGTATCACCACTGTTGCAAGAGAATCAAGTGATGATAATAAGAGCCTGTAGGAAAAGCCTATTTTTTTATTATTATTATATCGTACTTTACTGTCAATAACCATGCTGTAAGTCAATACTTGAAAGTATCGCGATTTCTTTCTACTTTTATAAGCATACAACCGTTAAAGCGATCGTATCCATTCTTTCACGTTGAAATTGGAAACGTAAAGCGTCTCCATTGTCGATAATTCATTCCATCAAGCAACAAGAAGAGACACTCCCGTATCCATTTGACAACATAAAGCTTGATAACATGAAAAATTTCGGCACGGTAGTTGCCCTTCCATCAAAGAATAGCCCTTTCGAATGTCGATAGAATCAAAAAATCCTCTGTTGATTGCCTCCTACCTTTACTTCTCTAGGGTAATTCTGCAAGTAAACAGGCCTAACAAGGGTCTAGCTTGAAATCTCGATTGCTTGGAATTGATTGATAAGCTGGAAAGAACGTTGTAAGAAACCCGGCAGCCTCCTTAACGTTGAATAGTAGCGATGCTTTTTTCAAGGCCTAAACTGCAGCAATCGAAAATGATCAATGTTGTATGAAAATTAATACCGTACAGACCTAGAAACGACATGACAACACCTACTGGAAGCCAAAATATGGGTTGGCCAACTTGGATCGGCGGATACCTTGGCAACGTCGTCAGTGTCAATGCCAATGCGCCCCAACCCATCCGACACATGAGCCAATCGATTTCAGCAGAAATTTCTTTTCAATTCCAAACTTGTATGGAATTCGATCCCATCTAGACGCTGAGCTCATTCGAAGGTGTTGAGTACATACAGTACAGTATTATGCTACTACAGTGTCCTGTACTGTACACTGTAGTCGACAGTTGAGTACTGCTGACCGGTACAGAGTAAACTACGGAATGGAACGAAACGCGGATGCGCACTTTAGCTCCTCGCGGAATGCGCCTGCGTAGTTCGTTCATTCCGTAAAAGCGTGTAAAATACGAAACATGATAGTGATGATACTATACAGTACAAAGTACAGTACGTGTACACAGTACTGTACTGTAGATCGATCCAGCATGGGTTAACAGCGATGAATACAGTACATGGCTGAAATGGCATACAATCGAGGATTCATTATGCATACTGTACCACATTCAAAGGAAATTGTTGGACTTGAAACTCAGCAATGACAATGTGGTATGCCATATTGCATAAAAAAGCATGTAAACCCATTTCAGCGATGGACAGCACAGTTCTAGACTGGGATTCATACTGTAGCTGTTAACAGTACAGTACTGTACACTGTACAGTACAGTCTTAGACTAGATTACGTCATCGCGAGTACTTTAATCGAGACCAGTGCAAGGTCACACCCTTTTTCCGACAAATGATAATAATATTGATCACAGGTTGAATTAATAATGCAGTAGTAATCACTTTCTTCGGTAATAAGAAGCAAAGTGATTTCAATTTCCTCATCGAACTAACTTATCAATAGCGCTATACCGCTCTCCTCCCCATTGTGGCTAAAAATGAAGATGAAAAGAACAACCCATGAGACAAGAGGGATCTTTAAACCAGTGGTACGGTGCTGGTAGGACTAATCCCAAAATAGAGACGGACTTCAGCTGTGACCGTACAGTACAGTATAGACAACTTGACTGGCCTAACTCCACGTACAGTACTGTAATGTACTGTATACAAAGTATGTTGAATCAATGCCATTCATAAACGATCAGCAGCAGCTGATCGAATTCAAAACTGGAACGATTTTGACTGTCAGAATTATGTTCAAGCTTTAATATTTTAGTTTCATCAATCGTTTATAACGTGCAATTGATTTACACAAAGAAATTTCATTCACATAGAGTTGTATGGTTATTGAATTCTTTGCATGTCTTGAAAAATAACCAATAAAAGGATTCAATTGAAATTTCTGATTGCTGAAAACGAAGAGAAAATCGCCAACGAAAATAATAACTTACTGCACGTAACTTGCTTGCTTTATTGCAAGATAAATCAAGAGTATTATATGTTTACTAATCTACTATCGGTAAGATATCTGATCTACAGAACGGTATTCATGATGGCTGTGTACATACTATGGAGTGCATGAAACAAAGTGATCAAAATACGCTTATACTGTACTTGCAGCATACACGTTGACGAGCAATGCACCTACAAGTACAATATAGGATACAGTGGGTTGAATTTTCATTATTCCTACAGTTATTTGTATCCAAGCAATATATATGTATTATTATTGTTTCTAGTACACGAGTAGATTTCCCCTTCAAAGAAACGGGGGCATATTCTACACCAAGCAATACATCAAAAGAAAATTCACAGCTAGATTATCCTTCTATGTATGCTATGTATATTCAGTCGGTACACCAATCAGTATAATTAATCGACGTGACGGTGCCTAAGCGAGAATTATATTACGCATACAAATATGGAAAACGATATATTTTATTACAGAAAAATTGTACATCGCAGCTACAAGAGTAGCACGTTAAGCATCATGCATTTATGGCTGATACTATATAAAGTAGTAACTACTGGAACATTTGAGTCTCTGAATAGATAAGTCTTAATATTTTTATTACAACATATTATACTAGGCCTGTGAGTACGTAAAGAAAATCTATCACTGATTTGGCGTCATCCCTTTGGGCGAAATCAATTTTTTTTTTAAGCAGATGATTCATATAGTATCATCCGTATAGAAACTCTATGAATTAAAGTAAAAATTTATCTCTGCAACGAAACCTTATAATTTGTAGCAAATGTGTATAATGGTACAAATGGAGCTTTATTGTTATCGTCGCTTGTTTCTTCCAAGTTTTCTTCCTGCTGGCAAAAACCATCAATACATTCTATGTAGCTTAGCATTTGCGGTATCAATTTTGCTAAAATGAGCACACAGCAGAAAGTTAAGAATCGATCAACTAAGATATTGAGGTATCATTCCAGTATCCGATAAAAACTTATCACTTTCACAGTGATGCGATACACGTAATAAAATTATTCTACCTTTATTACAGCGTGTGGACGAATTGGAAGGTAAAATCTGCGAATCAGATGGTAGGCTTCCTGGTATAGAGGGCTGTAATGGTGATTCCGCTTGCGATTGGCATTGCATTTGCATAGGAACAGTTCCAATAATAAATGGCAAGGATATATGTAAGCAGTCGTCCGTAGAAACGATAGCAAACACCTTTTAAAGTCGAAGAGAAAAAATCGATTATTAATTTTTACAAATTGTAAAATTTGTCCATGAATAACATATGCGTGTAACGTACAATATTCAGTAATAACACTCTGAATTAGAAATATATTGATTACTGGAAATACTGAAATAGATAATATATCATGTCTGTAAATTTATCAATTTTAGTGTAGCTTAAGCTAACTTCTTATACAAAAGAAAGTAGTTGAAAGAGAGCTACCTAGTACAGCTAATATCTCAGTTACGTAAAGTTCCATTATCAATCTGAAACTGCATTACCATTAGTTCATAAGTTACAGATATTAAACTGCTGGATTGGATGGTAGGTGGAACCGCAGGAAGATAAATAATTTCATTCTGCCAATTAAACAAATGGCCAGGTAAAACCTTGGAACGTGATTCATGTTCATAATAGCATTTAATGGCTCTCTGCGAACGACCTAATGTCGACATATTTATTGGACGATTGTCAATATTATGTGAACTGATCATTCCTTTTGATAATTTATCATAACGCTTCTTAACGCTTTGCAAAAATCACAACCAATCGAAGTGGTAGTTATACTGTACAATGAGTAAATGCATACCTTGGGCGAACCAGGTAACATATCGAAATAATCTTAGCTTAATACAATCTACAGTTCTAGAAGATAGATTTTCACATTTCGCATCAAGTATAACTCCTTCGCCAGGACAATAACCGTTACGATCAACACACGCCGTCAATTTAACTGGGCCCGATGAGCAGCAACACGTCCTTGGAAACTTTGTTTCATCTCCTTGAGGATATGGACGTTGCTTTAAAATATATATGTAATAGATGATAGGCAATATTATAGTTGAAAAAAAAAATGAATAAGCCATCAGTTTGTAGCGGATTACGGCGCTACTAAATTCGTGATTGCCATCGTTTCTATCCAGTTGATATACACATAGATACAAAAAGTAATTATTATTCAGAAAATTACTAGAAAGTATTAATAGCTTACCGTCAAAGAAGCTTGATTGATGTCAATACATTCAAGAACTGTAATCATCTTTGTTTGTGAATGTACAGGATTTTCTTCCTTTCTACTAATACTAGCAGTAATTTCATATCGAATATTACAATTTGAGCCATGTTCAAAGGATGAAGGCATTCTTGCTTTCGTTGGTAATAGAAAATTAAAGTTATATTTATGCATTCCAGCACTTAAAATTAGATCTTTATCGTCTCCATAAGCTACTTCCAGCAATTTCATAATTTGAATATATTTGAAAAATGATTAAAAAAGGGAAAGATGGATTAATATAACTATATTAGCCTAGTGTTTTAGTGTTATCTACATGTATTTAACGAGCGATATACTACACTAGATGTTTGTATAACTCACCATTACTCAATAAGTTTAAGCAATGATCTAAATATACTTCCTCCTCGGTAAGAATTTCCGTATCCTGATGAGTTGTAGACTTATCGTCAGTATCATCTACAGAGGTTGTATGAGCAACTTCAATTTTAGTAAAAGAACGGCCATAGATGCGAGCAGCAATACCATTTACTACCATGGCACTACTTAATTCAATAATAACGGTTCCAGTAATGCACTGATTAGAGAAGAAGACCGGTGGCTGCTTTGCTAACTTTATATCGAATGATAATAAATTTTCCATTGCTATTGAAATCTATCGAGAACCTAATGAACGAATCATCGTCATTAAATTAAATTGACATCAGTTACCACCAATTACGATACGAATACCAAAATGTACAGAAATACCAGTAAATTGTACACTGCTATCGATCTCAACTGTTTATCTTTCTATACATGACGACAATATTTATCAAGTGATATTTGATACTCAGTAGAATAAAGATTTAAACGTAACTATAATGTCAGTAAAATGACCTTGTATTCACATTTAAAGTAATTTTGCTATAAACCCATTGAAAAGGCAAATGTTTCTCATGATACGTTAATATTCCAAATGAACTAAAAATATCGTGGTAAGCATAATCTTCTAATAAGTAGCACCATAAACCAGCTTCTAAATATTGAGCTATTACTGCACTTTAGTTCAATCCAAATAATTTTTTAAGAAAGCAATAATTACCTCTATTTAGAAAATTGAATGTTTTTTTAATACATGCAAAGAAGATCAGATAATGTAAATCTGGTGACTTCATTCTCACAATGGATATCCAACAGAAATCCAATAAACACTTTAATTTGAATTACTTTGTAATTGCTACATATTCTACTTTCTTCTATGTTCCCTGAGTAAAATAAATCCATCATTTTTATAATGCTTTGCTAAGACAGCCAGACATTGCTGCAATAGTAATAACAGACTCTGTACAGAATCTAGAGCTTTAAGAGATATAGGATATTGACATATCCTCAATCACAGCAAAGGGCTAATTCGTAAAGAATATTCTCTATCTAGATAATGAAGTTGAGTTACCGTCATTGACTTTTGTTGCTACCTTACGCTACTTCTTATAACCAGCATGTTTTTTAATTAAAACTTAAATATCAAATCAATCGACAATTTATAACAATTCATTAACGATCTTGTTGATATAAATTTAATCGATGTAAATTTAGTACTTATCAATTAGGTAGAATCTTCAATTTCGTAGCAATCGGTTCTTACATTATCTGAGAGTGGATGTGGAAGGAGAATTTGGAGAATAATACCAATCCATTTTTAAAGATCTAGCGCTATAAGTCTCCATGATCCACGCATTATACTCTGTTGGAATCCCTTAACAGCGATATTAGATACCGCGTTCAACTAAAATTATCATCATTTTGTTGAGATTTAATCATTTAATGTTATCATCCAATAGGCTTTACATCAATGAATCGGTAAAGAGAGTAATGACTTCTACGGTTGATAAATATTGAAAAACACTACTTGTTATGCCTTAACTACCATGGCGTTTGTAATTCGAGTATTGTGCTAGTCAACCTATAATGTGCAATCACATGATCTCTAATTGCAACATGTAAATAAACCTTTTATGGTACAGATTGAACAATCATAAACTTTTATTTGAATCACAATAATTTTCAAATAATGATGTAGATAATACAAAACTACTGATTTTATTTTACTACTTTAGTAGCAATGCAGTATATTAGCCACAGAGTAAAATTAATTCCTCGATGTGCAGATAATATCTTAGTCGAAATATCATTAACATAATACGTCTTCTAATGAGTAATAGTCAATGCAACGAAATAAGACGATGTAGTACATTATAGGTTAGTGCATATAAGTATACGTTATTCGAAATTTGAATAAGAATCAAATTCTTTAACATAAAATCTTGATTAATGCTAGTAGCTTCGGACTTTTAAATACACTACAGCAATTACAACTACCTAAAATAAGGCTAGCAGACTATCAACTAAATTGATGTGATTAAATTTTATTGAGTAATTTACTAAGGCAGCTGTACTATGAGTCTCTGCTATTCCTTTTTAAGAATTCAAAGTTACATTAAGGTTTGCTACCTAGACAAAATAGATATTTATAAACTATTAGGTAGACGAAGATATTGTGGCTATAAATATATTAAGAAATACTGCTAAGTTGAAGATCGCAAATAGTAAGAAATGTGCGACTGGTATAAGGTAGTAACAGTTTTAATTTGTATTTAGATTATATCAGCAACAACTGGAAACTACCGGTATCTAATAAATTAGTTAGCTTGCAACTAATCTCAGAAACCTTGTAAAATATCATCTCATCAGCCCTTTTGATACTATAAATGAAATACCTTGTAGTGCAGATTTATCTGTATCGTTGTTGATCATTGTCTCCAGTAATACAGGATTTGCAATAGCTTAGCACTTCGCCATTCTGGCTTAAAGGGCATCTTTTAATCCAGTCACGAGAATTACCGTACTCAAGTACCGTAGTTAAAGATTCAAGAAATTGAACTTATACTAACATGCAGGCAGGTAATGAAGTAGTTGCTAAATCAATCACTGCTTTGGAGAATCTACGTTTTACTAGATTTTAATGTAGTTAAATTTTTCGAAACAGTCACTCAAGAGGTTTAAAAATTAATGATCTATACTTTCAAGTTAAATTGTACTTATTTGACAATCAATCGCATTCTAAACAGTCGAAAAAAACTGGCAAACATAGTCTGTACCTATTAGCTGTAGTGGCTTATCTTTCAATAGATCAGCAGCACTGAAGATAACAAGAAATATTGTTATGGACGGTACTAGCTTACGAATCTGATGACTAGAATACTACTGACACTTATCAGCAAACCTCTAAATATGATTAACTTGCATGAATGATTTACGACATAATCCAAATATGAACAGTTAATATACGGTATAAAACAGTCTTTCTTCAGTTATTTAAGCAATCATCGTTTGCCTGCCTAGTTTTTTATTCCCGATACACAAAATAATATCTTATACAATCATTTCTATAGCTAATCCGCGATAAAATTTAGGATAGATAAATAACTAATTTTTTAATTATATCCATGATATCGTGGTAGGATAAGCTATTATTGTTATTGAAGAAATCTTCCTTTAGAGACAGTATACATCCATGGAGCCAGTACTACCGAAAGAAGTTCAATTGTAAGTGTGTAATTATCTGAGGTATTTTGATCTATTTATATACTAATAAAATAATTCTTTTAGATAAATCAGAAATAGTACTTTGTTGGTAGATACATGTTGTAATTGTCTGTGATAACTGCATTTGGTTAATTCAGTAATAACGTCATCGTATCTCTTGCTAATTTGATATACTAAATAGCGCAATTATTTATTGTTCATAAACCTTTTCATGTTAACGATAATAACAAACACTGAGAAAATGGAATTAAGTAATATTTCAATTTAGACTATCATTTTGATTGAAATTTTAATGACGAATATAGAAAGCAAATGATAAATATAATCTAGTATGACTAAGTTGGTAATATAACGATACTGTGGAGAGATCTTTAACAAATACTGAGCACATTTTTATGATAAAAGTTAACAATTTAAAAATGCTTGGAATAAATTGCATAAATTCCAGTGTAAGCATAGTGATTTCAGCTAATTACAGTAGCTAAGAGATAGGAAAATACAGCGATATTATAGTATACAGTAAGGTGTTGTGAATTGAATCTGACCAAAATTCTCTACTAATCTGATCTACATTAAACGCACACTATAAAATATATAGCGATACATTTCATTCCATACATGAAATTTAAGTTACATTTAATAATTCATATTTTTCTTCTATCGACAAACTAGATATTACACATAGACTTCAAATTAATCATCTGTAGGTTCTAAAGTAATTTCTGTAGTATTCATCTCTACTTGAACATCTGATCGATCAACTATGATGCCTTGATCATTGGTCATTAAATCGTCGTAACTAGGGAGTTCCCGTGAGTCTACATAGGCATAAGAAAGGATTTTAATGATGTGAGTAAGTTTAAATATCAATATGTATCATCGCAAATCCATTAGCATAAAATAGCCTATAAGGACCTTGTCGATTTTGTATCCGCAATAGAGATGAACTTGATGTGGGCTGAGTAGTTACTTTGGAGTAAAAATGAAATCAAAATAAGGGTAAACTAACTTATCTATACAAATAGAAGATACTTCTATAACCTGGAGGCGCTGATATTGGCAACTGGCTGAATATCTCCGTTGATTGGGATCTATTTTCTGAATGCAAAGGAAGTGTGCCAATAACAAATGGTACAGAAACTTCAATTTCACCGTTATAGCATGGCACTTTTACCGCAATCTATGGAAAGTTTAAACAATAAATATAATTAATCAATGCAATCGAACTTTCATTTGCAGTTACTAGATATTTTTATAACTCCTTAATAATAATGCGTGAGCTTTGCAAAAGATATTAGGCAGACCTTTAATCTATAAGTCACGTTTATTATGTCAGCTGATGTGATAGAAGGTGGCATGGCTTTGATTTTTAGCTTGTAATTTTCCCATTTATATCTCCTTTGTCTATTAGTAACATGAGGTGATTTAAATGTAGAGCATATAACTTCTTTTTCTCGAGTAAAATCTAAGAAAAGCCGTTTAAATTGTTTAATTTGAAGTTTTAGTAAACACTAATTCTATTTTATTCTAGTATACTAACACTACTCACTCTTAGCTTTCCAACGTATAAAGCGAATTAATATTGCAGTAATTTCTGGTAGAACCCAGTTTGACATATTTTCGCATAAGACATTAAGGATGATATTATCGCCTGGGCAATAACCGGTATGATCTATCTTGGCGGTAAGCTTTACCAATGTCCGGAACCATAGAGGGTCGCAAATGGTACTTTGATTTAGCGTGGATTTTGATTCTTGCTAAGAAACAACATCTATTATTAACGATGTTCATCTTTACCACATTTACTTGTCGAAATTAATGCAAAATTTCTCATCTCTGAATTAATCATACTTTGATGCCATAATGCTCTAAGTCTATATCACTAATTACCGAATTGTATAATGCATGATCACCTGAAAATTGATGTTCATTATTTCTCGCTATATTTAACTTAGAATAGCGATACAAATTACTTCCATCCTAAATTGGTAGATGAGATATCATACAGAATATCCACTACATTTCAAGGCAAATATAGCATCTGAAAATCTAGAATTTGCAGTATTTGATATAAAGTAGATATCTGTATCCATCTTACGCAGATGTTGCAGATAATTGTAGTCTACCGTTAGTACAATTAAAGCAGAAATCAAATTTCCCACAGAATAAAATTATCAATAGCTGAACATCTAAGTATTACCCTTCAGATTATCAATTCATGTTTGATTACAATAATCATCTCACGTCTAGTATTACTGTTGATAGCAACATCTAATCGAACAAAATCCGCCTATTTTAAACTAAAAAACACACTATAATACAGCATAAATCGGTTTAAGTCACTTCTTGTGGCATTGTGGGATAAACCGAAATGCCAAAAGCATGTCATCAAAAGTACTAACCGATAATTCTGGCTGCGTTACATCAACAGGTTCTATCACTATAATTTTAATGTCTTTAACTTCCTCTGGTTTTTCAGGGAGTACAACTCTAGCAAAGACTTTGTAGGAAATTTTACAATTTTCTCCAAATACAAAGGAAGACGGTATTTTGATATTGTTAGGCAGTTCAAAGCTGAAATCAAACGTATGGTCACCAGTTTGCAGTATAGGAGATTCTCGTAAACTGGTGCGATTATCTGGGTTAAAATGCAGCAAGTAACATCAATTTGTAGGGATGGCATTCTATCCTTTATCTTATTAGCCGAAAATCTAAGGCAACTATTCAATGATTTGATCACTAGTTTAGAAAAGATTATTTTGCCATTGAAGTTTTCAATTATCGATCTAGCTGAAATAATCGACATTTTACCACTTCCCCACGCTATTATTTCCTGATCCAGGTAGATTTCTTTTTCAGGACACGACCGCTGGTTTCGAGAATTACCAACATTACTATTAATCTCATCTCCACGAAGCTTAATATAAGTAGAACCCTCTCCAAGAATACAAATATGTATTCCGCATACTCTGACAGGTGCTAACGGAGTGACAATCACATTGCCTGCCACTGATTCACCAGGCAAGAAAAGGGCAGGATCCTTGTTTATATTGATATCCACTTTAATTGCTTTAACCATGATGAGCTTCCTTTACCACAGTAAAATAGTATAAAAAAGATTTATCAGAGGTAAATGCACTGCAGATAAGATCTCTCATACATATTATGTGGTCATTTTAAGCAGAATAAATTGTTCATCTCATATTGCTTGTGAGTAATACGCTCTGATTACAATCATCGACTTTCTAATAGAGAAACATCATTATGAAAAGATGCAATTCTTATCCGATAAATGATTAAAAATGGATTCTTCATGCTTTAGCTAGTCTACTGTAGCTTCAATAAACTAATATCTATATTTTCCCAAGCTCGTTTACATGCAATGCTAAATAAAAATGAATCGGAGCAATTATTGATAAAACTAGTTGGAAGAGTTTAATTCTTTATAACGAGAAATATCCCTTAAGTTAGCAATATACTAATTCCCGGAAAGTCTTTCTAGATAATTTATATTAAAATTGAATTAGTCCACCTTTGCTTTCAGTAATTCTAAATCATTCGAGCATCATCGATAATGACTTGAGAATGTAATGACTGAAGTACAATTACAAAGAAAACTGCAAGTAGAGCCGACCGCTAGCGCTAATAAAAGCAACATTTGTTTTAGAAATGGATACATTCTCAAATCATCCATATTGATTTAATAAGCATTTTTAGGTGATAATGTGCATGCTCAAGTAACAGATCCTAGATTATATTATCAACTAAAACAAGTATTGGTGTACTGATAATTGAAAAGTAGGAAGTTTCAAAGTAATTTCGTGAGCATTGTGATCTACGAAGGAATTAATCAGGTTGATAAATTTATACACTACAAGACTAATAATAAAATTTAGATTTAGTGATCTCGTTGAAAGAAGTAGAAACTCAAATTTAGAATTGTATATTGATCTCTGATCCTCGTATTAAATTTGACGCCGTAATTGATCAACATCAGTTTTGGATATGAAATACTTAGGATAAGCCTTATTCAACATATCAACAACAATATCGATGAAGCTGCTGTTTATAGCAATTTAGACTGTCTATAAAAGTGATTTAATGGTTCATAGCAATAATGATCCGTACTAAATCAATCCATCCACAAGCTTGATGTGGCTTAATATTGCTTCTCAAAAATGGTATCAAAAATGCTTTCTATCAGCAAATTTGACCACCAGCCTTATCGTTTATAGACTTACCGACTAGATTCACTAAATTTTTCCGATTGATAAAAACATCAGTATTAGTAAGATGAGACTCGAAGAAAGCAACAGCATACAAGGTCAGAATACACAATATTGACTGTAAATTGTCAGAAGGGACTAATTTGATACATTTTGTAAGGGCTAAGACGGAACTATAAATAGCATCGACAATTGTTAAATTTAGAAGACCAATGCATATAGCAGGGCGTCAACAATTTGGATAAAAGGATCATTAAATATTCATTGTATAGAATTAATAGCTATAAGAATGTTGATATCCGATACTCTTGAACCAAGATACGTACAATCAAAAGTTTTGCTATTTGCCGACCAATATACCAAAGGGTCACCGATTGTGCGTAATGATTCAAAATAAATGGATTTCCATTGCTCACTTTTTAATCTTAGTCCGAAAGAGCTAATTGTAACTGCATGTATAAAGCTATTACAACGTATCAACTCTGTTAGCTGATATATTCATACATGGAATACTATAACTTAGGTTCAGGTACCTACTTTAATCCAACAAGAAATTACCTAAACTTTGAGAATTTTATCTAACTGCAAATTGGCTAAACCTCCGAATGAAAATATTGTATCACTATCAATTTTACCTTACCAAATCGAGCATAAAATACTATAGTATGGAGTTATTGTTTTAGATTTTTGTATACTTACAAAATAGCTATAGCTTATCAATTGTTACGATCATTGGATACTAAGGAGGTTTAGGGTTCTCACAGGAAATACAAACACTCTTTTGATCATAGAAATATAGTCTACTCATAATGCACCAAAAGATAATATGCTACTCATAAAACTGTATTATACAATACTCTTAGTATAAATAGTGTTACGTTACTACAGGTAACTATTAGAACATAACACTACGATTAGAAGTACTTATCATCAATTATTTTAAGATTATAGTTAAAAGTCTATGATATGTTAGTCAGGTATGCTAATTAATTACTTGCCGATAAGCTGTGAAAACACTAAATAGAATTACTACATTAGCAGTATTCTCTGTTCGATACAGGACTGCATTAATGCACTGCACCACTGTAAAGTTGTAGCATAGCTTTTATGATATAAACCATCTGGCGAGCATTTTGCAATGTAAATATAGAAATTACACCTTTAATCTATTTCATTCGTCACTCTCTTTGAATAAATAATTATAAAATCCTTACTTCTATGAGTTGAAATATAATATCATTAACTAGCCTATCAAGGCGCAATGAAAACAATCCTAATAATGTTTGAATACTCTATCTATAATACAATAGCTGATAGCACTAGAAACTAATTTAATAATACAATTACCTGTACTATGGTACTCATGAATTCGGCCATCAATCCAAGAGCGGATATTGTATGTTATTCAATACCGTAGCATATATAATTATAACGAACTAATTTATATTACTTTTGTGATACAGCTTGCAGACAATCGGTCAAGATAATAATTATAATTAGTACAATTGGTGATTTTTAATCGTATTCTACTACTATTACATGCTCCAAAAATTTTTTAATTACGAAAGGTGATAGTATTTTAAGAAATTTGCTATATAGCTTGGAAATAATCAATAAGAAAATAGAAAAGTCATGGATTTTATTCGCATCCTACTGCGGTTACATACTCAGTAAACTGCTAAATAATAACTAGATATGATGTAAATTATCCATGAAATTAAATTTTTAATACATTATACGGCTAGATAACGCTTTAGCAGATACAGTGTCCATGAATTGCTATCGTGTTGTCTGGTGAGCTTTGCATCCGAAAGTTACATGAAACATTGTCTAGCATAAATACTATATCAGTCACTATTTGTTTATAGCCGCTGCAAAATATATTGCTTTCTTACAATTCTACATCTAATATTAATCGAGCATTGCTGTTTTATCACGGAGATTGCCAAGCTAGACCCAAACATTTTATGTCAATCTCAAATGATAACACCAATTTGGGCTCTCTTTTACTAAATTAATATCCGAGGAGCCTATAGTTACTCAAGTATAAAAATGATAATATACAGAAGTAAGGTTTGTTTAGATGTAGACAAAAATTAGGTCAAAATAAAATTGGAAATAAACGAGTAAAGAAAATAACTGTACTTAAATTCTGTCATCAAGATCTACCTGACAGAACATTACAACCAAAGAGTCAGTGATAGCTCTAACCTATTAGTCATTATTTAAATGTACTTTCATGCTAACTTGTAATTTATTAAATTGGCTTATATGAAGAAGTAAAATTACTAAAGTAGCTTACAACTTTCTTATGCTATAATTTCTGATGCAAACTCTTCCATTTTCTAAATTGAAGCAACTTAATGCCTTTCTAAAACCTAATTACAATGGTCTGCTGGCAATTTACAATTAAGAAGTATCTTCTCATTTGATGGATTAGTATTATTGAACAATATATCACAGTACAAGACTAGATTAGAGATGATCAGTACAGAAGCAGTTGTATTAGAATTCCTCAACTTCAACACTAACAGTAGCCACATTGGCTGGGTTACTATTTGGATAGGTTGTGATGCTGCTATTTCTATTATCAACAACTTCATCATAGCTCGGAGGGAGCTCTGATAATGTAGAACCTATTAAAAATTAAGGGCATAATTTGAATGTAATAGCGAAGACTAATATTATAACCTTAAAGATTAGCATTAGATATTCTATCTTACTTGTAACAGTGGTTATACGCGGCGAGAGCATCACTGGTAGAGGTTGGGATTGGATAACTGTGTTAACGAAGAACAAAGTTCATGATGTTGGCAGTTACTTAAAAGATGAGAGTAATCTAAAACTTATTTCTACTTTTACCTGGTACTGTGGATTGAGGCATTGAGTATATATTACCCTGTAATTCGAATTCATCATTAGGTAAAGGAAGTGTACCAATGACGACTGGGATAACTACTTCAAAATATCCATTATAATAAGGTATTTCCATGTAAATCTATCAGCGAATAAATTTATAAACTATCAATTCTAGAGCTGTAAAACAGTTTAACACAAGTAGAATACTATTATCTCATATTTTTAAATATATAAGCTGAGATGCTATCGTTATAAACTAACGTGCATTTCGTAAGAAACTGAGAAGAGGTTAAAAGATGTAATTGATGGTGGCATTTGTTTTAGTTGGATTAGGTGGTCTTTCCATTCATATTTTCGTTCAGGGATAATCCCAATTGGCGATTCGATATCGAATAAAGTAACAGTCTTTTTACGGGAATGCCCTAGTTGATAAATGTTTATTGCTAAAGTCAAGCTATGATATCCAACTCTGGTTTAAGTAAATTGATTTCGATATTATACCCTTCGCATTCCATTGAATTTTGCGGTAAAGTTTTGCACGAATACATCTCAACCAGTAGATTGAGTTATTATGACATTCTGCATTTAATATCATAGTATCACCAGGACGATAGGCACCATGATCCAACCAGGCGTTAAGTTTAATCGGATCAGATTCGCAACAGCAGCAGCAAATAGTTGTTTCATTTAGAGCTGGTGTGGTTGGTTGCTAGAATTGATGGAGAAACAAAATTTTACAACATAAAATATATACAGCCTTCCATTGGCAATAAAACGAATAGCATGTCACTTCATGTAATAGTATAGTATATTTGCATCCTTTTGCTGATAACCTGATTTATGAATTTAGACATTGAAAGTTTTGAATTAAAATCATAAACTAATCAATAAATTTCTATGGTTTTACAACACTGTATTGCCACTATACTCATTAACTATGAGCCAAACGCCTATTGATGGAACTAGATAGCCTAAAAATGATCAAGATTACAACATTATCCATTAAAACTAACCGATAAAAATGAATCAGTAACATTTATCGCCTCTAAGAATATAAATTTTTTCTCGATTATTTCTTCGCCTTTATCCGGAATAACCAATTTACCGATAATCTTATAAGTAGCAGAACATTTGTCATCTAGTGCAAATGAAGATGGCATTCTAGTATTTAAAGGGATCTCGAAATCAAAATCAAATTGGTGCCTGCCAGATGGTAGGACTTGCGGTTCTACATGTCTTGCAGCAATTTCTTGACAGAAAATAAGTATTGGTTAACAGTGACAACAACTGCAAATGTTCTGACAATTCAAACTGAAGTTAGATTTTATGTAAATAATTGATTATTATCCTCTTTCTAATTTAAAATTGTCAAACTATCGCTAGTTTATCTAGCTGTACTCTTTACAAAACTTACCATTACCCCAAACAGTAAATTGACGATCTATGTAAGTTTCTGATTCGCGATGTATTTCGTCATACGATAAATCACCATGAAAGCTGTTGTCGCTGCTGCTATAATTTCGAACCTTGATACAAGTGTTAACTTCTCCAAGTATACGAATGCGTATTCCACGTACTTTCATAGGATTCCTAACATTGATGACCATGCATCCAGTTACTGATTGTCCTGGCACGAATATAGCTGGATCTTTATGAATATTTACTTGCGCAGCAAAATTTTTAACCATAATTTCTGAAAAGTTTCGAATATTTCAATTTGAGCTGAATTTTACTAGATGAATTTAAATCGGAAGAGCATTCAAAACATGACAAATTCCAAGAATCAATTTTAAATAATATGTAAAATCAGGTTAAGCAAGCCTTTTACCATTGCTGATTTACAGAAAATTCTAAGGCAACCAATTGCTTTCACTACTAGTATACTTCGTTCACATTTTTACTGCAATTTTACATTGATTACATTGCAAAGAAGAAATCTAGCCCGTGTTTTTCCAGCTGTCAAATGATCTAGCAACCCAATTATGGCTCGTAATTCTTATTATTCAAGTTAAACAAATAGTTATGCAGCGTTGGGAAGGTTCAAAGAATGACTGGGTAACAGCTTATGGAATCTACTTTGCCTTCGAGCTCATAAGATTCATGTTAAACATGTCGATATATAAAATCAAAAAGGATAGAAGAAGAGATAGAAAAGTATTCGATTATGTATAATTAGCTTAAAATTTATGTAGTACAATTCATACAGTCGTTCTTGTCTTACTAAATATAAAAACCCCAGTTGTTCTCTAGGGTTCTTATACGTTAAGTATAGGTTGAATTTTGAGGGCATTTCTTACATCGATTCATGCTCTAACTAAATCAATAACATAGGAGTAAGAACTGATGTATTAAAAATATGAGCTAGAAGTATTCTATTAACATTCTGTAATGGTCTATGTTTAGCTCAAAAAGATGAAAGGTAAGTCATGCAATAGCATTTTATAACAAAAACTTATTATACTATCAATTAACTACTTGAATAAATCTTGAATGTTCGTAGCATAGAGGTAAATTTGGATATTTATGACCTTCAAACGAATTTGTAACTGATTCAGAAAATCTTCGATAACGTTCAAGTCACTCCATTACAGACCTTGAACATCTTATCAAGTTCAGTATGATCAAAGATTACGCATTGCAATCAAAGGAATATATCAGTATACGATGTGATCATATGCTTATTGATCTGTAGTTAGCATAAATTGTAATGGCGATACATAAATTTTACCCTTGAAGAGCGCATCGTAATGAAAATATGGTTACCGGCTAATTGTTTTGCTCTCTTTGCTCGCTATACGTACTGAATATTTTTTTGGAAAATGATCATGCTAGCGCTAGAAAATAAAGTCCAGTAAGATGTTCATCATAAAGAAATCAAATAAGAATAAATCTAATTTGAATTTGATGTCATTGACTGTTGAGGGTTTTTAAATGAGCCATTTTAAAATTCAATCCATTCCTTTTATTGCCTTTTACTGGAACATGAAAACTTTTAAAACTGTTGTTCCAATATCATCATGATCTCCTGGCAAACAACTTATCAAATGCAATAGGGCTATCTTAAAAGCTAAAGACGTCAATTATACTGTAGCAGCAGTCTTGAAAAGTTAATTCTACACCGATTTTGAATAGCGTATTCCTCTAATTATTGAAGCCGTAGTATATGACGACTTTCATTTCCAAGTATGAATATCTTCCATAGGCATGTTCAAACTGTCATGCAGGTACAATTCTCAACTTTATCTTGACTACTTCAATTCGTAGCTTTGGAAAAGATATCTTAAAATCTTAAAACGGATTACAATTTCGTAGGTACTTGTTGCGACTATGAGACTAATTGCTTCGAAAATGGAATCAATTGTGTGAAGACAAATATCTCTAGAGACTCATTGCTCAACTCGAAATATTTATTTGGGTTGGTGTAAGCGAGTAAACCATGCATGGATTTTCATAAAATCTATAAAAGACCTCCATTAGTATTATAGAAATGCTAAAGTAGTTATAGGTTTTGTTTAGATAAGACAGGCAGGTATGGTACAATGTCGAAGAAAAGGGAATAGATGACAAAAAAGTGTTCAAGTTTGAGCTTTGTGCTGGCTCTTGAATAGCTCGGAAATTACACTAAAGGATTCAGCTTACACAGACAGAAATGACAAGGCAATAATTTTGTTTTAGAACCGGATAGAAATTCGTGTATGCATCCGCTAAAAGAGATTCTGAGTTACAGGTATACTGATTCATTTATCTAGCAAGCTCATTGTATAGTTACTATATGTCTATATGTTTTAGTTTTATGTAGCTTGAAGCAGAAGTTAATGATGATGACAAGAGATATATTCAGCGCAACAGGCCAAGAAATTGAACCAACTTAAACTGACAATAATGGCCACCATAGATTTTCTGTATTTAAAATTTTAGAATTTTTCCATTCGTTTGTTTCATTACAGATAGGTTTTGACGTTCCTCATTGAAAAAGTAAAGGACTAAATAATTAATCGTAGCGGATAGTTCCGATATGATAGGGTAAAAAGAAAAATGTCTACTGTTGCCAAAAATGGCCCATGATGTAATTAACTCTCCTTCAAACCAAATATCTTAATAATTTTAATACTGCTATATATCAAAAAGAGACCAATAATGCTATGAAATGTTCAAATATTTTATAGATCTTATACAAAATGGAAACGTTTTATGTATATCAACATGTAAGATAGGGTTAAAGGATATGCACGTTTATGGATCAATAAGGAATCGAGCCGTTACGATCAGTATCAATTTACTATGGCCAGCCCCATATCTGATTGAACAGGAAAATCATAGCAGAGCTCCTATAGCACTCCTAATAACTAGATCTTAATTCCTCGAACGATAGCTGATAGCATAATAGGCCTTACCGTTCCTTCGCTGCAGCTGATATAGCCAATGGGTAAGAAAAGGTGACTTAAAATCGATCTAATCCGTACAGATTTACCAAAGCAGGAGGCACTCAATTTCCGTCGTGCATTCGCTATGGTCCATCCTGTAATGTAACTATCCTTCGGCCAAAGATATTTAAATAAATGGTTAGGTGTATCCTACACGGAATTAATTAACTCCTATTGTTGACTGTACTGTATTAAATGAAAATAATGAGTAGATGAATACTATGGGCGTAGTGGAATACTTTAACGATTCTATTAGCTCTGTTCTCTATATTGTTACATCAATTTAAAAGCTTTTATAAATGGAAGAGACATTACCAATGATGGTAACGATAACAAGGATATGAACTCTTTATCATTTTTAGCTAGATATTTCTATTTAGCGTCCTATTTCTCCATATGGGCCAATTTTAGCTATCCAAATGTATTACTCTCATCAAAAGAATGCAGCCTAATTATTCAGGAATAGGAGTTATATCCCAGCGTCAATTGAAATTTTTTGTTCGGAGAGTTTATTGATTTAACGTTGTAATAGCTTTTTTTTATTCGCTAATATTAATTGCTTTGTCAATAAAGGTTAGAAGTTTTATTGGAAATAGTAAGTCATAACGATGCCACCTAAAACGGTGTAGAGCTACCATCGTATTTACTGGTATGGGTTACAATAGCACCCGCGGAATTAAATCATAGCATCTAGAATCTAGAATTAATTATCCAAAAATTGTCTATATATTTCTATTACCAATTTTCCGTTTTAATGGACCGTCTTGAAGGAAATCAGGTTTAAAGTCTCCAAGCCAGACAATTCATACGAGTATAGAGCAGATATATATACTACCCTAGATCGCTCACACAAATAACGAAGCATTTATACAGAGATTTCCTTCTGGAAGTAGCCAGTTCTAATTCTATTTCCATGTATCAACCTACAAACTGTTAGTGATATCTTTAAAAGTATCTTAAATATCCATATTTTAGCCAGCTTTTAAATGTAAGCGATAATAACTACGACCAGTATAATGACCAGCGTTTCTCATATCTACCACAAATTAATGTTATTGTCTATGCAAATGCAAGAGATATAGTCGATAGTTACATAAACCGTATGCAGCTCAAAAAAATTCAATTTCTTAAGCTATTTGAGCAGCAATGAGTTTAAAAATCCATAAAAGTATTTCCTATTCATATACGTATAGTGAGCTTTGCCACCGTTTAATTTATATATCACAAGCATACATACTTGTATATACGCAAATATCCAGTATATAATATATAATAATGAATTATCTCAGTTATGATCTCGCAAATAGAATAGTAGATGGAAACATTTCCTTTCTGCTTAATTTACGCAAATATGGCATACTCTTTAATTGGTGCCATGTTTGCTGATTTAGAATTCATAATTTTATCGACACGCTAAAAAAATATGGCTGTCTTGAATTCATGCTTGAACCGTCAAATCAAGAAAAAATTGATTAGATCAGGCACTACTTATGAGTACTATTGAATGAAATCTATTATGGAAACTGATTATTTAGTTTATAGCCGTGAGGTACAAGTATGATGATCATGATTACCAGTAAAACAATTTTTCAATATCTGTCAGCAATAGCTATCGAAACATAGATATTTGGTAACCGCAACTCATTTATATGCATCGTACACATATTTTAATGTGTTCCAAAGGAACTAACTAACATTTTTCATATTTTGGCGACTAGCAGTGTTGAAATAAGTCCTTTTGATAAAGTACAAGTAAATCGTAGGATATACGCACATTAGCAATTATTTCCGTATAGAGCTATAGTCTATAATGCCACTTCGGTAGGTATTGAGCTACTTTCATCTTCGATAATAAAGCTTGAATCATCAACTTGACTTAAATCGACACTGTTATTCACACATTCTTCATAGCTAGGAGGTGGTAAAGCCAAATACGCATTTTCTATGTAATGGAATAATTTGAAAAAGTAAATCTTAAAATACTTATTCTTTATAATGGTTATCACAAGTCGATGTCTGTGCTAAAAGTATACCTGCTTCAGTAATCGTTGATGATGAAGGCTCAGGACACAAATTGGAATCGATTTCTTGAAGGTTTTGAGCATAACGATCTTGTAGTCTTGCAGAAACTGTACCAATCACGACTGGAAAGGTTACTTGTATATTTTCATCATAAGGAATTACGACTGTTGCCTATCATTAATGAGATAGCATTGAGAATATATTATATAATCATATCCCGATAGTAATTTACGTGTCTTATCTATCACATCTAGCCCTTTAGAATGATCAGTCCCATAATGAATATTGGACAAGGGAAGTTATACACCGAAAATAGAATTACATCATTATTCTAACCTTTAGTTGATAAGTTACAGATATAAACCGGCAACTCTTAATTGTCGGAGGAAGAGCAGGAAGAGCAGATAATCGATCATTCCATTTATAAGTCTCCTGCGGTCCAATTGATTGATTCGATTGTGTTTCATAACATATAAAACTTCTGTAGCAATGAATACCTATAATATAATTATTCTTGATCAGAGATCGCTCTTCAGTAACAGTATCTAAGGTATGTATTAAAGCAGCCTGAAAGCTATTTCAGTCTCTCAGAACAATTTGAATACACCTTTTGCCTTCCAATGGACGTGACGAATCAGCGTAATTCGGATGCTACTTAATCTTCTAGATGATAAATTTTCACATTCAGCATCGATGATAATCTTTTCACCGGGGCAATAGCCGCTTCTATCGATACCAGCTCTGAGCTTAATCGGGCCTGACTGGCAACAACAACAGCATAAAATGGTTTCATTTTCTTTAAGACAAGGTGGTTGCTGTGAAAGAGAAAAACACCTTTTTATCAGCATATGATAGACAACAGTAGATGACGAATTTGGGTATCCTGAAGGAGTTATTTTGTATCGTACGTGAAAGGTAATATCTAATAGCAGTATCTTTTATAATTTAACAATCAAGCCGATTATATATTTTAATTTTTAAAACATTAATCCACTATTATAGAGCATTAATAAAATTTCTGTTCAATCAAATTGCAACGTACAATTAAAGCAGGCCTATCGATACTGATCGATTCTAACAAGGCTATTGGTCGTTTGATGATTCGAGGGGATTTTCCAGTTCGATCTATGCTAGCTATCACGACATAACGAATACTACATTGACTAAGAAGTGAAAATGATGATGGTATCCTAACTTCGGCCGAGAGAGAAAAATTAAATTCAAATTCATGACGACCAGCCGGTAGAAATGCGTCATTGCCATTAGTTTGACCTTCATCTAAGCCAAAGGAGGTTCGACAATTACAATCAAATTGAACAAAATTTCTATTCCAAAAACTAGATTAAACAGAGTAGCGAAATCTTCCCTATCATAATAATATGTATCCTACGGTATCGTAGTTTATTATCTGAATTGTAACGACGTCTATCAAATAAGTAAGAATCGAGTAATTAAGAATATGAAATCAACTTATAAAAATTACTGTTGCCCCATAAATTGATGGATCGATCCAAGTAGACTTCTTTTTCATTATAGCAATAGCCGCCACCGGGTTGTATCGCAACAGTACCATTGCCATGATTAATGAATGGATTGCCATTTCTCATTCTAATGCATGTATTGGCTTCTCCATAGATTCGAACTCGAATACTACGAATCTCGATATCTTGGCTTACATGAACAACCACAATACCATCAACAGATCGACCAGAAAAAAATATCGGTGGTTTTTTAGCAAATAGGATTTCGAAAGCAACAAGCTTCCTCATCATAATCTCGTTATTGAATACGCTTAATTTTCTATTTTACAGGCTTTGGCTAATGCTGATAGTGCAAATAGTTCAACAGAGAAATAACTTGGTTATATCCAAACTTCATAATATTCCTTAAACCTTGAAAATACAATCAAAATTTAAATTTATTAAAACTAGATTTAGTTCTGTTTATACGCCAATGTTTACGCCAATGTTTACTGATTACAATAATTCAGTTGTAAAATACGAGCACACTTATCTAATTTAATTAATCTCTAGATCAGCTCAGCAAGATTTGAGCTTTAAAACTCTTAGAATTCTGTCGTATAGTACAATTTTGTATCTATTGATTTGAGAGCTTACTTTCAAATATTTATGTAGCACTGATTTATATTTCAATCGCTTATGCCAAATCTAAAATCAATATTGAAGTATATTTCCTACAATATTTCTACTTCTGCTATTAGGAATACTGGAATTAGCCTGTCAACTTGCTATCTCGTAAAGAATTAAAAATGCGAACCTTATTTTATTCAGACAGTCTCGACTAGAAAAGACATGGTAGACTAAATAGTCTCATTACACTGAATCCCATTTACATCAAGTACTAAAGATTGTCCTGTGAGAAACTATCATATTTGCATTAAGATGTGTCTTTGCAGTTTTAAAGCCATGACTTCGCTATTTAGTTTAGCGTGCGTCAACTCTAATAGTTACAGATGCTCAATTTTATTCATTAGTTACGATAAAAATCATATATGATCCTTTTTAAATTTTAGCCTGTACTCTTTTTATAGGGTGGAATAATAAAAAACTAGGCCGGAGACGAGATTTATTAATTTTATTTCAAGACAAATAGACTAGAAGCCGTGGCTATAGGACGATGCCTAAAACGATATTTCGACAGTTCATCTAGTTTTGGATTCCGAAAATTGTTCTATTCGTATTTTAATTAATCAGCAAATTCACACATAAATCGTCATTAACTGAGATTCTCAGTAGAGCATTTCTGTGCTTCACTTTATTATTTATTATTATAGGCGTCGTTATCCTATAAGCTAGTGCATATATAATATATCATAGCTAATACTGTACTATACAGCAAAATCAATTAAGTTTACGTGATGACTGTATCACGTAAAATGATAGTTTTTGGAAAGCCTATATACTATTTACCTTAGAAGCAATAATTCTAAAATAAATATGATTAAGTATGGATGACGTTATTAATAACTTATCAGATTGTTAGTAGATTACTTTATAAAGTATATGATCCAGTAATGTCTTTCCATAAAGGAGAGAACTACCGTAGTTTTAAAGCAATTTTAGGAACGTTTATATATTCTCCGGTCATTTATCTTGACTAAAAATAAAGTGATGTCACGAACTTCCATAGAGCGAACATTATATCATGGATTATTGAAATCAAGCTGTGACAGCAATCCTGAATAATGGTAGAAAATATTGTGGGCTAAATATTATGCTACTAGCATTGATTTTTTACCTTAAGCAATCTTAGCCTATTTAAATGAATAAGTTATTGTCAGGTATCCTGCGACGTACAACAACAATAAGACTGAAATTCACAGAATGGTTATCGAGAAAATAGATGCGTAATTTTTGGCTAGACGGGATGGCTATGGAATACGAGTAATTTGCTACGCAAACATTACGATTATATTTAGTATTGCCTTTTTTCAAGAGAAAAGTCATTTAAAGTGATAATTACGGTATAAGGATTTTGGAATAACTGGTAAAATATCAACAAATGTAGACAAAAAGACCAAAACGCTAACTCCTATCAAGGGCAGGACATTAAGAGGACTTTAATCTATTATGAAGATTGATAATCCGTTCATTCGTCTATAGTCACATCAAACTCAGATATCAATGCCTATCATAATGACAGATTTTGTATGATATTATTAAATTACATGAGGATGAAAATAAAATTAAAATAGTTTTAGTTGGTAGTACCTTCATCGTCCATTGGATAGAACCATTTCGTGGATATTCTTCAAGCTACTAATCGATCAAAAATTCGCTCTCTAACTGTATAATCAAGCTGACGATTATTCTTAGCCTTTCTTATTCAACAATAATAATATTTTCAAGTTCTTCATTCGATACTATTTATCAATGTAAAATGGCGTGAATAAACTAGTAGATGATAAATTCAAGCATTTAACATCTAAAGTCAACAAATTTCAACACTACAATCAATCGTAGCCTACGTATCAACTGATCAATATCCGTAATGTGGCAATCTTAGTCTACCCAGTGAGAAGTTACAGCCTACAAGCTTGTCTTGATGAATAATCTGGATGAAAAATAAAATTGTAGTGATAACTTTCGTCTTAGGACCGACTTACAACGTGACCAATAAGTAAAAGAAATAAGAATCTATACGAAGGCCGGCATTACCTAGTGACTCCATCATTTTATTGTCAACGTAGCAGTGTCTTCAGCCTTTTTGCCAATAAATTAAACTATAGTTTTGATTGATCAACCGCTCAATGGCTTATATCGACTAAGATATGCCATGATATCTTCCAACACAATATAAGAATAGACTTCTAAACAATTGACTACCATTTTATCTAACAAAACAATAAACTAGTACTATTGCTATATTGTTCATTATGATAGATAAATACTGCGCAAGATCGCAATAAATTTCGAAGTCAATAAAAGGTCAACCTAGCCTATTTCTACTTATGATGAAAACTTGGAGATTTTAATATAATATTCTTAATAGAATTTTGGCCACAACCGTGGCCTAGAGAAAAATAGACTACGCAGAGTTAAAATATTGTTCAAAACAAGTTTCATTCCTTAAATGGCTATCAAAGTTTATGTTTTAGTGAGTAGCATCTTGTCTAATACCAGTTCTAAAATTCTTTATTATTATCATACTCTTGTTCTAATTTCATATTTTTTCTTCTAATACAATTTAATGATCAAATTGTATTCGACTCGTAATTTATCATTAAATTTCTTTGCATCTCCTGCTAGTACATTTCTGAAAGTATTTAATAGCTTCTAATTCTAGTAATATTCGCAATAGTATATAAATCAAAAATTTACGATTGCAGTAGTTTTAAAAGAATTTTCTTTTTCTACAACTAAACAGAACAGCAAACAACCTACATAATTAATCTAAAGGCCTTCAATGCCAGTACTTATCTAAATATACAGCTGTCTCTAATTATCAAAATGTAACCTTTTGTGAAGTAATATACCGTGCAAGCATACATTTTGCATGAAGAAAAAATAATGTTCTCTGGGTAGATAAGCTTATTTAGCAACTCGAATCATAGCCCAATAAATCATGCATAAATTTATTTACCTATTATACGTATAATATTAAGCCAGAAAAGATTACTACTTATAAGTCAAATTATCATTATTCAAGTGTCCGATGTTCACTTGTTGTATTAATTCGTGAAAAATAAAAAATTTAGTCGAGAAAAAACAATTGATTTATCGCATCAACAAATACTGTAATGATAATGCTAAGAAATATATCATGGACCCGTTAATCATTTGATGTCAAGTTAGTTGTGTTATTTTAGTCATTACATTTGTAGTGTTAACTTCTAAATACGGTATAGTCCATTTTTAGTAAAAGTATTAGTATTCACTAGACTGCAGCATAACTCTAAATATGTATGATCTCTATTTAACAATTTACCCTGAGTAAATATCTTGTACTCTAGCTAACTTATACCGTAGCACTAGCTTAACATATAAGTAACCTATTTTTACGAATCATTCGTGCCTATAAATAATTTCCTTCTGCTTTGCTCCTAATATTATAAAAGCTATCTTCTTTTGCCTATCTCGTTAGTTATTTCTGGTAGTTATACGGTAAGTTTGCACGCTTTACTTATTCTACACTACTATAGTTATTCGACTAGCTACGTCATTACTCGCACGATAATCTTAGACGATTATTCTATTACACTAGCTCAATAAAGGTTACTCTTCCGTTAATAACTACTCTATTGTACTTTATAGCGACTAATGCGGAACTGTTAACCTTCCGAAACATCACAACATTCAATTATATAATTTATTACTGTTACAAGTTAATATTCCAATTACGTAAAATTTCTTCGTGTTAATTCTCATCGGGTTTGGGTTGAAGTTGTCATTACTCAGTTAACTTTTTGGCATAAATATAATTACATAAAGATAAATAACTGCAAGTTGTATTAATTATGTAATTATTAATAATTCAAATACTTCTTTAAGCACTACCGATAGGTCAAAGTGATATCTAATATAATTCCAGAGAGTAGATATGCCTGCTCTGATCGGATTTTCGCCTCTAGCTTTCTAGCCCTAAACTGTCGTATCTCATTAATTTTTTATTTGGATTACATTATAATCTAAGCTGTGTTTCCATTACTGATTGCTCAAGTGCTTTTCTAGGTGAATAACTCGTTCTATTCTATTAATTTCTCTTCCCTATCACTACCTATAATGTCACACCTCATTTGAACTTTCAGTTGCGGTAGCTTGTTAATATAGAACTTGCACTGCTGTGGAGGAGATTTGGTGGATAGCATTAAGCAAGTTTGATATAAGTTATAAGTACCAATTTAGCCTAGAAAATTGCAATTATCGCCACTTGGCCGTTTCTTAAATGTACAGTAGTGTCTCTCTATTAATAATACTAATCGTAGTTTCCGTGATAGTTTCCTTTTAACAATAGTATAAAGATGTACAGCAATCCACAATTATGCAGGACTACAAGTTTTGAAAACTATAAGCGAGTATGCAACCCACATAATTCTCATTTGCTTCATTATTGTAAAGTCTTTCATTGGCAATACCGCACCTGAATTAAAATAAATTGGCTAAAGATGATAATTTTATTTCAAATTTGCATGATAATATATATGATTTAAGCATGTAGTAATATGATACCGTTAAGTACGGAGCGTAAATATATATTATAACGACTTGCGTAGAGCCAGTCAGTCAGTCATTAAGTCAGTTGCATAGCGGCTTAGTGATCATCAGACGCTGAGCTGAACTCTTCACAAGATTAAGAGGAATATTATTATTGTCATCCCTCGAGGAAGACGTCGTAAATGTTTCAATAAAGTAATTAGATCTAATCACTGATGATTCTATCGGTGTGTTTTATTGATCTGTGAGCTCGGATAGTCGGAGTACCTTACAACCCCTTTCAGGCATTAACGTATCAGATACAAGATTGTAACATATAGTATGCTTATCAGCGATTGAATACTTCGTCAGAATATTTGAAAATATCTATACATCGGATAAATTTTTATTAAAGATAATGGTGGAGTTACCTTATCTATAATAATTAGAACTTAATCTATAACAGTCAATCATCAAAATATAAGAATTCTATTCGTTACTGCGTTGAATAAAAGCATTTATAAGATATTGGCGTACATAGTTTAGCTTATAATTACATAATTATTGATCACTCAAGGTTAAGAATAAATGGCGATACACTCGTATATACAGTACATGAGCCATTTTCATATAAATCGAAGTTCTTATATCTAATGCTAGTTGCTTTGTTGACTAATACTATAGCACAAGCCAATATAAAGCTACAGTTTATGCTCAATATTGTTCATAATAAAGTAAACATCATAGCTCTAGACCTTCTGGATAGGCTCCAAATATATTTTTAATTTTTTTTTCTCATATTCTCATTATAGTAATAGCAATATTGATCATCTATCTATATGTCATATACACTTGAATGATAAAAATACAGCATTGGGCAATCGCAAAACCAACACGTGACTAATTAAATCCACATTAGTTAAGGAGAGGCTCTTTTATAGACAAAGTTAGATCATGCTATGTTAGCCTATATTGCAACTAAATAGCTTCTTCAGTATCTCCTTTTAGATAGTGTACAAATTACTTAAGTGTTTTTACTAATAATATCATCCTCTTTCCCCTGAAATTGTAGCAAAATTGAGTAATACAGGAATGATAAACAATACGTCAATCAAGCAATTTGAAATTTCATTGGGTACCAATCCGGCAGTCTATTTTCCTGGTCAAGCAGTTAATGGCAAAGTGATATTAGATTTAGAAAGGCAAATCAATATTGCAAGTATTCAAGTTCAGTGCTTAGGTTTCAGTAGTTGGAACGTACATCGAAGAACTAGTGCACGACATCATCACTGCGACATCAACTCTAGAAAGGAAACTTTCATCGATGATAGCGAAACTTTATGGGAAAATGGTAAGGACTAATAAAGAATAATATGTCTGCTTTTAGGGTTCTGTTAATACCAAGTTTTGATGAAGTTGTTCAATTTCATCTCTTAAGTAAACGTTCTGCAGTGTTGCAAATTTTATATCCACGTATACAGCAGCAAGTATAGAACCATAGTCGTACTTGAAATCCATGAACTATTCTTAACCATTCAAATTTTACCTCGAAGTAATATTTACATTTTATAGGAGTCATTAGTGTTTTTAGAGAAAACTTCGGTCCTTTTATCTAGCTTTTGAGTAAAATGAATTGATCTTGTTTAAACTATCGATTAAGCATTTCAACAAACATTTTCTACTTTAAATCTCAAGGTGGCTATCGTATTTGTTAACATTACGATCATATACTGTATGTATTCTAGATAGCTATTTTATGCAAGTGGACGACACTAAAAGTGGATATCTAGGATTTTCAACTAGTTTCAATGCTCTACTTGTGCATTACGAAAGAATCATAGTATACTGTTATATAAAATAAAGCACTATGAAGTGTAGAATATTCCGTAGTGCTTAATAGTTATTGTAGATTAGGGATTGCAATTTCATGCATCACAGTATATTTAATAGGAAGTGACCATGAATAACATTTCCTGTATTTCTGACATACATAACAATGATATACAGCAATCTTATCGACATTGACAGTCGATATTTGTGGTCTGTAACTAATAGTAATTTTACCCTTCCTGTTTTATATCATAACATACTATTGATCAGTTTCATTAAATGAATGACCGTTCTTATGGAATCAGTAAAATAGAGTATAGCTATATCTAGCCTATAATAAATTGCTGTATAATATGATTAATCTATCATTGAATTCGTTCTGATCATAATGGGTAATTTATGATTTCAAAAACTTTAAAAATTACTATTCCATAGAAATACTGACGATCAGATACCATCATACTAATTTTAAAATTAAACTATTCCCTAGGAATTGATAAATCATCAGTAATAAGTTATAAATGAAAGCCTAACGTCACTTATATCTATTTTAGTGGAGGGAAATTTGCAAGAAATGCCAGTAGGACAATATGAATTTAATTTCAACTTTCCACTGCCTATTGATAAAAAATTACCATCATCTGCTGAACTGATGTGGTATGACAGCCGTATTCGCTATTGCATTATTGCAACTCTCAATGATAAAAAGAAAAAGCTATATCGAACCGTAAAAGTCTTTACATTTTTAGAAATTATTGATGTAAATCGCCCACAATTTAAGGTAAATATTTAAAACTCTTAATTCCTAACAGATACAGAGTCTAATTAACCAGTATCAGCCCACAATAGGCCATTACTAAATCCAATTTAATAACTTCGTTTCCTTCATCATGTAAACCTGATGAAAATCATCTCTTCCTATTTGAACTATGAAAACTTTTATTACTCTATAATTCCAAGGTTACTAACTGTATGGTATTATAACTGATTCTAATCTTATATTAGTAACATGGCAAAAGTGAAATAATGTCTTATCATAATAATAGTTACACAAAGATTTAAATAGAAAAGAAATAATTAGAATCTGAAGATAATATACCATAGTAAAAACTAATGCAATAACATTTCACATATAAATCTGCCTTATTGTAGTGGCAAAATTCGTATAAAATCTAATTTATCTTATTCAATGAATCATCTTCATAAAATAGGCACCTCCACCGCTAATCGAAGTTGAAAATACTTCATGTTGTTTATGTTATCAATCTCTACCTACACTATTAACGATATCTACTGATCGATCTGCATATTGCCCTGGAGAAAGTATCAAATTTGAAGTTGTTTGTGATAACATGACATCCAGTAGAATTAAGTATATAGCAGCTAAACTTGCTCGGACAACTGATTTACATGTAGGAGAACGTAAGGCAACTATTTAATTATATAAACTTAAACCTGAATTGAAAATAGAGCAGTGTCAAGAATCGTTTCATAATGATCTATGACTGGGTTGCATAATGGCAAATACTTTATTCATAGGTACTTTTCTACACGTTCGACATTATTACAGTGAAGTTCGTTCAACAGAAGAAATAACTGGAGGTCAATCCTTTACTTGGCATGAAGCATCTATGAAAATACCTTCTTTACCTCCGTCAATTAAATCGAATTTTATCACTGTTTCATATGAATTATTGGTTAGCAGAAATTTTGCTGAATCTATATTGGAATTAAATTTCTTGGTAGTTTAAATATTCCCATTTTTTTCCGGCTTTTATGATACAGATTATCGCGAAATTTGTCCACAGTCCAAATCAATTAGCTTCTGCACCGATCACTATCGGTAGCATTCCGTTAAATTTGCAACCAGATCCAAGCCCTCCGGCATCAGGTAAGTATATATTTATTTACTGTATAGAATAGCATCTCTATAACATAACGGTATTCAATTAGCTTAAATACTATCAGATAGATAGACCACATAATATCCGGTTTATTTCCATTCCTTTTCGTAGACGTAAATAGACTCCAATCTGCAAATGTCGTCTTTGAAGGATGTGTTGATGATTGCGAAAGAAACATTAATTCGAAAAATAAATTTAAACCTTTTTATCCAGTCGCTAGAATATGAGTTTATAATGGAAAGATGAAAGCTTTGAGATATTGACAGTAATCAAATTACTAAAAAATTTTCATTATAATTTAAGTAAACTATAGATCCTCTCCATAAGCACATTTTGGATACAGAACATAACTTATATTACGGCAATATTTTAGAATCTTAATTATTTAATTCACAGTGATATAACGAATCACGCTTTGTTAACTCTACCGAATATAACATTTTTTATGGCCATAGTTTATTAGCTTTTATCTAAAGTATAGCTGTTTAGAGATTCTACTGCACCAATATACTCGATACCTTCAGTATTACACTGTTGCTAAAATGAAAATTACGAAAAACGCTATTATAAATAAGCATAGCTGTCAAGCTTGAAATCTATCATGTTAATAGAATATATATATATAATATAAAATTCAGAATGAATTTTACTGAATCTAACCAAATTTCTTGTACAATTCAATTTAATAACTGGAATTAATAACCTTGACATTACTGATGTCATTGCTATTAAATTATATTTGCAATAGCCATCGACTCCATCAGCTGATAATAATTAATCGATACAGATGATCCAATTAGTTGCTATCGCCATTTCTACATTCTATTAAAGTTATAAAGTAATTGCTTAACTAATATTAAATTAAAGTCTAGGCAATCAACGCAATCACCAAGAATTTTGGCGATTTTATTTTGCGCATAGTTAATCGCCTTAAGAAACCTTGTTTAATTTCAGTATCAATTTGTGTCCAATGTACTTATCTAAAGTCTTCGTTACACATACGTATGTCCAATAAATGATAGCACGATCTTGATAGAATAATTGCATCGAAAGAGCTACATCTTCAGCTAACGCTAACAAAGAAATTTTAAATTTGGAAGCCCCTCAAATCTCTATTACATAATTAATATTACTTCTAACTTATATTTTAACCGTTCATATAATTACCGAAGAAATGCTTATCTAATAACATACAGCGTTTAGTGTCACATTATGCAAGTCTATAAAACTAAATACCTGATGATAACCTGATAATTACTTTCTCACTTAAAATCTATCATTAGTCTTAGAAATTACAGAGTACTAAGGATATAGTAGTAAGAGCATATTGAATCGAGATAAGTAATCAAGATACCGACCAACGTTAACTATACACTTGTATGGCAAAGCGCTAATTACCAATTCTTCAGAAACCTTTCATTGTATAATATAACTTAAAAGTATATTTATAATCTTCTTCATCTATTTAGTTGCTCATGTCCATTTGAGTAAGCAGTGATTAGCAATAGATTTTTTAGAATCTTACTGGATCTATTTCGTTGCATACCTATATAGCAGTACTACACCAAGTCATATAACCCACATATGAATAAATATTTCTACATACTGCCGATGCGACGTTTTATTATATTAATCACAATATACGTTAGATATTGCGAGCATAAACGTAATATGTCATATCATCTTACCAGTTTAAGTCAAGCTTCTGCAAAAAATATAGAACTGCCGCAAGTAATGAAGCTTTATTAGTCTTTTATTCATTACAATTCACAATTGAAACACATCTTTGTTAATTTCAAATAATTAGTTTAACGTATCTAGGAGAAAACTTTCCAATCGTAGACATTAATCCTACAAGCATAGATATATATTTAATAGGTCATTCACAAAATTAAAGTCCTCTTTCTTAAGATCTTTTCATCACTAAACATTTTAAGCCTCTTCTAATAATTTCACTTGATCACCATATGTAATATTGCACTCGAATCTCCCAAGTTAGCTTACCAGTCAATAGTTATTCCGCCTTTTTATCTTTCAAGATCTCGTTTAATACTGCAGCATTGATGACTATTCTACAGTTCATGGATAAGCGTGCTCATCCATATTATTTCGGAGGTGATAAGTAGCTATAAGATCTAATTTAGTCCATTCATCATTAAATTGACATTGTCCTACGAGTAAATAGTATTTATTATTTTGGACTGGCTTATTCAGTTAATTTAATGCCTTTACGACACAATGGCTTGCTACTGTTTACATAATAGCTGATTAAACTGTAATTAAATGTGTACCTACGTCTATAAGATAAACGGAATCGAATAATCACCAATATCGTTAAATAGCATCGAGAGCATTACAATTCAGAAAGAATCTAATACCATGCTCTACCGTACAGTAAATTATCTTTAATTTTAGTTTTAGCTTCGATATTTTCATTAAATTCGAGCATTACCGATGAACCTGTTGCGCACTTGCTTATTTTCCTGTGATACCCTGTAAATTCTTGATGATAAGCGAATGATCTATAAACAATTATTCAAATCAGCACCAATTAAATACTATATTTATTTCTGATAATTGTTTTGCCTATTATTCAAAATAATATCATGCCACTACTTTTATAATGATAATTGTTGTTGATATAAAAGCATCAGGGCAACGTAATTAAAGCAGCAAAGCCCTAGTCGTAACAACAACTAATTTGGACCGTAATAGGAAAATGGCTAAGAAGATCGTAACAAACTTTGCTATCGACTTTTTAATTCAACCACCTGTTTTCTTTCGAGGCCAACCAATTTCTGGGATTATTTCTATTTGTTTAGAAGAACCGATAGAAATCGAATGTCTAAAAGTTCGCATGGTCGGTAAAAGTCGAACTAATCTTGTATTTATGTCACATAAAAGTAATCCTAAATTTAATCAGGAAATTAAAGATGAAGAAACTTTTGTTGATCAATATCGAATTTTAGTGGGTAAAGGTAAGAGTAATAAGAGTTTAATACTTGTTATTAATCTACGTGTAGAAATTATTTCCAGTACAATTATTACTCCTTAACGCGTTCTTTGCCCCTACGGTTATTCACCAAACTCTTAAGATTTATCTCAGACCTTATGACCCATGTAAATTAAGTCCTACTGATTTTAATTGAATCAGATAAGCTAAATTATCTTAAAAACTATCCTATTATATACCTTAAACGTCCATAAACCAACAAAGAGACAGCATTTAAGTAATTGTGTCCTTAAATGAAATCAAAAATTCTTGGATTCATATTTTATCCAGATAAAATAGTGTAATATCGTCTTACGAGGATGTTGAAAATAGTTGTAGTAGTTACGGCTATCTCACATCGCCATTCTGATTTGAAAGCACAGGTATAAACTATTTTACTGTAGGAAAGTTTAATTAATAACAATTTATTCCCTACGGCAGTTAGTAATTCGGCACCCAAAGCTATTTTTGAGTAAAGTGAAAGTCATAGTATCGAAACTTAGCCATCTAATATTTGTCAAGTATTGCTTACTTGTACAATGTTATTTCATCTTTGGAAGCTCTTCTTTAAAACTTATTAAAATAAACTTTTCCTAAGAGATAACGTCAAACTAAGATTCAGCTTCCAATAAACAAGATTGTATTTAAATAATTTTAGAATATACCATGATGGACCGTAAAGACATGCAGTATGATAGTGTCTACCACATGTAGTCCATAAAAACGCTTAATTCCTTTAAAATGTGAGGATTTCGAAGTCAAAGTTTGGAAAAAGGATCTAGAAAATGTTTGTCTATTAAAATTTAAGCTTTCACTAGAAACAAATTTTTCTTTAAGGTGGTGTAAAATCTTACTGTACTATATGATACATCGGCAGGATCGTTTCTTTCTTCATTACAAGATCATTCACTGCAACTATGTAAAGATATGTCAGTAATTTGCTCAAAACTAAATAACATTGATTGTTTGGTCCCATCACCCAGTACAGTCTATTTTGGTAGTCTTACGGGGTAGGTTGTTCAATAGTATAGTCAATTGAGGTATTTGATCAAATAATATAGTAGAATTTGGTTGCAGTAATTAATTAATAACACAGTTGATAGTAAAATGCTATAAGTTCGCAAACAAGTCATTGAACAGGAATCGCAGAGCGAGGTTCATTGCTTATAAAAATAATTATCGAAATCTGCCCTTTCTCCTAAATTTAATACAATTTACATTTTAATTTTTTTGTAACAGAACATGAAGGGCGTCTATTATTACCTGCCGGTAAATCAGAATTCAATTTCAACTTTACGTTGCCTACAGAAAGTAAATTGCCATCGACATTTGAAAGTAGATCTTCAGAGGGTTATATTCGATATTCAATAGCCGCAGTATTGATGAGACCATGGGATACTGACTATATCTCGAAAAGAGCTTTCACAGTCTTGGAAGAAATTGATGTCAATCAGCCAGCATTAAAAGTGAGAATGTTTCATTCAATTACCGTACAGATCTAACCGTATAGTCATAAATTATTACTAGCAAAATATTTCTTCAGACTGTATCAAATTTGCAAATAACACTTTATAGTACGAGTAAAATGAGGAGTATTCATTTTCTGATCGTAATTAGTATCGTAAAATTCTAGTCAGAGTGTGTAACAGATTACTATGCAGCACTAAAACTCTATCAACAGGGTTTTAATTCTTGGTAATTCTACTATGTAATTGTACACTATACAGGTGCAACCACCAATACTAGAAGGCGAAACATCTGTTTGCTGCCATTGCTGGACTCGTCGATCCCTTAATCTAGCAATGACAATCGATCGTAGTGGTTATTGCCCTGGTGAAGCTATTGTATTAAATGTAAGGTGTAAAAATACTTCAAATCGAATATTAAATGGCTTGCAAGTAAAATTATGTAGACGAACACAGTATTATGCTAAAGGTAAACACTAGTAAACCCATAACTCCAATAATTCAGAATAATCAATAGTATTCCACCATTCTTTTCTAAGTTTAACTTTACTTTTTATTTAGATCATGATCAAATTACTTATAAAAGCTACTATAGGCTTACCTCAGATAAACAAATTAACGTAGGTGAGACTTTTATTTGGTCAAATCAATTAATCAGGATTCCATGTATATCACCAAGTATCAACTCTGCAAAACTGATCAAAGTGAACTACGAACTTCGGGTTAGTGCCTATGTTATTTGATTATTCTATTTTAAATCACTCTCTGTATTTGTCAAAGGATTTAAATTGTATTTCTTGATAATTAGAATGATTGCACTGCGTATATTCCATCAAGGCTACTGTTCATTTACTTGCATTGCACTAAGTAAAGTAAGATATAGCGGTACCCTTTGTAAATTGTCGATTTCTCGATATATGATCAGGCCAATTAACTCTTAGTAGCATTACAGTTAAATTATATCTTGTGAGGTCAATTTTATTAAAATTAATAGATTATGGCTGACAGTTAATCCTTTAAGTAGAGAGCTCAGATCTATACTTAATTTGGTCTGAATTTTATCCTCACTACGTAAATTTATTAAATTAAAACAATTATTGCAGTAAAAGCCATTCATAGTACAATAGTGGCTTACATAAAATATTTAAAAGCTGCGAGGAGTACGAAAAGATTTTGACATTATCATCCTTAGCTTATCTTAAAACATCTAAAGATTTTGCTACTATAAATCTAAAGACAGATATTTATGAAAATGACTTGCATAACACTTCTAGAGCTTAAATAACCTGATTTATCAATATTTATAGCAGATACTATTGACGTTCGAAAACGAAAATAAATTGATTTCATTAAATTATTTTCTATTCAAAATTGTTAAGGTTTCTGTTAAAGTTCCGTATGATACAGACTTTAGAGCTGTTATTCCGATAGTTATTGGCACTATCCCTTTAGAAGTACAAACACAATCAGGAGGACCTATACCTATCCGCGCATTCTATGATGATACATCCAGAGCAGGTCAGAATTTCCGAATTGAAAGCAACATTAATATTGTATAAAATGCAGCAATCCTTACTCTATTTTCTCACAACATTATTATATATCACGTTGGTATAATTGAATGATTTAATGATGAATTCATTTATTGCAGGGGCTTATAGACTAGATACCAATTATTCAAAATGTGTGGATGGAACCGTACCTATCCACAAAGTAAAATCGACTTTCGGTCAGCCTAATTACATTCCGTATTATCCATTTGTTCGAAATTATCGGCCACCCTTAACTAATTAACTTATTAAGAGTAATTTTGTTTACTAATCAATCCACATATTGTTATTACGGTTAAACTCTCCTAAAGTAGGCGATCGCTTACGTAATGATTTTATGATTAATATCATCATAAACGTGGTGAGCTAACATATGAAAGATCCATTTGCAACTGCTTTTCTAGAACCTTAAATGGCGGTCAAACAATCGCGTACTATATACAATTACTGTTATTTCATCATTTAATGTACCTATTTTACCGTTAGATATAGTATAGATATTGCTTATTTTTAAAGTACTACCAAGTAAGGCTATTTATAAGCTAGATTTCAAAATTATACAGTCTCTAAATAGAATACCACTGATCTTAAATCATCTTGTGAATTCGCTGATAGCTAGGAGTACTGCGAATGAAACTCTATTATACTATTTGAATGGGAACTTTACTAGTCCTAATGTATAAATTGCAAACTGAATCAATTGAAAATTCTGTAGGCTGAAATGAAGAATACTGATTCAGCAAATTTAAATGAGATGAATAAACTGAATATTATTTCAATATCCATTTTTCAATCCAACAATTTAAGAGTCGCTGCTAATTTCTAACAGCTATTCTTTCAATTTAGAATTTACACTATTATACTTTAGATATCCATGAGTATACTCTTAATGCATTTATTAATACCGATTGCGATTAAGCCTTTACATATTTTTTTTTCACGTAAATGAATTTATTATAGTTACCGCAATTTAACCCTTGGCCTATAAGGATATTAACGTGAATTTATGATACTCGACCTAATTTAATTGTTTTCTTACCAAGCCTATAGTATAGATGATATTGTACAAATATCATATACTTGGTGATTTTCTGGTAATTTCAATCCCCCCCTACCTTCATTCAAATCTGGAAAGCTTTATATACTCTCCCAGAGTTACTCCAGTTGAGTACCTTTTTAATGTTTACAGTTCACTTCAAAAATAAAAAATAGGTGCCTACGGAAAGGAATATCTTGTTTTATTGTAGTGTATCCTCGCATTCTATAGCAAAACTCTGCATTAACCTCGTTCACAGAGGTCTGTTCTACAGTAATCGCTTCCCCACCGATGCTTGATGATATTAAGGTCAAAAGTAAATACCTCTATGCTAGATCATATATTGTGCTGTCGTACTATATAATGGCATAACTTTCCATACCTGCCTATTTCCATGTTACGGTCTATCGTGCAGCAACGATTAACTTCAGATTAAAATTTAAAAAATTATTCTAAAATTAAGTGTATAGAAATGTTGCATTTTACTGTAATAGTAATTTAGATAGTCCTTGGTAGTTGTAGGACGAACCTAATTTATATAATAAAGTAGAGTTTACAAGAAACTGTAGTTCTTGTTTTATTATCACTAGCCCTTGTTCACTTGATAATTTCACCAATGATAAACAACAAGGATCTTGACTCATGACGGAACTGCTATCAACAAGGCTACTAGTGTAGTCAATGAATAGTATCGCTATAATGATGTTGTGTAGTTTGTAGTACTGTTGTCAAAATTATGGAGCTAGTCATAACAAGTAAATACAAGCATGGTCATGTTATTAGTATAAAGGATGAAAGGAAATTTCATGTTCAGTTTCGTAAGAAGCTATAGTAATTGTAGAATTTCGCTCTTATACTGAGTCTAGAAGTTAATCGATGTTGTTCAGTAATTCCTGCTTATGATCTATTAATTGTAAACAGGTTAGCTAAGGATAGAAGCAGTTAAGGTAACGCATTAGGGTTTGTCATTTGTACTTGAGATTATAGTCTGCAGTTGAAAACTTTTGTTAACAAGAACCCCCGTCCTACACTGTTTTACTCGGAATCGTTTGGGATTAGAACTATTCGAGAATTACAAAGAAAAGATTTATGACAATCGCAGACATTAAAAGTCATGGCGTAAAGCTTATGATTTCAAGACTGCATTTTTAACTGTATACTACTGTTTTGCTGAGGTAGTTTGCTGTACAACCAGGTCAGTGTTTGAGTGGAAGAGTTGGGTAAACCTTAGACCTGATCATATCGATCCTTATTTGAGATCTAGTAAGCTAACAAGATCAAGAAAAATCACCCCTAGTACATAAATCAAGTCGCTACCTGTAATAAATGCGTCTCACAATAACTATCTCAGTCAAATGGTATTTTTTAAAAGGCTTTTATTACAAGGTTGTGGGAATAGTTGAGCAATAATTAATTACTACAAGAATCTTGTCTAAAATCTAAAGTATTCCCAGTTCAAAGCGAAGTGAAGTCTCTTCTCCTTCGTGAGCTCATCTCTGTAGTTCTTATAAACATTTCGTTAAATGCATCGATGGCAACTTGATTCATCTACAATCAGACATGAGTCATCAAACAAAACACGTTTCTCAAATAGTACATCATTACCTTTTACAATCTAAATCATTCCACTTCAAAGATCTCTACACTTCTATTAACGTCTAGCCCCTTTCTCCGAAGGGCATCTTAACCACTACAGTGTTTCTAGCTACATCCATCTTGTAGCATAATTAGTCAACTGATTACTATTAGTCGTCAACATTTTCTAATATAGTAGTTAGCAATCATCTAATATTAGCTTTACGATAATGTCTATTCAAAGCAACCTAACTATATTAAATACAGCTATCCGTATAATCCAATATGGATGAATCACTATACTACCTTTCATTGCAGTTTACGGCCATGACCCAGTCTATAGTGCACTGTTTTGTTAATGCATTTGCTACTTAACATCTATCAACTTACGCCAATCTTTCCAATTCTCTTATCCAGTTGATCTATTTTCGTCCAACCGAACAATGCTAGTTTTAGATATATTTGCGCTGTAGCATAACTGTAGAGTAGACTGTCAATGGGAAGGAAAAGGAAATATAATTAGTCAATTGGCTAATATTCGCCAATCTTTCCAATTCTCACATCCTGTTGATCTATTTTCGCCCAATGAAACAATGTTAGTTTTAGATATATTTGCGGCTGTAGCACAACTGTAGAGTAGACTGTCAATGGGAAGGAAAAGGAAACATAATTAGTCAATTGGCTACTATTCGCCAATCTTTCCAATTCTTACATCCTGTTGATCTATTTTCGCCCTATGGAGCAATGTTAGTTTTAGATATATTTGCGGCTGTAGCACAACTGTAGAGTAGACTGTCAATGGGAAGGAAAAGGAAACATAATTAGTCAACAGGCTACTATTCGCCAATCTTTCCAATTCTTACATCCTGTTGATCTATTTTCGCCCAATGGAGCAATGTTAGTTCTAGATTTATTTGCGGCTTTAGCACAACTGTAGAGTGGGCTGTAAATAGGAAGCAAAAGTATTGGAAACACTCGTTGCTACCAGCGTTGTCGCTGTCCTATCATCAAATCCAACTATGTTCAAATGGGTAAGCAAAGAAATTGAATTTTAGCTGTACATGAGGTAGTACATAATGCACAGTAGTATGCAATACTCCGCAATCCCCATGGCGATGATGTTACGCCCCATAACGACGATGGCCATGGCGATAGTGTACCGATCGACTGTACAGGAAACTAGTATCAACAGTGATTAACATTGCATTAACGTCTATAGTGTAATTTCCTGTTGAAGGGCGTTAACCCTTCGAGCTGTAATTAATTAATCAATCGCAGCTAATATTGACTTGGAGTCCAAAATAAAACACTCCAGAATTTATTCCTGCAGGACCGGCAACGATAATTATAGCACAAGTTTTCGTTAATCTTTCTTCATCATTACCGCAAGATTCAGCACCTCTACTTGCCAAGCTTTGCCAAGACTGATGGTATCTATCCTTTGGAAGTAACACTAAATGATTCATTTTTACCTTAGAGTGCTACCAATTCAATCCCGATGACGGTGTTACAAGCTTTAGACATTGTCTTGTCAGACCAGATGGCAATCTATTTTCCTGGCCAAACCGTCGAAGGGGTGATCATTGTCCATATTAGCGAAGCGATGAAAATGCGTAGTATCAAAGCATCCATTTTAGGTTACTCGTATACTGCCATTGAAGACCCTGGTGGCCTTCGCTTGGGTGTTCTATTTACACGAGAAAAAGAAAAGCACTTAGATGAGACCATGGTAGTATGGGGAGATGGTAAGAAACTGTCCATGTCTAACCCTATCGTTCATTAACAACAATCAATCACACATGTATACTGTACTCATGGAAGTTTTTACAACCGATGGACAATCCATACTTCCATTGAATCTAGTTATCAATGTTACCATTACTCGATCATGCCTTGCAAGTGGCTACAATAAGTAGACATACACCGTGCTGGTAAAGTAGTGTAGTACTACAATTGCATACTTTAAATAAATGTCTGCAATGGGAAGATCATAGTAAGTTAAAATTGAGCAGTCTCGATCAATTAATGCCATATTGTGAACCAGTGAGTTATCTAAACAGCACAGGGAATAATAGTTCCAGTTAGTACAGCACAGGGAATAATAGTTCCAGTTAGTATAGGTACAAAGAATAAAATTATATATCATACTAATGTAAAAGTCACAAGGCAAAATCAAAAGAGTGCCACTAAAGTGGATCGCTGTAATATGACCCATGATTTTATTTTATACTGTACCTTTGACTGTATTAGCGAAATTGAAACACTGTTATTATCCTTTGATTCAATAGCAAATGGGTCAGAAGATGTGCTGGCAGCTGGAAAATATAACTTTAATTTTCAATTTAAGTTACCCAATGATGCCCAATTACCATCGTCGTTTGAGTACAGAACAAGCCACATTAGATATGAGATCATGGCGACAATTGATAGGCCATGGAAATCGGATCACTTGTCGAAGAGAGCATTTACATTTTTACAGATCATTGACGTCAATAAACCTCCTCTCTCGGTAAGTTAATTAATAAGTGATTGCTTTATTAATTAAGCCATTCAATAACTCAACGCCAAATCAGATAAAATAAGCGATAGATGTTTGGATAATTTTCCCCCCTTGTATGGTTGAAGTTGTACCTAGTTAAATGAAAATCGTATGTGTTTAAATGGGAGTTGGGCTGTTTTTTTCGTTCTGAACTTTGACCAATTATTCATATGAACTAACTGGAGTTATACGATACTATACTTTAACATCGAACACCAATGGATATGACGTTGTCTATTTTGTCTAATACAGTAGAAGCCTTTAATTGAATTAAAATTGTTTCTTATCCAATTCCGCTTGGTAAAATAACCATCGTAATTCATGATAATAGTAAAGCATCCATAAAGGTTTATGCAGTTGCTTTTAGTCAATACAATCGACGACCTAAAAGAAGCTGCTACATTTTATACCATAGCAACCACTTCCACCAAAAGAAGCTGAAACATCCATTTGCTGTCTATGCTGTACTTCTGGTCCGATTACACTTAAAGCAAGCATCGATCGATCTGGTTATTGTCCCGGAGAATCAATTTCTTTAAAAACAGAATGTATCAACAACACAAACACAGATATGGAAGGTATCCAAGTGCGTCTCTACCGAATCGATTCACGAACTGTTCCAGGTTTATCTTTAATAGAATAAATTTCTATTTCAAGTCATGAACAGTAGCCCTAAACCATTTTGTATACATTACTTTAAGTATACAAAGTAATTTATGCAAAAGGGTTCTAGCTTATAAACAGTGGTAGTCGCATTATTGTTATGATATGTCTATTTTATTGATTTGCAACGAAGGTCGCACGATAATCCATAACGAAATATACAGCAAGCTTTGCTCCGATCCGATAAAAGAGCTGCAAAACTTTACTTGGAATCCAGCAATAACAGTACCAGTGGTTGCACCAACCATCAACACCTCCAAATCGATTACAGTTTCTTATGAATTGCAGGTTTCCAATTATGTCTTAGCTGATCCATTTCATGTTACATAGCAATGAAGAGTATTCGTTTATTTACGGTATGCTTTTTTTCAGGTATCTCTCACAGTCCTTTCTGGAAACACGTTAGAACTGAAAATTCCCATCACTATTGGAACCATTCCATTGCATGTAGCTGCGCCTAATATCGCAAATCCATCACCTGGTCAGTCGCCACCTGATGTTCCTCCATCCTGTAAGTACTGACAATTAGTGTATTCTATTCTTGATCCTAGGTAGATTTCATTCGGTTCAAATTTAATACGTGCTTGAATATTTATTTGTAGACGATGCCATTCATGAAGCAGTATCATATGATTATATGGAATGCGTTGATGGTCCGTATGAGTTAAAGGAAATTGACAGCCGTGAATATGTAACCTACAAGCTATCATTTGCACCTTTGTATCCTTGCGTTAAAAGTAGTTTACAAGCCAACAACTCTCCTGTTACTAACCAGCCCACAACAACACATGTAGATGATGTTGCGATCAGTACCAACCAATAGCTGAATCGACTAAACAGAACATCATGACCAAGTAATGGTTACAATTAAAATTTTTTGAATTAACAAAATTGTTAATCAATTGGTTGATAATTAATCATTTCGATAGAATATGCACATAATTCGATTCAGATATAATAGGTAAAGGTAACTTGGCCTAAATATCTTATTATTAAGCATCATCCTCTAATTTATCGCATTAAAATCTTCCATTGAGCCATCTCAAAAACTTTATCTAGTTATCTATAGCAATGATCAATTTTCCCTACAGAAGACAATAATTGGTTAGTTAAAATGTTGTATCGATGATGGAGTACACCATCCTTGTACGCTTGAAGTCTTTGATATAGTTCATATTAAAAATGAAATTTTTCAAAACAATTCTGACAGATAGCAACATTATAAATTTGCATGTTATCATGGATTAAAAAATAGAAATTATTATGTAAATTAAATCGTTCTACCATCTAATATGTTGATAATTTTTTAACCTAGTCAAAAATAATCGCAAATAAATAAATCCTCAGATGTTATTTTAAGCTACATCTGAGTTTTTAAGTTCTATCTAAAAGTCCTTACATGTTATTTGAGCCACGGTTATTTTGTAACGTCTTGTCGCATAAATGCTTTTAGTGGTAGCTACAATGAATTTCGAGGTATGACGGACATCATCTTAGCTAAGGTAGCTCCTTTGCGTTGAATTCGTGTGCACTATTTTGTATCAGAACACCTACTTTATCTCAAGCGAGAGAAATTAAATCACTGGAAATTGTTCCTTCATCCATGTCACAAAGTTTGGTATTGGAGATCATGCTATTGGCATCTTAATGCACAGGACTGATATAAATTTTACGCATACAATACAGCAGAAATCATCAAAACTTTAACATAGCGAGATTAGCATTACCTGAAAGTTATTATTGTAGAGGAGCTCCGATTGCATCCAAAGTATCACTATAATAACATCAGGATATCAAATACCCCTCAAAATCAGCTATCATCAAACTTGAACATCGCTAGATTAACATTACCTAAATGTTAATATTGTAGGCGAGCTCCGATTGCATCCAATATATTATTATAATAACATCAGGATATCAAATACCGTTCTCAATCAGCTATCATCAAAACTTGAACACAGCGCGATTAATATTACTTGAATATTAATATTATAGGGGAGCTCTGATTGCATCCAATATGTTATCATAATAATATCAGGATATGAAATACCGTTCAAAATCAGCTATGGTATGCAACAGGCACCAGCATGCAATGCTCAATATTTTATCTACGCGATATTTATTGCCTTTAAGCAGAGATTTCGATTTTATTGACCTACACTTACAGTAGCTCTTAGGTATCACTTGATGTGTCTTTGCCTTCCATTTTTTGAAGGTCACTTGATCTCCCTTTAACATAAAACGCTTTATATTAAAGGCAGCCATCTCAGAATCACTCTTACATAATAAACAGACGATCAATCTACTTTTTTAAGTTATTTCAAGACTGTATTGCGATCAGCTAGAAACTAGATGGTAGGCATAGTGCAACGAAAGCCAAAGATACAGCTGCCGTAGACATTGGAAACGCAAAGAGTCCTTGCTGTCAATTTTCCACATTATTTCAAGAGCCAAGAAGAGATCCTGAACATGAAGACTTGAAAGAGGCAATCATCAGCTGTATCCCACAAGGTGAAGATGTTGGTGCTGGAGATGTTTACCCTGGTGATGTGCATAGTTAAAATAGCGTTTTGATCTAGCTATACAGTTAAGTCATCCAATGTCATCAACAGTCCTATGCCACAAACTGCGAAATAAGGAAGCATTAAGCCCTAACTACCAATAGATAATAAGAAAGATATTGAATAGCATTCCCTAAATATATTCTATTTTTATTTGTTTACTATGTCGATGAATTAGTTATTACTTTTAGTTAAGAAACAATCACTTTAATACATCCGCATGGAGCATCTACTGCCTATACTTCTAGAAGTTGCTGATGATACTCCGTGGTGGTCTTTCAGTGTTTACAACACCGATGATAACGATGGTGTTGCTGATATGACGAAAAGTGTGATTGGATTGGCACCAATATTTCTATCTGTAAGCATAACTCGAGATTGGTGTTAACACATGATGAGCAAGTTATGCAGTAAAATCCATCTTCGCCATTTTCAGCATCGATAGTATACAGTCGTAGGCCATCCCATGTTGATTAACAGCTGTCCACTGGTCTGCACTATACAGAGACTACAGACTAGACATTAAAATGCAGAAAAGATTCCTGCCCCAAAGGTAATAATGGATCAGATTTAATCATGTCCAACAACGAAGTCTCCTGATATGTATGAATCATGTTGCTATTCTTGTTGATATAATTCTAGGATATAATTCAACTAATTACAGTATTCTTGGACTGGAAAGGTGATTGACGATTGTTATTCTTTAGCACCTTGCCACACCGTACGGTTCTATTGATTCCGGGTTGGACTTGTCATTCTCCTTCCTCTTGGGGCGGTATCTTCCACGATGATGAGTGGAGGCTGGAATCGTTTATAGTTTATGAGCATATATATGTATATACAGTAGTATGCGATCAAGAGGTTAATAAACATTAAAATTCCTCTTGCCGTGAATCATAATGCAGTAGCAATCGATAGAGCATGATTGCGATCGCAGTGAGTGAAGACAGCACAGCATAAACTACAGTACAAGAGAGAAAATGTCCAAAAAATCAAAAACTAAAATTCAGGATATTGCCATCGAAATCGACGAAAATCTATCGTATGTTCTATCTGGCCAGTTACTAAAAGGCAAATTGGTTATCAACACTTTGGATCCGTTAACAGAGATTCAAAAAATCGTTGTCGAAGCTCATGGAGATGGTTATACGATGTTGAGACCTGCAGCCAATGCCGGAGAAGGAAATGTACGACATGGCCAATGGAAGGAATACTTAAAGTGTAGTAGCACCGTGATGAATCAAGGTAGGTTAATTTTAATTGACAAGGTATCTACTCTTACTACGGACTTTTAAGAAGATAATAGTACAAGTGCCTGCTATGATCATCGACTGTCCATCGTGCATGTACAGTGCAACGGATTTGGAACATTTTTAGACAAGAAGCAACTTATTACTCATCTCCGGGCAGGGATTGTTGTTTACATTGACCCAGCTGTTTCAATTTATCGTTTGCGTGTTGATGAATTACATCACTGTAGAGTATTTCATCAACTAAAGACTAGAATTAATATCAAACTTACCATGGAATAAAATAAGAAATTATCATTTGGTAATGAATTCCAACATCAAGACTATGATATTATTTCCGCCTTATTCGCATAGAATTGATTGCCGATTGATTTCGCTCTCGTTCAATAAAAATGACATTTTCATGACCTTAGTTCCAGTTCTTGACAGGATTGGAATACGGTAGATAGATGATGATGCATCGATAAAGTAGGTAATGATCGATTGACTACCTTCAAGGTGCATCAATTTTCTAGCTAAAACTGCGAAAGACAACGATAGCTACGCTTTCACTTTATACGTAATTCAATCCATCATGATGTCTTCCAGCGGCATCGCTAGATGTTAACTTGTACATGTTTAGGAATGGAGAAGCTTTTTCTATTTAGGGAAAGGTTTCAATTCACCATGATGATTAAATGATGACATAGAAAGCTTTCAATCAGAGTTGAATTTGTTAATTTAAATACTATCCTCACCAAAATGATCCCCAATCAAAGGTAATGTCCTGCCAAAGCCCGATTATCGCGGCTCCCGTGCATTTTTTGGACTTCGCAATCAGATCCAAAATGCTGAATTAAGTATTCTCAACGATCTCACTATGGCACTAGCAAAACTAAGCAATTTCCTTTCGTTTCCAATCAAAATAATAATAATAATAAACCGATAGTAAAGGACTACTGCACAGATTACATGTTGAGTGATTATCGGAACATCAACATTCCCATGCTTTACAGAAGAGCCAATTTGAACATTTCAAGGCTGCTTTTAGTATTGCTCAGTTTACGCTCGATATAACGTAATTTATGCAGATTGCTCACTTTGAAACTTGAAATTTTAGATTACAGCCAGGTCCAGTGATCCCGCCTGAGTTCTTGCCTAATAGTCCATCGGTAAAGGAAAGGTTTACTCCCTCTGTACATTAATGATTCCAATCGGATGATGAAAAGCAATGAATACTTCAAATCTAATTGATATCAATCACGCTAATAGTCAGATTAATCTCTACCGTGATCCAATACAGAAACGCTTATTTGTTGGCCATCGTCAAATTTTCAGATTAGAATTATCGCCAAAATATTAACTATGGTAAAATACATGTTGAATTGAACAGAAAGGGAATTTGACTAGTTCTAGAATAATAGCTCAGATCAGATACTTTATAAATCAAGACCAATTAAAGGCCAATAATCCCCATCAACCTGCACCGAGCCACACCATATAGGGCAATACTGTAATTAGGCAAAAACAGGATAGCGATACAGAAAATCCATCAAAATGTGAGTAGTAATTGAGCGCTAAGCAGTCGAAGAAAACTGTAGCGAACATTATTAGATTCGATGCCAACGTATTAAATGCTCTTCCTATTAACTAATTAACGTTAACATAGATCAAAATATCCTTATAAATGTTTATGATATATGACGTTGAAGAAGGCGAAATATCTCAATAGTCTTTTTTCTCGCAGTAGATGAAAGCGAAACATTAACTTTGGATTCCGGTCGACATGAACTCCCCTTCAACTTTGTCTTGCCGTACTATCTCCCATCCTCATTTAACACAAGCAATAAAAACCACAACTATATTCGTTATTGGATTAAAGGAACTGTTTTCTTTACCAAAGACCGATCGGCAACTATTTATAAATCGTTCAAAGTCAGAGAAAAGGTCGCTTTAGGTACCTTGCAGATGAAGGTAGGTCTAGTAATAATAGGCTTAATTATAATTAATTAATAGCCGTTTAGGAATGAGCGCTTATTATATCCCCTGAAGTAATGATAAAATTGAATTACCCATCTTATGCCAATGGCTATTGCTGTCCATCTTTTCTAGAATGAGCTAAAATCTACTTCAACTGACAATGAATTAGTCGATCATAAAGTAAAGCAGTTAGTACTCAAGATATAGGATATAATATTAGCTCAATGTGCCATAAAATGCTATTCCCCCAGCTTTAAACACCAATAGAATCTAAAAACGCGTATCTTTGTTTCAGCTCCAATTAATTATTATCACCAATGCGTAATAATTAGGACTGATTATCGCCTGACCTTTTCCATCTTATTAACAGCAGTAACTAACTTAAGATTTAGAACATCGAAGTAAAACTTTCCGTTAAATTCAATTTATCCCTTGATCAAAGCTTCCAACTTACATTGACTGTAAGCGATGTTATGCTGAAGCAATTTTCGTAGACGGTGACCCAGTGTTGCACATTAGTCCCTCAAGAGAGACCAAGTTAATACTTTTATATTAAACATGATACCCGTCTATTTTATGTGGCTTTAGGAAGAACCGAGATCCATTGATTTAACGCAAACATTATGCTGCAATATATTAAGGCCTGGAAGCGTCCATTTGACCTTTGTAACCGATCGAAAGGCTTACTGCACTGGACATTCGATGTTATTAACAGCAACGGTAGAAAACTTAACTCGTTTACGCCTAAAAGCGTTGAAAGTCGAACTAGTACAATGTGCTACCGTTATTGCTGAGGGTAATCTGGTAGCCACTTGAGAATATCATTATGTAGCCCATATATAATTTAATCAGTAAATTTGAATGTGATTATAGGAATTCTAATGATCATTTGTGTTAGGTAACTCCAAAGTAATACAAACAAAATGTGCCAGCTTGGAATCAGATCCGATTGAAGCCGGAGACACATTGGAATGGCAAAATAAGTCTTTCCATCTACCAGATGACCTTATGCCGACCTCGCACTCTTCTGCCCTTATACAAACGCAATACGAATTGGTGGTAAGGAATGAAACTAAATTCGACAGCTAGCTATTGCAATATCTACTTTTCTTTTTCTTCCAGTTAATATTAAGTTTTCTATCGGTAAATGCAACTGATAGATTAAATACTCAAGGCAAGCAATCTTGTGTAGCTCTAACGCAAATTTAATAGTAAATTATAATTCTCAATCAGCTCTACGCTGCTTCTGATATACTCGTACGTTATTACAGCAGCCAATTAACTATGAAACCACTATCTACCTTGAATGAGAAACCTTTCGATTCGTTACCAACTATGCTTAAACGACTACTTCATCTAATTCAAGTACCTAGCGTTCAGATTTTCTTAAATTTAGAGGAGACTATACTATTAAGTGTTCTATCGATTATCAATGGAGCTGCTACATGGAAGCAAACATGTCAGTTGATGCAAAGCTAACCCATGTTACCTGTATTCAAATGCACAAATAAGACCTGTCCTTGCAGTTGCTCTGCCTACTACTCCATGTTCAATGATTCAATTCATTTATATAACATTGTCACAACCCTCTCTTGTGGCAAAGGAAACGTTTATTAACAAAGTAAAGAATCTCTCTTGTAACTATAATAACTTGGGTTACTTTTCCAGTATCTCCACTTTCTATGTTAGTGATATACGAGAACTCGATTTCTCAACAAACTCCACAGATGACTGAATATATTACACTATTCTTCACTATACGAGTCTAGCACCATTCTTGAGCAACAACTGATTTATTCCACATACACTCGCGCTTAAATAGATTTCTACAATGAATTCTAACGTTAATCAGTGAGAATTAAGTTGGCGTTATCATTATAATACTTTACTAATTATGTACTTAGATATTCTCGTCTTGAGGTAGCTACAAGCTATCACACACGACATAGAGCATGATTGGACTATTTATTAATTAACAGTTACTTATAAGGTTATCATATTGACTGCATTAAACTGCCTAGCAGAATTTATCGATTTATTTATTTACATCGTACGTCTGAGGACTGTTATAACTATAACTAATCGTTGTTGTATTCGTTCCAGGTTACTGTAGTAATACCCATGGCAGCTAACCTTTCCTTTCGACAAAATGTTGGCATTGCAACAGTACTCGATGCCGACGACGATATCCAAAGTAAATACCAGCAGCATGTAATACTACAACGACAATTATCAATACAGCAACAAAGTCAACAACGGCAAAGACATAATTCAGCGGTCACGGATGTGTAATGTAGAATTGTATTTATACTTTAAGTTAATTAACAGAATTTATCAAAGTTAGTCAAAATACTACAAGGTAAACATCAATACTTGTAGCTTTGTTTGATATCCTCTCCTGGTTCAAAACCTCAAACCTGTTTTTTTTCATCCAAATAAAATTCTAACTGACTCTCAACACCAATCTAACTGCAAAGGATAACAGTTACGATACAGAAGTGCTAAAATCGTTACAGCTATTTTAATAACTGTTTAGCGCTGCAATTTTTACTAATTTATTTCTAAGGGTCCGCCTAAAAGTAAACATTGAAAGCTTTTGAAAATCTGTTCATTTTCTATGTTATGACATTTGAAAGTCATTGCTTTTGCATAGTGTGTGTCAGTGTCTGAAATCAAATCCATAAAGCTGATGTTTTTCATACGTATATTCAATACTACCCTATTATTTCAAAACCTATCAAGTGATAGCGGAATATTTTATAGAATCGTACCGGTGTGGATTTGTTCTACTCTCAAAAACTAATTTTGCTTCAAATAAGAAATATAATGAGGTAGGCTTGATGTGAACTAAATCGCTAAGAAAGATGTAGCTGCATTCGAAAATTTTAAATCTATTTAGGAAATCGTATTTGTGCTTGGTTTATACTCATATTTAAATTTAAAGCTGATTTATCCTTCTTATTAAATCATCAAAGATGAATTTAATCTATTTAATTTGAAGGCAATAATAAGATATAGCTATAGCAATTACAGCTATCAGGTTTGAAAGTATCACCCAATTTACGCTAGTATCTGTATTTTATTCCACTGAAACTTTCTCTATGTAACAGATTTTTCCCATTTACGAATGTTTAATCGCTTTGCTAAAAGTTTGTAATGAACTTTATTTGAAAAATATGGAATGTTTACCACTTACAATTAATTTATCATTACTCTTCACTTAATAAATGTTAGGTATAAATAATAAATTTTATGAAATATTCATCTTAGGCGAAAGTTAGTATTGATTCTTCATTGGTAGGGTCAATTCAATTTTAGTTTACCAAAAGTAAAGAAGGAATAGGTGACTCTGCTTTATTTCTTATAACCTCCAATTTGATATCACATATATTAAAATTCGATACAATCGGTGATTGCGCCGAAGCATTTGTTAGTTTCTAGAAATATATCACGTTATCTTAAATACTACAATTTACAGTCTTCAGATTTATTAGATAGTTCTGAGATTAATGTTTACAGGATTATTACTGACCTAAATATAATATAAGTTAATTAGGCATTAAAAGGCATTGATTTCAGGTATTATTTAAAGCCAAAAAAATGATGATTAACTGAAAATTAGCATCACTAAATTTCCTTAATTTAACTTTTAACTTATAAAGGGTCGCAAAATCTTTTAATAATACAACAAATTCACCAAGACTAAATATCTGCGCTACCAATTATTCAATCATAGCCATTTTAAGTTCAATAATTGTTTCACGATGCATGAAAACCTAATTTTCAACAACGCGAAAACAATCCTATCTCACAATTAGTTCGCAAAGATTACGTAGTAAAGCCAAGTTATAGAATTTCACGGACTACTTCCTAACAAGCATACCAGTCTAATGTATCGCCTTACTACAATTTAGAAAACAATTTTATTCTGCGAAAATACTAAAATACTGTGAACATCAGCATTTCTATAACTCTATACTTTTAGGCAACGTAATGCTACAACCAATATATAATAATAAAGCCCTCCAGAACGTAACTAAATAACAATTTTTGAATCAGCATCTATTTACAGCGGCAAAAGCGATTGTATTAAAATGATTAGACATCTGTAGAATAAATTTGCAAGTACCGATAAAAGCGAAAGAAGTTCTCATCACAAGAAGTATTTAAGCAATTCTAGCATATTAAAAGGGACTTACTCACACACTCATAGAGCAGTGATATTACTATGAAACATTTCAGAATGAGAGCTTAAATCATTACAAACCAAGACGAAGAAAATATGAATACAAATACTAATATTACCAAAAGGCTAGGCTTAAGATAAACCTCTTAAAAGCCAAGCTAACCATTCAAAATCGAAAGAAATCAACTTCGAAATTGTTATTTATCTATATCTACTGCCATTAATTCGCTAATTTGGTGGCAGTTCTGTGACAGTCATCAAACCAGCAGTTAATACCATTGCAGAGCATTAAAAGTGACTGCATAGCAATAGTAGATTATTATCAGTGTCTGTTCTAGAGTTTTTCGCTCTTTCGTCTATATCAGCCTAGATTTGAGCAAAAGCTAGCTCGTAACTGTCAAGACATGCAAGTATTGATCCATTCTAGCGATTTGTATGATCTCATCCTGACTCATATATGTTCAAAAAGGATTTAGACAGAAACTTGCATGTTTTGTCAGCATTAAACATTGGTAAATTCTAGGTACTTGCACAAGCTAATAGCTACTTCCAAACGAACTTTTCGAATATTTTTAAAGAAAACTAGGGATTACTCTGGTACTGTGTAAGTTACTACATTGTCGGAGAATGAGATCGGTACTCCGGTGAATCCATTTTTATATTGCAGAGCAACGTAAACTTAACAGTGTTACTGCTTTAATCAGTTTAATATAGATTGGTCATTACCTGAGAGATCGATTAATGAAGTATATGTAGGCATCATTCATCTTCACATTCAGTTGTCATTTATAGTTTCCCATCTCTGCTTAATGTTCAAGCATCCAATATTATTATATAAACTTATGATCTTAATATCAAGGTTGTATTGCCTAGATAAGAGACTTATTTAGGTATTGATGAAGATTGACGATTGGCTGAAGGATTGATTACTGAACTATAGGTGGGAATCATTTCGTCTCCATTTTCAGCTCTGGCGATGTCATTTATTGTCGTATTAGATGCCACGCAAGTATCATAACTAGGAGGTAAATTATTCTTGGCTTTTGCAAGTTTAAAAGAACAAAACATTTCGAGTAAGAGATGAATAGTCATTCAAAATTTGATTTTTATTTTCTAATTAGAATATCTTACCTGGTACGTCATTAACCCTTGTGCTATCGAAAATGGATCGTAAATAAGAAATCGTATTTTCTACGTCTATCGAATTTTCTGATACCCATGATGAAGAACAACTCGAAGAACTAGTGCTAGCATCACTAGTTCTTCTACTGATGCAGCTATTGGACCAATTGTGGCAACTAGTAGGAGAAGATGATCTGAGTGACATTGTTCCTATAACTACCGGCATATTAACGCATAGGTTAAATCCAAATGGAACTTTAACAGAAATCTATCAAGTATAGAAAAAAGTTTGCCAAATTAATACGCAAGATCAATAGAAGCGGATTACTCGTTGTTATCAAAATGCTAAATGGCCCTAACATATTAGAGCAATTGAATAACTTATTGGCTTCAATATGTATGAATAATAAGCAGAAGGTATTAATTAAAGGATATTGAAAAATTGTTTGGATTAAATAAAAAATATCAATGCATTCTGCATTGCATCTCATGGATCTAAAGATAGAAGTATTAAGCTATAATTCAAATGCCATATGAGATATTCAAGCTATCTACATGAATAGGTGTACTAAATACTTTTAATATATGATTTACTTTCCCAGTACCTTAATGTAATAAAGTAATTCAATGATTGAGCATTTGATAGTCGGTGAAAGGTTAGGAATGATAATTTCCCCATTCGTCCATGCCATTGTAGCACCTCCAGTAATTGGACGATTGTAATGAACTGCTGCAAGTTCTCGATCATGGTGTTCAAAAGTTCCTAGGGACAAAGTAGTTTCACCTCACTTTTGGTTAAGCGATAAATATATCAAACAAAAGTAAAAATTAATCATCTACTTGCTACTTATCAGGTATTAGCTCTTTCATTGTACATATTACTTAAAGTTTCAAGTAATATACAAAGATTAAGGTATAGCAACATGATGATAATTGATTAATCTTAATAAGAATTTAAGCAAGCCAAAAGCAGCGGTGAATTAAGTATCATAACAATTTATATCTAGTTTCAAATTGGTTTGATAACAGGTAACTGCTAATTGTCATCAAACTGATAGAATAGCATGATGGAACCTACGATAAATTCAAGACACTAAGCAACTTATATAATAACTTAATATCTTAATGAAATACGAATCATCTATTGCTACGTACAAATTCAAGCTTACTAAATCTACTCGTTAACCAAATATTAAGCAATAAAAAAAAATTTTATATGTCGGAACCCTAATTCAGAAGCAATACCAGATACAATTTCAGTCATTTAAATTATTTGTATGACGGTCAATAAAGTACGAGTTCAGTTACATATAAATTTAGAAGATATACCAGTATTTAATAGTAGCAAGCATCTACTCCTGAACACAAAATTAAGCTGGATAAATGCGTTTACTATCCAAAGTATCCGACGATGCTAGAAATATTTGCAGCATATAATGATAAGAGGCATTGCTAAACTCAAAGTCAAGCTCTACAAATTAAACTGGCTGCCATCGATGTATGATCGAGGTATCACGACGATATCGATGCAGCAATATATCAATTTGATACAAACTGCAGAAGAGAATTAATATTTTAGTATTTTCTGTCAGCTACTGTAAAAAAACATAACAGCTAAGGTAAGGTGCAGTACGAAATCAGAACTTATAATGACTGCATCGTTTAATATTGCATTGCGGCAATCATACTTTACTAATATTATACGCTGTAAACTTCCAATTTACGTATGCGTTGTAGGTAGGTAAAATGCTACTAAAACCAAAATTAGAGAATTTAATGACTACAAAGCTTTCAATTTATGCTCATATCTAGTCAAAATTATAGAAGTGGCTGATCATAGAAAATCTAGCAAGCTAACCTTCAGCCACATAACGGACATCTTGTAATAGTTTAGCTTTTACGTACGGGATTGTTCTACGAGTTAAATTTTCAATCTCCACATTAATAATAATCTTATCACCAGGACAGTATCCATAACGATTTAGCCAACTAGTAACCTTTAATGGGCCTCTTTTCCAAATAAGCCAACCGACATTTTTTTGTCTCTTAACGGGAGCTTTAGCTCGCTACAAAAGTGCAACACCATTCAATATATTGAGTAATTATTATGCAGATAATTAAGATTCTTAACAAGCACAGAAAGTAGAGATCTAAGTTATTTTGCTAGCAAATGGCTTCATGCTTTCACTGCCAATTCTGCAGAAGTAAAATCAACTTACAAAGAGAAAGGGTAAGTTGATATTAATTCGTTCTTTAATAGTAATTTCTACTTTAGTTTCATATTTGCGCTCCTTTGGCCGCTCTGCTGTCGCTTCTAAGCGATATCGGATATAACAGTCGGAGCTATAGTCAAAAGAAGATGGCAAATTTTCAATCGGCAATTGAAATTGGAACCCAAATTTGTGCGCTCCAGCCGGAATCCAAGTATAATTGCCATCGCCATCTCGTTCTACATAAGAAATTTTTAGGCATATACTTAATTTACTGGATTTAAACGAGTACTTTATCTCAATGCTTTATTACATAAATTTGAATATACTCTTTTCATATTTAAGCAATCAACAGTATCTCTGGAAAGAGTTTATCAAGTGAGAAATAAAATCTCTTATAAAAACAAGAGCACCCATTTGATACTGAAATTTACAGTCATTTCCGAAGTGTATTATCGAGAATTTGTAAATCTTGAAGGCTGGGTTCTGATTATTTCAGTATGAAGTACAATATCTTATTGCTGTCATTAAAATCAATCATAGAGTACAGCAGCCAGCTCCTATGATAAACTAATCCATTTTTGTTACAATTTACTGTCTCCATGATTTTGATACCGAAAATACTTGTTAGTGAAACATGAAGGTATCTATTTCTCTATTTCTATAAAATTTTATTCTACTACAAACTCTGGCTTCTGATATTTTCGATATGAAGTACAATATCTTATTGCTGTCTTTAAAATCAATTATTAAAGTATGGTAGCCAGTTACTATCACAAGCTAATCAATTTATATTACAATATACTGTCTTAACAACTTTGGTTTCGAACCTATCGGTTGGTAAAATATTAGAATGTCTATTTCTATAACTCTTTATTCTACAGCAAACTCTGGCTGCTAATATTTTCTATGTGAAGTACGGTATCTTATTTTACTCACTTAAATTAATCCTAGAGTGCGGTAGCCAGCAACTATCATAAATCAATCAATTTTTATTGCAATTTGCCATCTCTATAACTTTAATATCGAACATACTCGTATCTGTTAATAAAACATTGAGCTGTCAATTTCTATGACGATTTATTGTAAATTAAACTATATAACATTGAAAATCTTATGAGCGATTTTTCTTTCAAGACAATTAAGCTATTTTATAAGAAATAATACTTATACGAAACTAACGCAACTTTATGTTTGTGATAAAGTATCTTTAAAACATTAAAAGAGGTAGTACTTCGCGTAAGACTTCATTTTATTTCATAAATTTGGCTCTGCCAACAAAATTCATAACTATCCATTTCCAGTCTAAAACTGTCCATTTTATTGCAACTAAATCTACTATTCACATATAGTATAGAGAGTACTTTTTACCTCTAACTCAAATTCTAACTTCTTGTTCAATTTATAAGCCATTATAGTAGATAGTACAAAGATATTATATTGATATGCATGATTTTTCTAGAACAGATTTTTTTTCTTGTTCATACATGAGCAGTTTAAATTAAAATGAACTAGATTCAATCCCATATGCTACCTTTTTAGGCTCTTACACAAATGGCCGTAATGCAAAACAGCATTTTTCATTGCTTTCTATCGTCTAGCATCAGTAAGGCTGTAAATTATTCTTACCTCCGCCGTAAATAGCATTGGTGCGATCGCAAAAAGTCAGAAACTCATAACAGTCGTTCACTTCACGTTCGATAACCGATCGATTCTTCGATTTTGTATGAGTATAAGCACAACCAAATAAGCGAATTTTAATAAATTTTAATTTAATTGCTTCACGAAATTCAATTAACACTTGACCATGAATAGAATCTCCGGGATTATAGATCAATTTATTTTGATCCAATATGATTTGAAATAATATCAGTTTTCTCATGATGTAAACGCCGTTATGCTATTTCTAACATGATACATCAGGAAGAACATATTTTACTTCGGTGACCTATCACCACTCTCATCCATCAAATGATGATATAATACCGCTTTCAAGGACTATTGCTCAGTAAGAGAATAGCTACGATCGGTAACTCTGATTATATTATAGAATACCAAGTTCAAACTTTGCCATATTGCGACGACAGTTCCTGGCACAAGGTTCAATGTTAACATATTTTTGTAGGAGTATGGAAGCAATCATCAAATTATCATTTGTTTATTTACTTTTATACAGACACCAGAGTTCATGTACACTTATGCAGTTCTTTGCAACGCAGAATCACTGGCGCAATCTTAATTCGACACAATCTTACCAATTTCATTTTAATTAACGTTGTTGTGTATTATAATCTACAGTCAAAGCTAACAACCTTATTGAAGGTTGGTACTACTCTCAATCAGCATAGAGAATTGGAAAATAAACAAGTATTTAGAGTTATTTTAAAATTAACTACGTACTCCTACTCCAATTATTAATTGAAAAATGGCCGCTTATATACTAGCTTCATTTACGCTTATACTTACGTCGCATTATAATTATAAATTTGTAAAACAGCAGATTAATACATATACGTAACACAATCCAAAATTAGTATGTAGAATTAGCAAGCATTAAATAACGCATTTATAGAATACTATAAATCATTATTATCAGTCACGATTATCGTATTTGTAGTTTGCAACAATAGTTAGTTTATGACATGTTCATTCAGAAGATACCGAATTAACACAAAAGCGATCTTTACCTATACTATCAATATTACGTGATATAATTAATACGGTATATAGTAATATATCACATGAATGCAAAATTCAACAAATTTAGCATGAAATAAAATAAACGATTTCATTTTGCTCCCAGTAAACGTTAAATATATGATGTCAGGGTAATGACTATATGTCGGAATTATTCATCACATTCTTGGTGAAAGTAATCTCTGCCCGCATTCATAGCCAAAAGTTACATAGTCCGTAAAGATGTAAGTTACTCCCTAAAATTACAATCATATACTGTAAGAACATTTTTAAGGGATGATAACAACCTACAGTATACCTTCACATCCTTATAATATATTCGCTTCAGAGGTAGACTTATTGTAAACTCAGAACATCGAATTTAATTATTTATAAATTTAAAGCTAGAAACCGATCTTGATTTATATTATACTCCAATCTTTTATATTGGATATTAGTAGGCATTAAAGTGCAGTCTTCTCCAATTTTAATTATTTTTCAGCTTTAATAGTATCTTTCCCGGTAAGCTAATTACATCATTCATAGTGCTATAGCACCAAGATTGTCCACAGCAGTATTTATTCATTTTTATTTTAAAAAATTTGCTTTGGGGATTATCGAAGTCAGAAGCAAAGCATACTGCAAGTAGATCCATAATACAAAGGTGACAGATTAATAAATATGCTAAGTCAGCAGAGTTTCCATATAATGCGTCAAGCCCAATTTTAATAGCTCAAGAACAAGTACGCAAAAGCCATGGATTTTATTTGTCGTTAAGAAATGTACATTCTAATCGTTTGATTTAACTTAATAAATTAAGATCTTATTTCACGCCAGTACGAGTAATTAATATCAATCAAGCATGAACATTAACAAATTCAACGTTTTATAGCATTCTACACTATCGGTTTTTATATACGCTATCTTAACTGTTATAAGCATAATTTGGTAATCAAGTAAGTTGACTAAGGTAAATTAGGTTTAATTTCAGAGTTAACGATTAAATTAAAAACGCCTTCAAGAATCTAAAAACTAAGCTATTTTCAAGTATGGGACAGGAAATAAAAATAAATGAAATGGGATAAGCATTTCTTAAATTGTTAGTATACTTATAAAGCAATGACACTTAACTGATTACCATATAGTATAAGAAGTGAATTAGAATAAATAATACTCTAAACTACATCCTAGAATAGTAAAACTCATCAAAATATTTCAAAATGCAGAAGCAAATTTGTCGATGATAGTCCAATTTGATAGGTATATACTTCAACCGACAATAAGAACTATTTAGTTATGCTTTAACACCCGTTACCATAGCTGGTTGTGCGGCTTGCACTGGTTGGCCCATATTGGCAGCATCATAGCCAGGAGGTTGTTGGGGAACTGTCGTTGTAGTTGTTTGCTGAATAACGACGGTAGTTTGTGCCGGCTGGACAATAACTGTAGCAGTACCCTATTGGAGAGATAATTTACAAGTTTATTTTAAAATGATTACAACAATTTGAAATACTTTCATCATAGATAATACATCTTTAATAATGTAGTTGGATTGCGATTGACTAAAAACAAATAATTAATTATAGATGACATATCATTAATGTTCCTAAAGGTGCAATCTAAAGCCACAAATTTATAAGAACTGCTTAATGTACGGCAATGATGTTAAATACACCTTTACCGTAACAGAGACACCACCTAAGGTACTTTCATAATTTATAGATATTTAAAAATAGTGCAATAAAACTAGTTATAGTTATAATAACGACTTATTTGACGATAGCGATAGAACGCTGCGGCAACAAGTAAATCAAGATTAATCCTAGAAAAAATAAGATTGTTCCTCCAATGTTATCTTGGAAAATTAAATTATTCTAAAGTAATTTATTTCCCTATGCCCCATGCATAACAGCTAATAAGATGACAATCCGTAATATTAATTACATTATTTTAAATTACCTTTATGATAGCTCTGCCAAGTGTCATAAAGCGTATGCATACTGCAAAATTTGCGAGAAATATTAACATATAGATGACGGAAAAGATTATTGGGACAAAGTTGTACAAAGGGTTAAGTTGACCAATAGTTTGAAGATAAGTAACGCTGGTTGAAATGCTGTTGCATCCAAAGCAGAAGGCAATAAATTGTGTAATAAAGCCAACCAATCCAACAAATGTAACGCCTTTGACCTAGTTAGTAAGTAAGTAAATTGTTGCATATTTTCTTTATATGTTCTTTCGAAAGAAATTGAATCAACAAAACTAATAAATAAATACTTTCAGTGGCTTAAGAAATATATAATTATAACCTTTTTTTAACGATTTAATGATTTATTCAACAACGAATGGTAAAGGCTATAAATCCAGTACCGTAACTAGCAATGAGTAAATAGTTTAGAAATCTAAATTATTAATAACAATTTAATTCAAAAAAATATTTTTGGGATGATTTTGGATCTAGACATTTCCTTCAATGTTTGAACTATATCCTGGAGCATAGACTTATTTCTTTTAAAAAATAGATAGTTTCAACAGCTAGTATTATCCGAACCAATAGTGTTATCAGGACAGTTTTGAGATAGAAACTACTATTAACAAATGTCGTTAACAACATTAAGAAGACGTTCTGTATATTTTTCTCTTTCAGTAAAATCTTAATGGATTTAAGGCATAGATTAATTATTGTAATTATCATAGATTAACTATTGTATTGTATTAATTATTGATTAATTATTATAGTCATGTAGATGATAATTTACTAGTGATTAAACTTTGATCAATAATTAATTGCAGTAGTGCTATTCCTAGAATAGAATCTTTTAGAGAAAATTATGTTGGACCTAAAGAACAGGTAAACACTACCGGTATGGTATCCTGTATCTAATAGTATTGACTGCTATGAAGATAATATCTAGGTAATGCATTTATTAATTATTAATAATAAAATCTTCGTTAAGTATGATGGCAGAAATAATTTATCATTTCCTAGATCCGAAAACTATGCAGATTAACCAATATATACCAGTATTGAGAATTACTATGTCACTTTCAAGAAGTCGATTTTTATATATAAATTCCTGTCAATCAATGTTTGATCAATAATGCTGTGATCTAAATGCTTCTTGCATCTTTTCTTTACAAACACCCTAACTAGAGCTAAAACTTAATTTGAAGACTGCCTAACACTATAATAATACAAACGGTCATCATTGCAATTAAATTTATGATAATCACTGCTGTGCTATATATTAGAAGCCATTCTCATTTTAGAATTATATTTAGATAGATAGAATAACAAATTATTAATATTTACCGAATTCGATGTTCTTTGGACCGCTGAACCCACAATAATGCCGACAATTCCTACTAAAATTGCCTAAACATCAAGCGATTTTAGAGTCAATATACATCATTTTAAACGTTTAATCCCTAATATGTATTCAGATCAATGTCAAGACGTTAATTCGTTCAAAGTTTGGTTCTGTGCTGAAGAAGCATAGAAAAGAAATTTTACAATGCACTGATTTTTTAGCAATTGCTATAAAAATTACGTAATTATAATTTATTCTGTTCGCTTTATCCTTAACTCAGTTTGGATAAAGGTTTACCAAGTAATACGTCAAAAAAAATCCACTTTTAAGCCATACTCCAGTTAACAAATTCGGCTTGATAAAATGTTAGAGCGTATAGAGAGAAGATATAGAACGTGCTCGTACTTGTAGATTAAGCTCTTTTAATGGTTGATCGATGGCAAAGAGATTTATGATTAGCCATTTTACCAGTACTTTCATTGAAATGGCATATCCAATTCTCACGCGACATTAAGTAAAATTGCCTTAGATCTCGAATTTACTAATATACCCGTATAGAGTAGTTTAAAAGCATCAGAATCGAAGAGCGCTAATAATCAATACGTATCTATTCTCAATCATGATAACATTTAGCTACGGTTAAGGCCTTAAACTAAATTCTAATGGTTTTCAAAGAAAATTTTTTTGCTTTCTAATTTCTAGGTAGTGTTTATTTATAATTAACGCTCTTTGCGAAGCTTTTGTGAAAAATCATATATAGTAAACTAATTTACTGCGACTACTACTAGAACGCTGCAGATATCAGTCATTGATTTAGAATAAGTGAGAAGACGGATAAGATAGGCTGACCTCTAGCTAATTCTAAAAGCTATAAATATGTTTGATATTAGCACCATTCTTTCACACATATTGTGGTAACTTTTAGCATCAATATGGCGTACAAACTACATGCTCTAGTATCGCTTTCTATCACCTTCGAAAGTCACTGTAATTTGTGTAATTGCAGTACGAGTTCTTTCCAACACACGTATTTGATCTAATCCTGCCGCTTTACGATTATCATAACGCCTGTTTTTATCAGGTAATGCCGCTTACATTTTGTTGCTATGGCTGAATTCAAGTATTACTAACATGTTCAATACAAAATCTTTTAAAATTAGTTTCAAATTAAGATTTGAAACATAAAGTGCACTTGTAGAACCAGCTATTTTCCCCAGTAAAAAATAATAATTAATGAACGTAATATCAATATTTGCGGTTTCTCGTTTAATAGATTCCATCCAGAAGAAAGAAGCACTGATTGATCATATTGAATTTTCATAACCATTAATTCAATGTCGAAGAAACTTCTATAAATTACAACTAACAACTCACTGCTTAATAGGGACAAATATAGAAAATGATTAGGCTACTTCAGATATAAAATTAAATTTTTCTCTGACTTTGATTACATTGAAAGATATTGTCGTGTATGGGCATAATCATCTTGCTATCTCCCTATTTTTCATTAACCAATCTTACAAGGAAAAAATCTTATAGAGAATTTACAATATAATTCATTGGACAAGCAAACAAACTGACAAACAAACAATTTATTCTATAAAAGGGCTAGATAGTTTGTTTTCTCTTGAACATCATTTCAAACAGTTCTATGAATCCATTCAGGAAATAGGTCAGATTTTATTTCAATCACTCACTAATTGTTCTATCGACAGAAATAGCAAAGGGGAACGAGCCCCGATTTATAAGAAACACCAAGATTTAGAATGGCAAATATTACTTACAAAAACGCCTCCCCATACTGGATAATGATAAATTACAGTTTGTGTGCCAGCGTATACAACAGAAGCCAAGATTGGATTGGAACCAATACCGTAATGAAGAGCAATAGTAACGATGCCCGATATGATTAATTCTATTCCCATATGAGTGAAAGCGATGGTGGAATAAGCTGCAACTACTGCACTCATTTTGTCTTTAATCTCGATGTAGATTTTAAAAAGAAAATAAAAGGAGAGAATCTAGTCACTAATTCAACAAGTTGAAAGTAATGGAGAGTAATAGCGAGGATTTATCAATCAATGGAATAAAATTCTTTTTTCTCTATCCTAAATAATTTACAGTAACGTAGTAAGATATAGTTATGATGTTGCTACTGTCGCTTATATCCGTCTTTTAGTGTTGCTATGTACTTTATAACATTAGTTATTTCTATGGCGGTTTTACTCAGCATTGATTGTCTATGAAATACATTTAACAACATCATGCCCTGCAGGGAAAGTTATTTTTAGCATAGAGAAGGACCATCAGAAAACCTCCATATCACTATCAGAATTACAGTCGAATTGATTATAAAGGTCGGTGTTATTAACGATAATAACAGTCTTAATTCAGATGGTCCATAAAGATAAATCAATTTCTTTATCTTCATTATCAATATACATACTCGATAAGACACAGTAACATCTTTCTTCTTATTATTCAATAACTGCTAGTGCCCTTTCTTTGTGTAAGAACATAATTTAATTACTATCGAACTAGAATTAACAATAACAATTAATAATTATAATGAGACACAATTACCTTGTCATTAAACTACCTGTTAACATATACTGTACTAGTTCCTATGATAGTATTCCTATCCAATCCCTATATGAAAGTATCTGACGTAATCGAATTACTTGGATAATCCTCTATGAATAGCTTTGCATTTCTTCAATCAAAACATGATAAAGGCTGATTTTATTACGTATCAGTTGCTATAGGAACCCTAGGAGAAAGCTATAATTTGGCGTGTCATGACCGATTTGCATATACTTCCTACAGTGAAACTATAGGATAGGATAAAAATTCATGAGTTCAAGGTTTTAATCTTAGTAAGATAAATCACGCATTAATCACGGCATAATTTAGTGGTTAAAAGTAGATCAAGAAGAATTGATTGAATACACTTGCCCTAACATCCGCTATTATAAACTTTAATTCTAATTTCAACATTCTTGCAATAATAACATCTTCTGAAAGATGTCTTAAATATTTTGATTAAACATAAGGCTTTTCCTTGTTCAACTAGATAGACTGAGTACGTATAAACTAGTATTAAGTACTTAGAATTTCAACAATATTCCATTATTTTCAAGCACAATAATATTGTTGGAAGCTTTTAGCTAATGATGATACTTTTCGACTTTTCCTACCGTATTAATTTATCGTATGCTAATATTCAATTAAATTACTGTGAAATTTCGAGATTCTTCCTACATTATCAAGCACAAGAATTATCAGAGTTTATTGATGATTTTACTTATCTTACTCAATCCTTTCACGATGAACGAACAAACCAAATATATTATATTAATAGGTTTATTTAGAATTCAAATACTTTAAGAATATCATTATGAATAAGAATTAAGCCAAAATAGTTTTAAAAACATTACTTTTATTTATTCCATCCAATCCTTTAAGGATAATATGATGGAATGAATAGACCAAACAAATGCCATTAATAAGTTTAAAGCAATTTCAATATCTTTTCAATCTTTTACTAATTCTACTCAATCCTGCATAATGAATAAACGAAATACTATATGTGTGCTATTATGACGTTTTACCAGGATTTCAATATCGTTTCAAATCTTTTCACTATCATCGGGTTTAAAAATACTTCAGAATATTGTTATTAAAGATAAAATTGTCAATGGAAGCATATGCAAAGCAGATACATTTTGTTTATCTTAAGCTATATGATACGGATCTCATTACAATATATCATTACTTCTTCACCAAATAATATTCAAATCTCTAAAGCAACCTAGAGTAGATTCTATGCCACTTACTATTTTAAGTGAGTCTAAAATAATAATATTTGCTCTGGAAATCCTCTCATTGATCATAATTTATAATATTACGATCCATAAATTACGACGTTATAATTACTTCACAATTACTATTCTTGCAAATAAATTCGATCATTAAATCCTTATAACTACTCTATCAATGAAATATCAAGCTAATTTACCTTCAAAATCTACGTGGATATTAAAATGTATTTAATTGTATAGTTTTAAAAGCTTCAAATCTATCAATAACTCTAACTCACCAGATTAAATTGCTACCTGTAGCAAAATCAAACTGAATGAATATCAATACTCTATATTGCTACTTTATGTAATATCCATTCATGAAATTGAACATACGGACTCAGTACAATCACATAGCATCAAGTGTAGACAAAATTTAGCGTAAAGCAAAAACTATTTACCCCCATTGGATCTAAAGCTACATATGTAATTGTAGATATATTCGTAAACTTATAGCCTTACGGCGGAAGACAGTAGTTACTGACATATGTAAAAGCGTATCCTATCTAAAATAGTGTTTGCAAAGTGCAACACCATAAATACCGTATGTGATGACCATAGCTTTAGGAATTTGCATTCTGATGATTGTAATAATTTGGGTCATCACATCAGCAAAGAATTACGCAAGATTATAGAGGAAATAACCATCTTTATTGCAATTAATATTAATGAAAAATCAAGAGTAAGGTTTCAGCATGAAAACAGTATAATATATTCTGATAGCTATAGTAAGATAGGATAGATTGATCATGCAAGTTCACGTGCATTTAAGTGAATGAACTACATAGATAATTGTAACACCACTTTATAATACGTTTAGGATTATTCACATACTAGAATGTATAATACCACCGCTACCAATGACAATTTTAGATGCCGTTTAAGAAAAATATGAAAATCACACTGCACGATTACTAGATCTATTTGCCAATTTCACCTTTTAATTACTCTCAGTTAGGCTTTACTACTTTCGTCTTGGTGCTATTACAGTAAAGTCCTAGATCCAAAATAATCTAAATTGTACGTTTTGATTATGGGCTACGTTCAAAGTAATATTCGTTTCTTACTTTGCATTTTGTAAACCACTGTTACAGCTATTGAAGTCTATCTACATTACTTAAGATCCATAGATACAGCGTAATTTCGTCCAGTATTTTGTTGGATAATGACTGCAGCGTTAGCTGGAGCCACCACAGTGTCACAGGTCTGTTTATAAAAGAAATAAAAACTCATATTATTCCATGCTAAATACAAATCTTTTCCTATTAGCTGTAAAGGATGTCAAAATAATTACTATTTGTGGAAGTCATTAGTGAATTTCGAAGGATTGTAATAGGTCCTAAAAATTTATGCTTGACGAATGATAAAAAATGAATATAACACTTTGTCCATCGATCAATACAGGCACACAGTGTATCAGTTTAGTGTTAACGTATTTTAAAATCTAATAGGTCCGAAATAGGTTTTGATAAGTAGCGCAAGTTTAATGCTAATACTGCAAGCTCTCAAGAGCGACGGTTCGTTCCATTCTTGACTACAGTTTTAAAAATGATTAATTATTCTGGTTTATATTTTCTTTCCAATTCGTATTGTAAAGATAAAATCGTTAGTTAGCAAGTGCAGCCAAAAACTCTTACCGCAATCTAGTTTTTTATAGCAACATTTCTCGATGCCTAAAATAATTTAATTCGTTGATGTCGTAATTTAATACCCTAATTACTATTCTAATTTAAGCCAACTGTTAATTTACTCCTTGCGGCTAAGATCAGAATTAATTCCATATGTGGTAAGTTAATTTAGGTTTATCAATGATGGTATTATAAATTTAAGTAAAGCCAAAATCATAGCTAAAATTATAAGATTATACAAGAATAGTTTAACTTAAATATTAGATTACAAGATTACGTTAGTATCTACCAGTAGAAGACAATTATAATATGTATTGTAGTAATTCTACTAAGATGTTCATATTAAGATTCCGAGGCATAAGTAGATTAACTAAATACGTAATGTAAAATTTGTATTGCGATACTTTAATTTAAAAAGCAAGTTATGAACAGATCGCATGATAGTAAATATGCAATTAATCTTGTAGCTTGCTTGGCAAGATAGGATAGTACTGTTAAAAAGAATCAACACGTTACTAGCTCTTTATAAATGATGAATTTGGCTGTAATAATTTAGTTAGTCTGATAGCAGCTAGTTATCCTTGGTATTTGTATGATAAACCTAACTTATGTAATAATATGAAGTTTAAAAGAAATTATGGTTCTTGTTTTATTATTTTGAAACACTTTATCACAAACTTTAATGCTGATTTTATCTACTGTATTTCTTACGGCTATAACGTATTGTTTCAGTTGTCGATAGTTGCAGCTTCAATCTTAGTTTCCAACATTGCTTGGATATACGATAAGCGTATATTAAAATAATTTTATAGTTTATAATCATGGTCGTTCATTTTAACTATCATCCAATATTGTCAAAATATCTTATATTTTATAGCATAAGATTTAGTGTTAAAATATAGAATATTACAGAATAAAATAAAATAAATTGAAATTATCCATTTTTATATCATTAATATTCTAATCACTTATTTCTCGCAATTATATATTGCCCTATTTAAGCTGATCACTTCTAGAACCACTACCAGCAACATACTACTACTTAAGTCGAATTTATGAATAAGATAAAGTTTATCATGAATTTAAGTAACATTTAGAACACGGCTTCTGATACAATTTTGGTCAGGTTTGTGTCTATTTTCTTTCGTTAAGTATCACTTCCTTGGCACTTTATTTATCTACCTCATCTACATACGAGTTTAGTAAAGATCCATATTCCTTGCTCGTATTATAATTATCAATTAAAACTTTGCCTTCAGATAGGTATAGAATATGCTCCTGTAGCAGAGTATAGTTTTAAAAATTTGCTACAATTGATTTTTTCGAAATACTTTAGCCTTAAATACGACAATCTAGCCAACTTACGAAAGCTATGATCCTTACCATGGTCTTTACGAAATAATTCATGCTAACATGGATCTCTGTATCCAGTAGGAATTCATCTTTTTCAGAAATAAAGATTTGGCTATGATTGTTATTCTAATCATA